TATTTGTCTCGTCAATTTCAATATGGAGCTGGTCTTTGTGTGACTTGTAAATATTGTGAACCTGACGAGTTTGTGTATAAATTTTTTTTTTTTGTATATTTGCTTTCAAATTGAATTATATTAAGTGATTTCGTTCTCGATCAATAAATCAGTGTAAAAGAGTGACATGGTGAAGGGGTTGTGGTAGGTGTTTAGGGAAAAGCGCTGCTTGGAGATGAGAGAAACAGTCATTTGAGGGATAGGTGGAAGAGGGAACTGGGAGAAAAGAGTCGTGTAACAGACGCATACTACAGTCGCACAAATTGTCAGCTGCCCAACAGTGATATGGATCATCCTAGTAAGACACGCATGATCTCGCATAAGCAGTGTACAGTAAATATAGAGGGCTACCGAATTATCGAGACATTATTCATCGATGGCTTGCGTGAGTGCTTATACTTATTTTCTTGAGACCCTGTCAACCAGTATTGCACGTAAACATAGCTCGATATTAGATTCTACACTACTGGAATCGACTGACGACTTTACAAGAACATGATTCAATAGAACAAATTATCATTAGGGCGTTACTATTCGTTGCTGGCGTTGATTAAATGGGTATGCGAATATTAGCACCGGCACCTAATCGACATCTTCAACTGAGCCCCCCTTCAAAAGAAACAAAGAGTTCTCTCCACGTTGCACCCTCTACCAAGAGGCAGGACCAAACCTCTCGCCGTCGGCAAGAGGAATCTGGATAGCGGCATCCGCCATATCCAAGGTTTCAGTTGCAATGCGGGTTCCCCACCATTCAGGGAAGGAAGTGCTGGTAAGGTTGAGAGTCAAGAAGATCAGAATGGTGCAGAGCGCCAGACCGACATCAAGACCGGCGGAGAGGACGTAGTTGTACTGCATCCACCACCCGCGCCAGCGGTCACGGATGTACTTGTTGAAGACGAAACCAACGATACCCCAGGACAGGTAGTTGAGGGGGGTAGCGGGAGGGATCAAACCAGCACCGCCGAAGATGATGGGGGCGTTGAGGTACTTGGCCGGGGAGCGGGGGAAAGTGCGGGCGACGAAGTAGATGACGATTGGGAGGATGAGGCCGGCGAGGAAGAAGAACATGAGAGGTGAGTAGAGTTCGCCGGTAGAGAACATGCGGGCTGGACCGATGACACCCCAAATGACGGATGCGTTGAAGAACACACGACCGTTGGGGCAGGTGTAGTGGTTGACCTGGTGCTGGTTGCAGACATTCTTGATGGTGCCGAGGGCCCAGTTCATGGTGGCGATCTGCACGAGAGAGGACCATACACCGGCGACCATCTGCGCGCTGAAAGTGACACGGGGAGGAATCTTCATGTAGTGACCTGGGAGAACGTTAGTAAGTCGGCATGTGCCGCGGGAGAGAGGAGAGACATACCAATTTTCAAGTCCTGGGTGAAGTACATTCCCTGGTACATGGTAATATAACCATAGGTCTTGAACAGCATCATAGCCATGGGCTTTCCAGGCTGCATGTATCCGATGATGAACTCAGTAATAACATTGAGACCGAGATCAATGTTGGTAGAGGCCTTGATGATTCCGAGAGGAATGAACCAAACAGCCGAGATAATCAGGGCGATAAAGAAGGCCCACCAGCTTAGGTGAGTGGGATAGCCAAGTACAACACCCAGACCAATAGCCATCATAACAAGGAACAAAGCAAGATACCACCAGACAGGAACGGTCTTGTAGTTAGACATGAGCCGACCGTGAACATCTTCCTCTTCTTTGCCGACTCTGCGGAAGCGAGCCCAGATATCAACACCGTGGAACAGGCCGGTGTGGACCACCACGGCGACGATACTAGCGAATGAAAGACCATATGAGAGCATGAAGGTGGTTGACAGGAAGAGAGGAGAATATTCCTTGTATTTGACGGCGTCAAAGGTAAATTGGGGAGTGAGAATCTTGCTGACATTGTAGGTGTTGGCAGTGTTGTCGTAGCTGCTGGAATCGCTGATCGGCAGGTACTTGAAGTAAAAGAGACCGGAGTAGTGGATGGCTGGCGTGACAATCCAGAAAAAGAGAACCATACCAATCAAGGTATTCGCCATGGCATACCAGGGGGCAATCAGAGGACTGAAGTTGAAGCCGGAAACCTGAGTCCAGTCGAAGGTCATGGGGAGGAGCGAAAGACCAGTCGCACCACCGAAGAGCTGGTTAATGATAACGTTGTTTGGCTTGATCCAGGTAACCCAAGCGAATACACTCAGGAAGGGAGCGATGAAGCCAGGGAACCAGTACCAAACAAAGGAACCGATCATGGCGTACAAGAACATACGGTACCGACCAATCTTCCAGCCAGCGACCTTGCTCGGATCGGGGAGTGAGCGATCATGCAGCGCAGAGAAAAGGGCAGTGTTGATGAGAGTGGAAGGCCAGATCATGGCGGCAGGCTGGACCAGGAACTTGGTGAAGAAGCCAGCCATGCCAAAGCCAAGCATCTGAGTGGAGATACACATCAGGAGCTCGAAGCCCCAGCCGAAGCGCTGACCATAGAAAGCGCGCTGAGCCAAGAGCACATCCGTCGCGTAGGCGGCGCCACCACCAAAGGTGGCGTTAGCCATGATAACCACAATTGCATGTTCCTTCTTGGTAAAGGGACCTGGGTTGAGAGCGAATTCTTTACCGAAGACGCGGAAGGTCTTGTTGGGCATGATCTTCTCCCAGGCCCTTCCAACAGGGTAGGCGGCGACCTGGGCGATGTAAGAGGGAATAACAATGTATGGCTGACGCATGGAGAAAAGCATGTTCAGGGCAGAACCAATAGTCGCAAAGACCAGTCCAATCACCCAAGCGCGAATGGTGTTGACAGCACCACCCTCATCGATGTTTGGGACAGCAGCGCGAACCTCGGGATAAGGCGAGTTGTCGATGAGCTCCTGGGCAACGCTAATCCGAGTCTTCTCGTCGGTGGTGTTCAAAGCCTCGTCAAGCTCGTTGACGACATCCTCAGGGAGGTTAGGATCCCAGTGGTGGTGATTCTTCAAGTTGCGCAGCTGCTTGAGGGCCTCATCCGGCGCGGTCTCGTCGACCATGGCGCCGGTGGTAATGGCGATAGACTCGTCCTTCTCCATGATGAATGTGGAGCGCAGAAGTGAGCTTCACAGGAAGAAGATAGGCATGCGAGAATCAAGATGTGAGAGCAAGAGGGGGTTTCGCATATAATTTATGCGAGCAGCACGCACGAGACCGACGGAGCTCCGCCTTATCGACCGAAGGCGATATCTCAAGCCTATCCGGAAATGGATGTAACCTCGTGTGGCGGCCTTAGATGTAAATGAAACCGGGTAGGAATGGAGAAAGATGATTCGAGGGAGAATGCAAGGTGGAGAAGTCAAAAGTGAGCAGGGGGGTGATAATCGACGAACAGGACTCGCTCAAAGAGGCGCATAAGGCAAAAAAGTGAAGGTGCCAGGTGCCACAGCGCAAGCCACGACCCGACAAGGAATAACCGCCAGTGGAGTTCAGATAGCTCTCAGACCCCCCTCCTCCCGCCACTGATATGGATAGATATTGTATAGATAGCTGGTGGCGTTTCTAGGGTTACTTCTCAGGGTCCTCATCTATCGTGGCCTCGATCGGATGCCAGGGGGTTGGACCAAGGAAGCAATCAAATAGCTGTATAGAGTGCATTTCAGCATTGGGCATGGGGCATGGGGCCATAATTCCCCGGAATGGAAGCCCCAAGCCGAGACTGATAACGTTCAAGGCACTAAAGAAGCAACTCCACTGAATAGCTTATTAGTGATAAGCCGGCGCACGCACGTCCTTAAGAGTTGGCGGAGACCTGCCCGTATTGTCTTAGCTCTGGGACTAACATTGCAGCTAAAGTGGCGGCGAACCAACCAGCAACCCCTGCTGCACGCCAATTTAGTGCGTCTCCGGCACTAGTCGAAATGGGAGTTAGCAGTGGAATATTGGGCTGATGCCAAGCCATTCCGAACACCGAATTACCCCTGTAATAGAAACACCCGGTAGTAGCCTCTTATCTCTCGAGATTAGGCGACTCCCGGGGGAATTGGCCTACACGATCGATATACAGTATTCCCAATTCTCAATACATGTGAATGTATGGGTGAATGATAAGTTACATTCATTCTCACATTGGGAAATTGCGGTACCCGAGGTAGGGCAAGGAAGGCGACCAGACTGAAATGCGGGGAAACTTTTCTAGCGGAGATCCAAGCCTGCGCTCAGAACCACCGGACTAAGAAGACCGCAATTTAGTGGCAAATGTTAGCATCGCGTGGCTTTGTCTCAGACCGGAGGCCCCGCGGAGTGGCAGGGGTGTCGGAGGGCGGAGGTGGCCATTGGCGAACACCAAAATGGAGGACCATCATGTTATGAACATAAGAACAAAGGTGAATTCCTCTTACGAAACACAATTGGCAAAATATAATTAAAATCGATGATTGGACTCGGGTATATCTATCAGGCTAATTCATTGGATTCATTGGAGGGGGCAAAGATAGAGATATCAGTCCAAGCGAGAAAGCTGTCAAAGGCTCACCCATGACTCTCGTTCACGCATACACCTGCAAACATGTCGTTTGAAATGTCCACCCGGAAGACGTTTCCTACCATGTGGTCGAGGTATTAACCCGAACGGGGTTAGTATCACGCCAATTAGGCCATCTCCACGATCTTCAGTTCCTAACATCTGCCGATAGGCTGCATGCCGCGCGTCCATCATATCTGCAAGTGTTTCGATGGACTAGGGAACATGACTCGGATTTCCCGGTAAGATCTTTGTTTTGACATCTCAACACGGGAGGGACGTAGCTAAGACGCGCTGACGCATGCAGATTCGACTAGCCGAGATATGACCCCGGGGTCGGCAATTGTAACAGCTTGGGGTATAACATATGTCTTATCGCCCTGTGGCATCTGGTCTTGTCGATCAGGAGGGTTATCGCGGCTGGAATCCGATGCCGTCTCAAATCCAGAAGCTCTTGAGTAAATAGTCTTCACGGCAGATGGTTGGTCATGGACCAATCAGTCGAACAGCTATCCAGAGATAACAGCGCATCATCACTGAGTGCCCACTCGAAGTGTGCAAAGAAGTCTTCATCCATCTGGAACTGCTCCTGTGGGGCACTCAAATTCTGGATTGTAGTTCCAAAAGGCTCACGATTAGGATCAGATACCGTGGCAGGGCGGCTTGTATCCGCAGGCCACGCGTAATTTCGGGAAGAACAACCATCAAATGAGTCTGTGCCTCGCACTTTGGCCCGAGCCCCAGGATCGAATTCATCTCGCCACCACCAGACAGCATCTAGAATCTGGCTAAGGATCAAACGGCTGCGGATGCGAAGCGCGGTGTATTCCGAACCGTCGGCTTTGCGGAATGCCTTGCTACTATTCCATAGCTGATTCACAACGGTGATAGTCTTCGCCGCTGTATCTGTCCTGTCTGTTGACATTTGTTTAGCCAGATTGATAGTTGCAAAGAAGGAGGTTCGTGCACGACTGGTCTCGAGTACACTGCAGGCGATGTTGCTTTTGAGTATTCGAAGCAGCGAGATTGAAGCAAGGAGCACACCAAAGCCGATTTGAACTGGTGCCATGGAAAGGAACCCCATTTGGTCCCACAGGGCCTGCACGTAGTCTATCAGACTGCAAGCGGTAACAATAAGGCGAGGAAGACATCCACTGGAGACGGTCGTTTGGCTCTTGTAGAAATGGAAACTCTGGATTGCCATCCGGCACAGAAGCAGGTGAAACGTTTCATCGTCTATAGAAGAGCAAGAAAACAGTTAGCGAGGGGAAATGGGTATAAAATTTGACGAGGGAACAAACCAGCCACTGTCTGCAATTCCAGTTCATCTACTTGGCTCTCGTAGCTTCGAAGCAAGATGTCCAAAGACCGCTCTTGGTCAAGGGTCATAGCACGGACTCCATTTTCCAATACTGCCTCGCTGCATTTCGTCACAAGCTCCTGACATCGAAGTTTCAAAGCAAGACCTGGGGCAATCTTATCGAACAGTACTTGACGTTGGGTAGGATCCTGGGCTAAGTTGACCAAGTTCCGCGGAGATTGACCTTTGATCACACAGGACCTATTCAATTCATCAGTCTGATTCCTTTCTCAGGTGGTACTCATTTAAAACCCACCGTTGGTACACAAGAACACAATGTGCCCAGAGCTCTGAGCGTCGGACCATATCCAATTCCGAGGGTGCCGGAATACTTATCCTAGAAAATTCATGGCTGGACATTGGGATATGAAAGCCATTCTGCATCGCTACATGCAACAGCATCCCACTCAAAGGGAAGGTAACATCTGGGCGATTCTCCTTGGGAAACGGCCATGTCAACAGGAGCAGCATGCCCTGAATTGTATGCCACGGCGCACATGTCGATAGGACTGACATGAACGCCATTTCGGTGACGTGCTGGGCCAGCGCTGTTTGCAGTGTTGGATTCTGGGGGTAGGACCTACTGCTGACACCGATAACGGCCCAGAAAAGGAACGACGACTGTGCGTAATAGGCATTCGGCCTGGTTTGGGGGTCAAGGATGGGCAAAAACGGGGCAAAATGTTGGAAGAACCTGACAAATGTTAGTGCTGGCTAACCACGAGAGCATTCTAGGTTCATTCACAGTTGATAAAGGTCATCAATCTCCTTTCCAGTCACTGTGATGCCCTTCAAAGTCCGAGACATTGTGGCATCAAGCCCTTCCAATATCGGGCTCGATAACGAATTCACCGGTGCATTATGCCGTTGCGGATAGGGCGCCGGTGGATCCTGCCAACCCACGGAGGAATCATTTTGTTTTGGTTCAATCGGTACTCCCATCTCTGCCGCGGCCGTCAGCAAGGCGATGGGTGTAAAGTGAGGATTCGCCTGTTGAGCATCTTCCAGTTGTTGGCGCAACTGCTCTCTCTCCCGTTCCAGGCCCTCGAGGCGCCTGAGAAGTATACGTAAGAACAGGATTCTTTTTCTGTGTTACTCATCCGGAGGTTCTTACTGACGCTTGTGCTCCCTCGTGAAGCCATCAGATACGATGCACGCAATCTTGAGTTTCCGGCACCGGTAACAAGGCTGATCCGGGTCCAAATAGACATCACATTTGGCCTGCAAAGGTTAGTACATTGTCCCCACAAGTCCGGGATCGCTGAGACCTTTTGCTGGCGGCACTCGTCGCATGCTTTCTTTCCCTTCTTGGGAAGGTGTCTAACTCTCCCCATTTCAGCTTTGTTCCAAACGAAGAACATGGAGAGGGCCTCACGTTATGCTGGGGGCTCGGGCCCTCGGCATTCTAGCGTTGGGATACCGATATACTAAATAGAGCGGAACCGGTGTCAGATTTCTCGTCTCATTCGTGTCGTTGGTGCGTTGGACTGGAATTGGAATTGGAGGAAGAAGGAACTGTAGCACTGCTATCCCGGTACCGGGATTGGGACCGGGATGACAAACGGCTTCTGATTGGTCGACTTTGTTGACTGAATTGTTAGTCCAGCTTCTCCACCGCTTTGTTACTGCCGAGAGATATAGATATGGACAAGTAACAAGGTGCATATGTACAACGAATTTGGTGCAATATTAGATATGTATAGATGAACTCACATGCATTCTGGGTAAAATCAACCCTACCGAGACTCACAGATATGAAAAGTGACAACGTCATGGAATAAGATGTTCCTGCACTAACAGGGTCCGTTGCTCTACCACCCAGTCTGCGTAACGTGATACACCCTCTGGATTGGATTCTCGAATTTCTTCTTCGCCATCATGGCATGAGTGGTCAACTGATTTAATTGGACGATGATTTGGCTTTTGAGAAGTTAGGTGGCACTGGAAGCGTGGGGAATTGTTTTTGGCTCAGTCTACAAATATCCCTTCAACTCTATTCATTGTAGACATCTCTGCATCTCAACCTGAACTTTGAAAGCACTTCGAGGTAAAATAGTGATATTAAGTTCTCGGTAGTAACGCAAAGTGGGCTTGTCTTACCACGGGGTCCTGCTCAGACAGGGCTGGAGCTAGCCGAGATAGAGGGAAGGTCGTTGGCCAAATGGCAACATGACAAATTTACAGGTCTAGCTCATGCCCCACGATCCATCATCAATTGAAGAGTACCGAATGTTCTATTCATTCATGATATAGTCAACGCCACCACCACTTACGCGGCGAGGCAATGCCCTCACCGTGACATCACCGCATCTGGGGTCGGACTATATATGCCAACGGAATAATGTCAACACTAAGGCATTCAAGAAAGATACACGTTATTCTATATAATGAGTTTCGATATTCCCACCGTCGCCGAAATCCAGCTCGCTGCGGAGAGCGGGCAGCGTATCACACAAGACGATGTTTCAGCAATCTCGCAGGCTGAGAGTGCGCTAACTGGAAATGGACCTGCTCGAGGTGGACCAGCTGGTAATTCAAAGTTGCTCTTTCTACAAGAAGCTTAATACTCATCATAAAAAGCTACCGCCCAAAGTTTATACATGCGGCAAATGAACTTTGAAAACAAGGTCAATGAGGTTTCACGGAAACCATCAAGCTCAATTTCGGCCGCAGATGCAGATGAAATCCAAGCAACAGAGGTCAAGAAATCAGAGAGAAACTCCACATGTTTGTAAAACACTAACGGAGTTCCCGTAGGGACGAGCATTCAATCAACCGCTCAGAATCGGCTTCATTACTGCCCAGGTCCGGTCAATCGCCGACAGCAATGAGGCATTGGGGCTTACTGCTCGCGCTGAGGTGCCCGTTTACGTCACAAAGGATGATGCGCGAGACGCGCAGCATGCCGAAGCTGCTATCTATGGAGGTCAAAATCCCCGGGGTGGCCAGGCGGCACAGATGCAGGTAAGTTTGGACTGAGAGCCTAGTGGCAAGAGCTGTGCTGATCGGTTTTGGTTACAGAGTGTAGCAGACAAGATTGACCACATTCGGCGGATTAGTTACTAGTGACTGATCTCGCTATTTGAACATTGTACAGATGCAAATTGAACATATGCATTGCTACTCAAGGTATAATTATGGCTGATGTCATGAGTATCCTATACATATATGTCGCGTTCAAAATACATAAGACAACCTAATAAATGTCATTTACACTCGAATCTCTTTGCCTGCAATACCAGATTATTTCCGAATACTGTTTTTTTGCACGCTATCCATCAAGCCGAAAAATATCAATAGGCTAGGCGAGATAGTGTTGCTGGTACGTCGGCCTGAATGCCCTAGAATACGTTATGCAGAGCACGAGCATCTGATAGATTTTCTATTGATCAATTTGACAAACATTAGTGCTTTAATGCCGTGTGCGTCAGCACCCGAGATGTTTGACGCCTCCTACCATGCTCGCGATAGCAGCATGCTATCCTTCCTCTGTCGTATCACTACAGTACATCTCGAAACTGGGGTCACCACCTATACTCTACGATTTTGTCTCAAACCCTAATGCCAGGACCTACTATACTGTGTTAAGAATAGTCTAGGAGGTCATTGGAAGGATGTTTCGTTAATTGCGGTTTGGATGAGAGCTTCTGGGATCTCTGTTCGGCATGTCATGCTGCCCTTCTCCGAGGCTTGGTTGCGAAAATTCCCCGCCAAAAACAGTGAATATCAAGAGAGTTCGATAGTCCACACATCCCCCAACCGCTCATTCGATTCCCCCAGCCCACCGTGAACCACAACAGCATTTGTACCGACGACATCAGCATCAAACCAGCCCCGTGCAAGAGGAAGTTCATCTCCTTGAGCAACAACAACTTTCTCCCATTTCTTGCTTCTAATGTCAAATACCCATATGTCACTCAACATCTTTCCCGCTCCTTGGTGACCCAATGAACTAGGGTCATGCTCACCGAATAAGGTGATTAAGAATGACCGGTCTTCCAGACGAATCGGCAGCAAACAACTCACGCTTCGCGGTGTCGGGCCTGCTTTGCCATCGGGTGAATAAACATGCGAAGCCCAAGAGTTTGTTTCTGGGGAGTATATGTCCACACTTCCCCCTTGTTCAGTATTCCCATCGAATCCATTCATTCGATACAGCTTGCCATTTGTAAAGGCGATTGAAGTACCACCACGTGGAGGATCAAATGCTGGGGCAAGTTCTGTCCAGTCTCTCTGGGAGAGGTTAAAAGCCCATAGGTCCGATAACCTTCCCTTTTCGGGGCAACCCGCATGGAGGTAGAGTGTATTTCCCCCGTCACTGGCCATACAGTGATAGCTGCGAGCGACCGGGAACGCCTTTGTTTTCGCATCCGATGGCAAAATGAGCGACCAACTTGCTGCGGTAGGGTCAAATTCCCAGACCGCGCCCTGCTCCTCAATAGGTGCCATCGCGACACCACCTCGGCCAGAGAATAGATAGACCTTCCCGTTCAGTGTACAAGCTGCAGTCCCAACCCGTGGGGAGGGAGATTGGGATGTTGCAGGCACGGTAGTAATCGTGATATTCCCTAGATTATGGTAACGGGTTTCAGTGTCGTCGTCAAATTTGGGGATTCTCTTGTTCACAACGCGTCGCAACTTACTGCTGCCCAATGAAACAGCGTGGACATCATTGTCTCGAGGCTCACGCGGTCGCAGCTCCCCACCAAAAATGTATGCTTGCTCACCCACGACCGAAACAATCTGTGAGGAGCGACGGAGAATTTCACCCTCCAGAAGCTTGTGGCATCTAGCAACGATGTTCGCCATTGAGAAGATAAGTGCTCAGATTTCCGTGGTTGGAGTGAGCAACAGGAATCATAGAAGGTGGCAGGGAAGACATCTTTTATAAAACCCGATGCATTGGCCCTACTCGGATCGATAACGGTAATGTTGTGATCATCCAAGTGATCATCCGGAGGTACCGGAGGTTCCGGAGTGGCTACAATAATTGCAGCCTCCAAAATCCCCGAAACCTCCGCAACCTCCGAAATATCCCTCCGGACCCCCTCCGGACTCCCCCAAAACCAAAGCTACTATTGATTACCCTTCGCGGCCATGCCTCCAAAAAAAGCGTTTGTTCAAAAAAGAGCGTGCGATATCTGCTATGAGAAGAAGGCAAGTCACTGTATTCGTTATGCCCGAACGATCGGCCTCTTTGTTGTCTACTGGCTTTACTGACCCTTACTCCCCTCCCCATTTAGACTGTGTGCTCTGTCCCTAACCCCGAAGGTCCCTGCGAGCGGTGCCTTCATCGTAGCCTTGAGTGTACCTTCGACCGGGAGAGGCCACGGAAGAAGCAGCGGACCAGGTGTGTGACGTCCCCTTTGGGCCCCGTGTTTGGAATTGTGTAAACTCCCTCTAACTCCTTACCTGTCGGGTCCTCTTCTTGCAGTGAGGCATCAAGCGACGTACAGGCCCTATTCCAACGCATCAAGCAGCTTGAAAGTGCCCTGGCCCAAGCCAATCCGAGGCAGGAGTCAACGTGTCGGGATTTGGCCAATCCCGAAGATCCAAAGATACCTGCTTCTTCAAAAGTTAACCCACCCAACATCTCAACCGTATCGAGCGGTAGGGAGCGAAGTGTGCTTTGCGAAAGCTCCCCGTCGTCCTCCTTAATCTTCGCACAGACAGCTACCAACACGTGTAACTCTGCCACCGCAGACTATCACGCTGGGGTCAATGTTTCCGCAAGCCAATTGGGACCTAACTGGTTTTTTAATGGTATACCCATTTTCTCTGAAGCTGGCCGCCAGTGGGTTTCAACAAGAACCGATCAGGATGTCACATGGGCCGACTTTTGTATCCCCGTAATGGACTCCTTCCCCCTTTCGGCCCTTCCGCCATCCTTCTCTCAAGAGATATGCGATTTGCCTGACCAGGATGAAACGCGAGAAATACTGAGTGACTTTTTTCGGTCTTCGTTTAGACTTACCTTCCCAGTTCTGAACCAAGTTCTATTTGAGACAACTATGGAAACCGCGTACGAGCCGGTGGATAGAGATATGCCTTCGTCCACACAAGCTGCAGCGAGGGCGTGTGTTTTTGCCGCTCTTTCTATCGCGACTCGTTTAAAGACACCTAGACATAGCGTCCGCTCGATAAATGCGGACGTGTGTGCGGCCAAGGCGAATTTCCTTCTAATGTACCTTATTGGGGATATCAGCTTGGAGACTCTTCAGACAATACTCCTATTGGTAAGCCCGGATTCCACTGTCGCTCGTCCTCGCTCCTTTCAAGATCCAGGCTCAATTTATGAAACAGCAACTACAACGCATGTTCAGTGGCCACTGGCAAGGTGCTGCTTTCTTCCATTCGATTGCGTGTCGCATAGTCTGCTCCTTGAAGGGGCACGTCTACAAGCCGTCAAACCTCCTTGAGCGTGAAATGTCCCGCTTAGGACGTGAGAACCACCAAACTCGAACACTGTTCTGGCTGTGCTACATGCTCGACAAAGATATCTCGTTTCGCACTGGAAATCCCCCCCTTCTCACTGAGGGTTATTGTGACCTCACCGCAACTGATGACTTCTTGCATTATTATACCTACTTGCCAGCGCTGGATGAATTCTTTGAAGTTAACGATAAAATCGACCTGCATCTCACCCCCCATCTTCCCGGAGATACTCGCCTTAGCCGCCTGAAGGAGAAAGTCTGCCGGCAACTTTTTTCTGCCCAAGCCTTGAAATATAACGATAACCAACTCCTCCTCCATATCAGAAAGCTAGACGATGAGATCGAATGCTGGCGATTGTCCATCCCTAACAGTTTCCGCCCAGCACTTTTTGTCTCTGAAAACACTTCACCAAATTCACCAGAAGAGGGCATCCCGCATATCATTCGACGCATGTCTCTACAACTGGAGTATCACCACCTTATGACTGTCATCCACACGACAGTAAGAAAATGCACCCCTGAAGCTGCTGATGGGATCGAGGATCTTCATGCAGTAGTTCATTCGAGCTTCGATCTATCTCTCGTGGCGAGCAGGTCAACTCTCTCTTGTCTGAGAGTTCTCGTCAGAACAATTGCAGAACAAGCGTTTCGGTAAGCATTGTTTGCTTCATTCTATTTATTCCGCCCCTTTATTTCCGGCTTTCGAGAACATGAAGCTGAGCGTGTCTAACAGATTCTTCACATCCTACTTTACTACCGCCGCCATGTCACTCTTCCTCAACATAGTTATCCATCCCCTCGATCCACAAGCGCAGCTTGATTTGGAGCTTCTTATGTCAGCTGCTAACACAATGCGGTCCATACCTGCTCGTAATTTGACGCAAGCTGAGATCGCCCGTGTACACGAAGAAAGCAAGTTTGTGATGAGGCTAGTGTGGCTTGGAACTTGTGCAATGACCAAGGCAGACAGAGCGAAGAAGGCTGAGCTTTCATAGGCGTAACCTTCCATAAGCAGAAAAATAGTTAACAATAACACATTGACATTTCAAGTGAATTTAAACTATCTCATGAGTCTTAATAAATTCTAGATGTTTTTTTACTTGATACAAGACAGATTTCCAAGATGTTACCGGCGATTTCGGTCGCCGGAAAGTTTCATATCTTGGGCCTGGCTCCACCATGTGGAGATCGGGCTTTAGCAGGTCTAAAATTCCAAACGTAAATTAGAACATAGTAAACGAAAGAGCTCTTCCATTTCCGATAGCTGTTGGCTTCTTTCCCGTTTGGGGCTGCTTGTAGAGGGAGATTTCTTCTTCCTTCTCCTCTGTCTTTCTTTCTTTCGTCTCTCTCCCCCCTGTTGGTTTCCTGTTTGCCGGTTTCTTTCTTTCATAGCCGGTGTTAAAATACTTGTCATTGAAATTATCTGAAGTACATTGCATTGCACTGTCACAAGGAGCGGTCAACTCATCCCCCGAGACCGCGCCGCTCAAGCTATGGCGAAACTGACATGTGAGCAAACGGGTGTTGATGCGCTCACTCCTCTCATCGCTCGAGAGGAAGGTGAAATCCCAGAGCCCCCTCCGCGAGAGCGAGGAAGTGATTCTCAGGATCATGTCCCGGCAAGCATTGCCTACCTTCTCTACATTTCACATTTCTTGTCAACATGGAACTCTCGCGTGTTTGAGTTCGGAGCAGTTCTCTATTTGGCCACAATCTACCCAAGCACCCTGTTGCCCATGTCTGTATATGCGCTCTCGCGTGGCCTAGCAGCAATTCTCTTTGCACCCGCCGTGGGTCATTATATCGATATCGGAAACCGTTTACAGGTTGTTCGTGTCTCAATTGGTGCATTCTTATCCGCTCTCATGTTCTTGAAAAGTGCATATCCTTACTCAATTTTCTTACCATTTTAGTCCTGCAGCGCTGCGCTGTGGCTGCATCATGTGTGATATTCTACTTGCTGACTATCCGACTAAGAATGTCGCAAGTGGTTGATCAATGTTTGCTGGCAACTTTGGCGCTTCTAGCGTGCATCGAGAAACTATGTTCCGTTATGAACTTGGTTTCTGTGGAAAAGGACTGGGTAGGAACACATATAGCCTTCAATAATGATGCACAGCTGATTGATTATCGATAGGTCGTGGTTGTTGCTGGGGAAGACCGTGAAAACCTCAAAAGTGTGTATCTTATGCCCTTCAAAATATGACTTCAGGCTAAATCTGTTCAATTCAGCCATGAACGTGCAGATGCGACGGATTGACCTTATCTGCAAGTTAATCGGACCTCTCTTCATTGGCTTCATTGATAGCTCATCACCGAAGACCGCCATTCGTGTCAACTTCGGAATGAGTGCTGCTTCGGTGGCTGTTGAATATTTCTCAATCGCCCAGGTACGATTTTCAAGTTACCGTTACCAATGGCCCCAGTAGGGCGACTAACAACTTGCAAGGCATTATGCTTACGCTTTACTTAGGTTTATTACAAGGTACCGAAATTACAGGAGCCAAGGCGCTTCACTACAGATGAAAATTTGGGTGTGGAAGGCGAACCATCAAATATTTGGAAGGGTTGTTGCAATATGGCTCGAAAGTTCTTAGGAGATTTTCGCTCTTACTTTCATCATCGCATGTTCCTTCCGTCGTTCGCCGGGGCTTTGCTTTATCTGACTGTTTTGTCCTTCGCGGGACAAATGGTCACCTGGCTCTTGGCAGAAGGCTACGATTCGACTCAAATTTCCGTTGCGAGAACCTTGTCCGTGATATTCGAGGTGCTCGCCACATGGGTTGCGCCCTGGCTTATGGGAAAGGTCGGAGTTATTCGTGCCGGTATCTGGTTGGCAAATTGGCAGATTGCTTGCTTAATAGGCGGAATAGTCATCTTTTGGAGATTCTCGAGTAATCCTTTCGTCTCAGCATCAGGCCTTGTGGGCGGTGCAATTCTCAGTCGCGTGGGATTGAGAGGGTTTGATCTTTGCGTGCAGATTATTATACAAGAGGTTAGTTGATACTAGCGCATTGCTTGACTTAATCCAACTCGTTGAAGCCTTCAATACCACGCTCCCGGTGGCTGACAAGTACTACACGACAGGGCGTCGAAGCTTCAACTCGAGGGTCCTTCTCCTCAACTGAAGCTGCATGGCAAAACTTTTTTGAGGTTTGCTCTTACATTTTTACCATCGCTTTCTCGCGACCTGATCAATTTAAATGGCCGGTCTTGATCAGTGTGTTTGCAGTGGGCGTTGCTGGCTCCGTCTATGCCATTTTTGTCCGGATCCAACGGGGACATTTGATACACCTACCCAACTTCTTTTCCCAAGATTACCGGCGATTCTGCAGGGAACGTGGCCACGAGAGCATTATCTCGTCTTAAAAGTTCTACCCGGTTTGCCTCACTTCATTCTGTTGGCGGGTACGCCTTGCACATTCCAACACACACACACAACTTGATATATCGACAGTCACAAAAAGCTCAACTTCTCCATTGTACTTTTTTATTTACCAAGATAATGTGAGCAGGTTTTTTGACATATCACTCATGTTCGTATCTTTACATCTCATCATGCGACATAATCCGCCTCGAACGAGAGGTCTTTCCCAAATTGAACTTTCAAGAGATTTTATGAGATTGTGTAGTTCTTTGTGTGCGCCGTACTGGTCCGTAGTAAGAAGACTGATCCTCTCGTTCCGGAGGATTTGATTTTTTGGAATGAATTAGCGAATGGGTTGAAAGAAGTTCTAAATAAGTCACCGGAATCAGTGGGCGCTGGGACAGGGTGGGGGGTACTAGGGCTGCAATCGAAACACCGAATCACGCCCGGGCGAGCACGAAACAGGTTTCCACAGCCGGGATAAGAAGAATGAGAGATCTGAGGAGCTTGCCGGAAGCTGGATACGGCAGCAAGACAAGGCCGCGTTTCGAGAGGAGCGGGCCAACATAAGTAATCGACAAGCAGGCACCGCGGAGGTTCCACGGTCAGGCTTTTAGTTCATGCCGATGGCTTTCCTCATTGGTCTATCTTGTTTAACATACATGACATGACTTTTGCTCACAAATTTGACTGTTTATTTACACTTTACATTCCTATCACCCTCTTCTTTTCATCGTTTCAAGGCCAATGTGCGCGTCACATGCGTCTTCCAGTATTGTAGCACTCTCAGGAATACTAATATGCCGGGTGACTTTTAAATATGGTCTAGTGGATCTTGGCATTAGGGTTTGAGAAACAATCGAAGAGTGGACACCGATTTCCGGAAGTACTGTATACTTGGGTGTTCGTGCTAAGTTAAATTGGGTTCGCGATAGTTGCTTCAAAGAGGAATGCTGTTCAGTGCCTGTACACAGTGAACTCCATGACAAGAAAAATCACGTAGGCAGCAAGAAGTACTAGGCCAGCAACTCGGTGGGATCCCAGAAAGACGATCGCTAGGAGGGACAACGAGGATACCCAAACTGTCACAAGATCAAATAGAACAAAAGTATCTGACCGATCGAGGGGTCCTCCCGCCACCGCGACAATACCGACACATAGCGTTAGGAGGAAGATATTACTCCCTGCTGTTGTTGCAACAATTATGCCTCCCTGTCCACGAAAGCCACTGAAAATAGCAATCAACTTCTCTGGCAGAGTCGTGGCAAAAGAGATCACGGTTAAGCCAAAGACAGTTCCTGACAGATGCAGAGAATCAGCGATGGTACCTGCGCTGCGGGCAAGGATATATCCCGACAAGGAGAGCGCTAGCAGTCCAATAATAAGTTGGAGGACATGATGATAAAGCGGTCGCGGGAGCTTTTCGTCCTTGTTCACAGATGCATTTATTATTTCATGGGGCGTGCTCGTATCTCGTAACAGAGGAGAAGCCTCTGAAACTGACGGCCTGGCACTCTGCCCTAGTGTCTGTTCATCACCAACATCGGTTGATTCATCGTCACTTTCACTGTCCGACAGCTGAGGCGGTTCACTGATACCTCTGTAAATGGCATATCCAATAGAGACGATGTAGAGTGCAAAGAGAGCGATGAGAAGCCCACCGGTAACTCTATTCAGCTGTTGAAAATATGCCAATATGACGAATAGAGTGGTGACAAAGAACAGGAGCGCAGAATATATCTTCGCGCTACTATCAAAGGGGGCCCCGCCCGGATGACATAAAAGCCCCAGCGAAAAGGCACCGAGGATGTTAGAAATTGTAGATCCCATGACGTTGCCTAGGGCTAAAGGGGTGCGACGTTGTAGGATTGCAGCGACAACGACAGCGAGCTAGGGAGACCTTGTCAGCACCGACCAGACAGAGGGTGGAACTCGAACCAATGTACCTCTTCATATTCGGCTCCAGCAGTCAAAAGGGCAATAAGAGTCGGTGAGATGCCCAGTCGCTCTCCTACGATCACAGTGTGATCGATGAATTTATCCGCACCATAGTCAAGGACAAAGACCCCGGCAATGAACGCTGCCGTGTTAAAAAAGAGACTGTCCCAATCCATTGCATAGGTGTCGGTATATTTAGTCCTGCACAGCCGTAGCCTTCAAGTATTGTATCCCAGGGAAACCAGATGGATGGTTGTTAGTAGGCGGAAAAAGCTTGATCCGTAACTACTGCCGCTTTAAGCTCACAGGACAAATTCTGCAGTCTTTTTTGACTAGGCTTTAGATGCAAGAGCGCGACTAACACTAGATTTCGTTGCTTAGACGTCGAACTTATCCCAAAAAAAACCGACATCCCGTTAAGATACATCGTGGGGTTTTCGAGTAGGTGATCGCATAGAGCCTTCTAGCATGCTAGAGTGATGCTTCGCGGTCGACCACCTTTATTAGGCGGTGCTTTAGCGCTATGGAACGCCCTGTATATTAGGAGAGATTCTTAGGATGGTACGCCGGTTACAGCCAGCAGCCCGTGCCATCTGCGACACAGATAGTTCTCCTTTGTAAATCATTGCCAGAGATAAACTCATGCTTTGGAGGGAGGGGCTAGGTTTGGCGCTATTCTAGGGTGACCGCTTGTGATTGATTGTTAAGATTACCCCGTAGTGTACACACGGGAGGTGGTGGTTTTCAAGGTGAGGGTATAGAGGTGTCAGATGTATTAAATTTACACGCAAATACACCGGCTATAATGCTAGGTAATATATGTAAGAAATAATACATGCCTCACTGACAGGAATATTCCGAAAAACTCCCGATATATACTAGTATGTCCTAGCATTGGGGTTTGAGAAACAATTGAAGAGTGTAGGTGGTGACACCAGTTTCGAGACGTACTGTAGCATAGTCGCTCCATTTGCTAGTCAAGAATACATTGACGACGGCAGCAAATGATGGTCTCTGGCTTGGCGCCGGTGGTATTTGGGTGTCAGCCTTGCTTATGTGCTTCCTACCCAGTGAGAGAAGTAATCGGCAAATATATTAATTGCGCCGTAAGCTTACGCTTCTTAGTACGTTGCTGTGCCTAACAAATCAAACATAGAGATGTTGGGAGATCAATGTCAAGAATCATCGACATACTGTTTCACTTTGAATTGTGAGCATGTAGAAGTTCTCACGCCTTCAACCCCTAGAGAAATCTATTTATAATGCGACCGAATAAATTCAATCCATTCATCCGGGGTACTAGCTGTGACCTTCCTATATTTGTTTCCAGAGAAAGCCTCCAACATAGGATTGAGAGCTATCTACTGAGGATGCTGACCGGAAATTGCTGTCTGAGGCAAGGAGCTTATAAGGACGTCACGCCTGTGTTGGCTCTCTTTCCTCTAGAGCTACGTGGCTTTCATTCTTCGCGCCTTCCTTTCATTGAGATGACAACTTTTGTTGGGATCCGATTGATCAATCTCAAACCTTGTGTACTGTAGATGTCAAGACATACACGTATGCTACAGCAAGCTGCAGCACAACTCGCAGCATGCATAGTCCAATCACAAGCACCTATTCTATCATTCACTACTGCATACCGGGGGCCAAAAGTGCCCTGATCCGTTGCGTTGGGTTAACAACGGACTCCGAATTGCCAAGCCGTGATCGCCCCTAAGTTGGGACTCCGGCACAGGAAAATCCCGGCACATCATATCCCTGACCGAGTGTTCAGTACCTGATTGATCACAATGCAACAGATACAGTTCTCTAGCCTCACACCCTTGCCTCCCTCGGTCTCCCAGGAGACCATCATCGAGAAGCTTCACGATCATGGAGCTATGATCGAACAAAACCCACTGGTGATCCACTACAAGCGGTGTCAGCCGCCAGCAGATGCACCGCACGATGAAGCCCTTCGCACCTGGTATGAGCTGACCGACCGGATCGTTTACATCCCCGGTCTGCTCTATGGGAAGATCCGGTATCGCGCCAGCTTCGAAAATACCCCCTTGGGCCTCAAAACCCACATTTATGCCCCACTGGGGGTTGACATCCGGAATGAATGGAGTGTCTCCGAGCGACCGCCCGGTGAATCGCAAGATAAACAAGGATTATATCTCCGCGAAGAAAATGATTTGCGGTGCCCATTTGGAACGGCATTCTTTGTGCGCAAAAACGTCGAACAATCTCACTCGACTTTAGTGGCGCGGTTAGCCAAGTGATGGAGGGGCAGTACTCCATAAGCTATGGCGGGGCGATAATTTGTCATTCTGATGCAGTTAATTAGCCAATTAGTGAAGCTGACAAGATTTGGAATTTACGAGGATTTGTGGAAACGGGAAAAGCTCCCTAAAGCCAATTTTTGATATGACGCAAGGGTACTGGGTACCTGGTCCCACCAGCGTAAAAATGCGGGCGACGGAAGTAGTTGTGACCTGCAGCGAAGCTCAGCATTTCCCAAGGGAGACCGACTGTTAAATAGCTCTTCCTCCCCTCCCCAAAGGTCCCCAAAGCTGAGAACCTTGCGAGAATCAAAATGCCTCTTTCCGGACACTGCCTTTGCAAAGCCGTCACGTACACCGTCGACGTGGACGCGCCCCTCATCACCGCCTATGACCACTGTGATGACTGCCAGCGTCAGAGCGGTTCGACCTACTGTACATCCGCCCACTTCCGCCTATTGAATTCAATTTGCTGACTCTATTAGCCCTGGTCACCGTCGTCCCCAAGGACAAGCTGACCATCAACGGACCTACCAAGAGCTGGGCTGGTAAGGGATCTTCCGGTCACGCTGTCCACCGCATCTTCTGCTCTGAGTGTGGCTCCCCCATTGCTCATGATCCTGATGCCGCCCCCGAGATCATTGCCCTCAAGGCTGGAACCCTGGACACTGAGATCAAGAAGACCCTGAAGCCGGTATGTGCAGCACATCGATTGCTGGTCACATATGTGACACGAGTTATTGGATTCGAGCTAATATCTTTTCGTGTAGGACACCGAGATCTGGACCGTCAGCAAGCTTCCCTTCTGCCAGGAGTCCCTGGCTCACCCCTTCAAGAACATGCCCGAGTAAGGATGAGGTACGAAAGGAAATGGGGGTGTTCTATGGCTTATCATGAGAAATGACGATACAACGAAATAGCCGAATTTGTCTTGTATTTATCCAATCATGCTTTCTGCTGTACAACCTTGTCACAGCCCCACCGCGTAGAGTAATAGCTGAAGTAGTATCAGAAGCCTCGGTGTATTTCGGATATCAATGGTGGAAATATGGTGGCATCGACGATACCTTAAAAGGTTGCCAGTACTTCGTTAGCTTGATCTAAACCCACTCGAAGTGTTCACATTCAATCATGTCTACCGGGGTTTTATTCATCCGCGACTCACGCACCAACGTGAACTATGAGATCCCAATCCACCGCAACGCAATACGTGCCACCGATGTACGAAGAATCCAGGCTTCCTCAGTTGGGAGCGATCGGGCAGATCAAGTTGCTCATGGATTGCGTATTTATGACCCGGGGTTGCAGAATACCGCCGTCACAGAATCGGCGATCAGTTTCTCGTGAGCAAAAATAACCACGCGGTAGATTATTGGCTGATATCTCCACAGTGACCATGAACAGGGCCTGCTTCTGTATCGCGGCTATACCCTAGAGCAGCTATGGGAAGCCGACTTCGAAGAAATGTTCCATTTGCTAGTTTGGGGGACTTTTCCAACTACAGCCCAGCGTACAGAGCTGCAGCAGAAGCTGTCGCGACACATGCAGGATGTTCCTAATATTGTCTACAAGACCATACTCGGCTTCCCGTATGATCTGACTTTCATTGCAGTACTTTGTCTCCTCGTCGCATTACAGTCCTAATGATATGTGCTTGAACATAGAAAGGAAACAAGCCCACTTCCACTGATCATGACTGGACTGTCCGCCTACTTGGCATGTGTAACAGATGGCATTCCAGCCTTCAACGAGGCATCTATGTACCAAAGAGACATCGAAAGAGCCGACCAGATCATCCTCAAAACTGTCGCGACCTACGGTGTGATATTTGCTATCGTACGCTGCTACCGACTAGGCTTAACACCTGAATCGCCCTCTATGGACCTACCCTACTACGAGAATATTTTCAAAATGGCACGCCTCGTCAATCCAGCCACGAACCTGGTAGACCCGGGCAAGGTATCCTGCTTCCGTCGCTTCGGCACTCTCAACGCCGAGCACGGAATGGCCTTATCAGTCTTCTCAACACTTGTCACAGCATCATCACTGACCGACCCCATCTCGTGTCTGATCTCAGCGGTAGCCGCCGCCCATGGACCATTACATTTCGGCGCTACAGAGTCTGCTCAGCGTACCCTTCATGAAACCGGAGAACCAAAGAATGTCCCGGCTTTCATTGAAGAAGTCAAAGCAGGCAAAAAGAAGTTATTCGGCTATGGTCATCGGACCTACAAGGGCATGGATCCGCGCGTGGGTCCTATTCAGAGTATCCTGAAAGATCTAACCCACGTGGACCAGCCACTTTTGAAGATTGCTGAGGCTATTGAGAAGGCGGCCCAGAAGGATGAGTATTTTCTATCTCGGGGGTTGTATCCCAATGCCGACTTTTATGGGAATTTCGTGTTCACTGGGATGTGAGTATCGACTACTTTGGATTTCGTGGCTTGGGACTATCTGATGGATGTATCTGCTAGTGGCTTTGAACCTGATATCATCCCAGCTGCAATGCTTGTCCATCGTATCATGGGAATTATGGCGCATTGGAGAGAGTACACGGGTACGTCACTTCCACTGATAGCAAATACCGATGAGTTCCTAATTGATGAGGTGTAGTCAATCGGGGTAAGCTATTCCGGCCAACCCATATCTATACTGGTCATGTCGAACCTTTGTTGAATCCTATTGCGAAATTTTGAACTGGTCAAATTCTGCCGGAGCTGAGGTCAGATATCCGACCACTTGAAGGATCAATGACGATAGTCACTTTTTAGTTGATCAAAATCTATCGCAAATATATGCTGTGGAAGATTAAATCTTTAAAAGGCTGTGTATTATGCAGCAAGGTCTGCATAAGTATGTTCGTATGTTGGCTTAGACTCGGTAAAAGTAGTACACACGAACGGTGTATTTATTATCTAAAGTCCCCATGGCTTTTGGCAACAAATTCTTCCTTCACACAAGTTAAATAATCTGTTCAAACAACTATGAGGAACTCTGACACTCATCAAGCACCTCTTCACGGGGAAGAGGCCAACGACACGACGCCCTTGTTACAGACCGGACCTACTGATGAGCCCTCTTCCGTGTTCACACCAATGCAGAAGCGCCTGATTATCTTAACTGCAGCCCTGGCATCTAGCTTTTCTCCTCTGTCAGCAAACATTTACTACCCATCTTTGAACTCACTTGCAAAGGACTTGCATGTCAGTCCATCTCAAATCAGCCTGACAATCACTTCGTACATGGTATGACTATTTATCCCGACTCCAAGATTGCTTGAGACTGCTACTGAAAATCATGTCCAAGTTATGCCAGGGCCTTGCTCCAATGTTCACAGGCTCACTAGCAGATCGAGGAGGTCGTCGACCAGTGTACATCCTATGTTTCGTGATCTACATTCTCGCCAACATTTCCCTCGCCCTACAACACAACTTCCAGGCCTTGCTGCTCCTTCGTGGAGTTCAAAGCTGCGGTAGTAGTGGGACGGTTGCCCTTGCATCTGCGGTGGCAGCAGATATCATAACATCTGCCGAAAGAGGCCTATACATGGGATTCACGTCTCTGGGAAATATTCTCGCACCATCGATAGGACCAATCCTTGGGGGTGCCTTGAACAAGTATCTAGGATGGCAGGCAATCTTCTGGTTTCTCGCTATCGCATCTGGAGCGTTCTTCGTACCGCTATTGCTGTTCTTTCCAGAGACATGCCGGGCGATTGTGGGCAATGGGTCAATCACCGCAGTCGGCTGGAATAGTTCAATTTGGTACTACACACGAATATCTACCCCAGCCGCCCCTCCCTTTACGTTACCGAGGCGTCGTAGCCAGACGCACAGTCACCGGTCAGCTTTACGCCTGCTCTTTCACAGACCCGCCGGACTAATAATTCTGTCGAACGGTGTTGTTTTCGCCAGCTACTATGCCGTTACGACTAGCATCCCCGTGCAATTCGAGAAAATCTACAATCTCGATAGTTTCCACATTGGCCTTTGCTTCATCCCCGCAGGTCTGGGCTCTTTGTTCAGTGCAACTGCCAACGGAGTATTAGTTGACTGGAACTACCGGCGAATCCGCTGTCGAGCGGGTCTAACGGTACACAAGGACCAGAAACAGGACATCCTCGGCTTTCCAATTGAAAAAGCGAGGTTGCAGATTGGCTTACCAATGACGGTAAGCTGCCTTGTCATATGTGAATGTCTCAAATATACCATGGCCAGGCTCTGACTTCCCATTCTAGATACTTGCGTCGGTCTCCATTGTGGCCTACGGGGTGTTGCTACCTGTGGAACCAGCTCTTCACGTTTCCCTGTTGCTTATCTTTGCAATTTGCTTTTGTATAACAGCAGCGTACAGTGTAATGAACACTCTCATCGTGGATCTGTACTACGACAGGCCGGCCACTGTAATGGCTGCGAATAACCTTGTTCGATGTTTTCTTGGCGCTGGTGCTGCGGCAGCTGTCAACCCCTTGATTCGGGCAATTGGTGTGCAATGGACTTACTGTCTTGTTTCAGGTACTGTGTTGCTTATCACCCCTCTTCTTTGTTTGGTTTATTTCCGAGGTTGGAGCTGGCGTAAGAAGCAAGCTGAGGTTGATGTACAACAACGGATTGTATATGGGCAGCCAGACTAGAGGCAATGGAACCTATATATTTGGAACCCGAGAAGAATGGATAGCATTTATGAAGTTATTCGTCCTAAATCACCTTTTATCTATCACATTTTTCAACCTTTTTACCTCACTTGAAAGGAAGGATGTCGAGTCTGGTAGTAATTCTGTACATGCTTCTTACGGTGACTGCACAAGTCAGTTCCCATTTATCTCTTACTACCAAGATATTACATCTTAGGTACCCTGGGTGCAAGTGGATGGAGCCTGGCATGACATTGGACATTCTAGGTATGATAATAATTGAATAATTGACACCAATACGCTGATAATGGCTCAGAGACCACAGTGGTTCCCGAAATCAGCGGCAAGGACCTCGATTACAACAAAACATACCTGGCCCTGTTCGTTGACCTCGACGTTATAATGCCCAGCACGGGTACAGGAACAGTCGTTTTACACTGGTATCAATCAAATCTCTCCAAAAAGTCCACGAAACATCATCCTCCGTCTCATTTGGTTCCTGACAAGGACTACGAGGATTTCCCGGACATTGAAGCTCCCTACATTCCCCCCCGTGCCCCGCCAAACACACAGCACCGTTACGTCTACTTCCTGTTCGAGCAGCCCCCAGCCTATTGTTTCCCACATTGCTTCGCACAGATATTCCCACAGACCCCGGAGGCCCGTGCAGGATTTGATATTCCAAAGTTTATTCAAGCTGCCAAGCTGGATTCCCCCCTCGCCATGAATTATTTCGTTGGATGGCACGAACCGACAAGCGGAGACCCTACATCGGCGATGCCGAGTGCAACAACAACTTCCTTTCGTTCTGTGAACTGTCCTACAAGCTCTTCTAGCTTCGTGGCATGATGGAGAGGGTTATCTAGACCACTCATTGGGTATTGGGTCGAGATAGGTACGGCCTATCTAAGCTATAATTTTTGAAGCTTTGTACAGCTGTTGTAGGGTTCCAGCCTCTGGGGAAACATGGACATGGTTAAAGCTGCAGTTGCACAAGCATTGGATAAAATATTCCAAATCACTTATGCACCTCAAAAATTGTTACGGCATTATGTATCTCCTAGGTTTCTTTTTTTCAACATGTTTCGGGCATTGCGTGCCGGTCTCGTTACGCTCGTAGTGGTTGTGAAGTATTTTTTTTACAAGCTGTCTGATCGATATATTGTCTTTTTTTCGACAGAATTGAAGTTATGGTGGAGCAGAACCTCATTTTGGATAACGGACTACCCAATACACAAATCACCCATTTTTACCCATTAGTAGAAGTATGAATCGGTTTATCTTATTGACCCGTAAGTATGCGCATAGGTTATTAAGATAAAGAACGTATTTTAGCTGGTGGGCCCCATGAACAGGCCGCTCATACCCTGGACCTACAGAGTACCGGCACAACCACGCGGAAAAGTGTCGATGGGAAAACTCACTGGCGTATCCCTCGTGTATCTATAGTTTAGCTACCTACTACGCAAGGTAAGGGAACAACCGTTAAAAGGAGATAATAATACAAAGTGTTGTGATAAACTGGGTTCTAGACACCGAAGCTGTCAATTGGAAACGCTAGGAGCATTAAAAGTGATTACGGGCCGCAACAAAGCGGTGTATTCTTTTCTGAAATGCAGATATTTAGTTCACCATCTACAGTATAGTTCCTTTATTAAACACGAGGGCAACTTGGTACGATTGCACCTTAGAAATACAACGCTTCACTGCTCCCATTAACGCCCATTCTCAGTGTCCCTTAAGGTGATTTATACAATATTTTGCAAATCCTAGTTAGCTTTGACTAGGGGCTTACGGATTTAATAATGAGAGATTTTGCTCGTTCTTGGGGCTTCCCGAACGGACTATGCATGTTATAACACCATGTTTGGCGTGACTATATATTGTGTAATAGAAGCTTTTAGTCAGACGGTTGAGCTGTTTGGAAAAGCCTTACTAAGGCAAACGAACAAATTCACATACCGTTGGATGACGGTTCCGCCACTTGTAACTGAGTCCCTGCTTGTCACGGGCTTTATTGAGGTCTCCAAGCATTTCCATCACATATGATTTGAAGGCTGAAATAGGAAGTTGTTCTGCCGTCTACCTGGGAAATCTGATCAATGTGAGACACTTCAGGGCTCTGCCAAATCCTGACATAATGTGGCTTACTACGCTCCAGGGCTGGAAGTTTGAAGATTTTACAATACCGGACAAGACATTGCGGCATAAGAAGCAGCCTATTTTCAGTCCCTTTAACTTCAATCTCCTGAAATGTTCTTCATAGATTGGCTTGGAAAGTCACTAACGCGGTGGCAGTTACGAGTATGCAAGGTACCTTCACGGTACTTGTGTGTCGGCCCCGAAAATGGGTGGGACAGAACAATTTGTCAATTAGGTTCTCTGCATGTAACTTAAACTGGCCTTGGCAGTCGGTGTGGAGGAATCTCACCTTGAGTTGTGGGTAGAGAGTGGGCTCGATAATGCCAGAAAACGCGGTTGAAGGCGTTGTTGGACAACTACAAGCTCTATCCGGTGATGTGCAGACTACATCAGTGGACCCAGGATACAAATATCCCTAAGAAACCCAGACAATTGCCAGATCATAGCCATCATTACTCAATGATTTCAATCACAAGCCTTGAACAACGAACTTTCTTCGAAGGATATTGTTGTATCCTTCGCATACCTTACGATGAGATCGGTGACCCCTGATTTGGATCCTTCCCAAGCCACCGATGAGGAGCCCAGTCGGAAGATGCGCGAGACTTGCAACGCCTGCCAAGCAGCCAAGATAGGCTGCGGGCACCAACGTCCCACGTGTACGCGATGTGAGAAGCACGGGCTCGAGTGCATATACTCCATGTCTCTGCCGCTAGGACGACCAGCCAAGAACAAGACCAGACGTTCTCGACCGGTCTCAGGCGAGCAGTTGAGAGGTCTTCAGTCGGGTCCTATTAATCGCGTGGTGCGGCAGGGGAAACACGGAAGGGAATCAAGGAGGAGGCGACAACAGAGTCCAAGGGTATGCAGAGACCCGGTTCCGCCACACAGGAGCGACTCGAGCGCCGAGGAGGTTACATCCGAGGTTGGTGGCTCGCAGGCGACTGGTTGTACAGAGATTTCGGCAGTTGGATTCTTTGGTGAGCACAGACTGAGACCTGGAATATAAATAGACTGACCATAACTGGGTTCTATAGAGACTGGTGACCCTATCGGAGACTGGATTCTGGAGCAAGAGTGCGCCATCGCACGGGGAGCAGGACCTATCGATTATTCAGGGTTATTCCACAACTTGACCTTGGAGAATAGGTGCATTTCCAACACTCCCACGTTCCACACAGGATTCAAATCTTTGTGCATTCCGCGTACTCACTTTCCTACACAGAACCAGGGTCTTCCCGCAATCGGCCCAATGGCAGACGCATCTCTCACGATTCACATTGTGGATAGAGGATTGAACTTTGCCAAAGTAGCTGCACCAAATACCCAGACCACGGCATACTTTCCAGGTGTATTATGCACGACCGGGACTTTCATTTCAAACGACGAAGAGGCGTTCCATCCGACACAGGACCCGTGGAGAGTTCCTGGGATGCCCCCCAGCAACATCTTCTCGAGCCCCATGGACACTGGCAGCATGGATCAATCTCTTTCGTCAGAAGAGAGCGGCCCAGAGTCACTCTCTGAATGTACCTCTTCTCTTCGCTGTGATTGCCACGAACTAGCATCGAGCGAAGTTGTTCGAGCCCTTGAATCAAAGAGTACCCGGAGGATGCTGTTTCACCTGGGAAGGGTGCAGCAACAGGCAGAGAAGATCCTCGAATGTCCCTTTTGCAGCGTGTCCAAATCCCGGGCTAACGTCTTCATACTTATAGTCATGGCGATTGACACGGTGCTGCCGATATTGGAGATGACGGCAACGTCTGCCAGTGTCAGTGTGGACGGAGAGTTTCATTCGGGTCGAGGAGAAGTGGTAGACCTCAGCCAGTCGCGCGCGTGTCTGTCTAACTTGTCATTTGTTGTCCGTAGAATTTGTAAAGTCTTGCTTTCTGCCTCCCCTTCTGACGGGCAGTTGGCTTTGGCTGAGGAAACAGACCGGCGACTGCGGTTGATTATTCAGTTGATTGAGTGATCACTGGCTGGGCTAGGTGCTGTGTAAATAGTTGAACGGTTGAATGCACACGGTCAGGGCTTTTCCCAACACTTCTCACAATTGCAAAGATTACCACATGATCCTAGAGGCAATGGATGCATGGCAACATTTTTGACCCAGGATGGAGACTGCAAGCCTTCTCCATGTCCCAGGTCACAGCATGACAGGCTGCGAGCGGACGGTTTTAAATCTCAGTGTCTAGTGTTGTCAAAAAGGATCTCGTGATCTATCTTGAGTCATGTACAATTACCCATTGGTTCATCAGATATGTGATGCAGCATCCCAAAGGACTCTGAGACATGATTCCCCTCTCTGGCATGAGACAGTTTGACGAACATCTCGAACTGGGCCGAGGGTCTCAGGCGGCTACTTAGGATACTATAAATCAACCAGAAGCTGGCATTAGACCGATGCGGAATATATTGAACTAGACCACATAAAGCCATGCATTGTAATCGGACCCCGGTTGGATTCCATACCAAATTTACACAAGGCTCTGGATGAATAGAAACAAGAAAAAACTGCCCGTGTACCTCGGTTCCATCTTTCAAACTCCACCACCTTGTCCGTTCGATCTCGACCGTAGTGAAATGTTAATAAATTCTGCTGACAGAGCTTTATTTCGGCCAGGGCTTTGCAAAGACTCCGGTCCATTGTCCCCAGCCAATTACCTTGCCCTCCATAGCATGTTTGATGTCATTTTTGGTAGTTCCTTCGGGAGACTTGAATTTCAGTGACGCATTGAGAGCGACGATCGTGAAGACGTAACGGTGCGAGCCGTGGCCCAAAGGTGCACCTGCACCGGCGTAGGGTGTTCCCAACATGTTTGGAACAAATCGCCAACCAGCGGTGGTCTGGCGGGAGATTTTGGCGTGTTCATCGGGTTTGATGTCTTCGGGACTGGCAGAGAGGGTTGAAGCCGGAATCGCCCATAGGAGCCCGTGATGAAAGACGAATAATGGGATTGGTGCATCTAGGTCCTCACAGATCAGGACATACTCCTGGACCTGCTCACGACAGGTTGGGGGAGTCCACCGCAGTTCAGGGAGATATCCTCTGCCGTCGTCAGCTAGGCAAGAACAGTGAAGTGGCAGTTTCGATCCTGATGGACCGCATTCAGGGGATTCAAGGGTCATGTTCGGTTCGGGAAATTCTTTGAAAGCCGGCGAACGGATGATTTGGTGGACATCATGGCCGCGACAGGCGTATAACAGTCGGCCGACGATGAACTCGAAGTAATGTAAAATACCCATGGATATGTCGTTTGTCAGCATGTGAATGTATTTCTTTTGAATGCGAACAAAGAGAAGAATAGAAAGGCAGAAAAGCTGAAGTTCATCTGAAACCCGGCCCATTTGGGAAGTAGCCCTGGACCGGCCCTGAATCGGGATGTGCCCATTATTGCAGTGATTTGGTCTTTTTTGGGTGTTGTTCAGCTGTCTTGGGCTATTGCCAAGATTTATATACTCCGTTCGATTCCTACTTTCCGTAAACTGTTCATCGCGTGTCGTTCAAACACGAGTCCAAGAAATAAATTTTGTGATAAACTGAACACCCGTGCCGGTCTCACCCAAACTTTTCACACCGGTCTATAAGCCTCTAAGATAAAAATTGAGTGATTAAAAAATGTGGTCGCTTTATATTCGTGACTTCATCTGAGACAACTGTCTCATCTCTAGTAGTCTCTAGAGCAAATATTATACACATGTGAATCAAACTAATATGTCCGAGAGTTCACCATTTCATCGGACAGAACATCTATAGAATGCTTTACTGCACGGTGTTTGGGAGCGGGCTTCCACAAATCGCTAATAAGTTTCAGCCACCACCTCCCTGCGCAACCAGTCGTCGGTCTTTTGTTCCTGGGCCATTTGAGCCTCATCTTGCCCATCACAAGCACCACGGTGATAATCTAAAACCTCAAAGTACCTTCAAATCATCAGTACAACCTTACCATATATATAGTGAGTGGACTTACATCTTAGTTTTCCACTCCTCCGAGGATAGCTCCGAATCGAGAAGGGACCAATCAAGTTGCCTGTCGAAGACAGGTTCATCTTCGGGGTCAGAGTAGGTCGAGACATATGGGTGGGCGAGGGCTTCTGTCGTTGTGATTCTTTTTTCCGGGTCGATGTCGAGCATCTTCTCCAACAAATCAACGGCTATTAAGGTCAGTATCTGTAGAAGCTGAGGAGTCGATAAAAACGAAAGACATACCTTGAGGGTCTGCATCTCCAAGGATAGACTTAAGTGGTCGGCGCTCTGTTTCTGGTAGAGACTGAACAAACTGCAGCGTCTGAAGTTCCTGTCAGTGTCCGCCCATCTCAGCTTTGGTGGTATACATACAGTCTTGCTGTAAACTCTCTCCATAACCTCTTTAGGAGGTTTACCCAGCATCTCAGTAATCAGAGTAAATTGATGCACATGATCCTTTCCAGGGAAGAGAACCCGTCCGAGAAGCATCTCTGCCAAGATACAGCCAACGCTCCAAACATCCACAGCGTGAGTGTATTTCTGCCAGGTCAACATAATCTCTGGTGCTCGATAGTATCGTGTGGTGACATAACCAGTCATCTGGTGGTCTTGTTCTCGAGCCAATCCAAAGTCGCAAATCTTCAAGTCACAATTGTCGTTGATTAGGAGGTTGCTGGGTTTGAGATCGCGATGGATCACACCGGCAGAATGGATGTATTTTAATCCTCGCTGGGTCGGTCAACGATGGTATCTTTACGAGTCGATTTGTTGAGACATACCAGTATTTGATATGTGAAGAACTGTATGAACTGGCCCTCCAATGGCTTTTTAGCCGATTGAATAAGCTGGTGGAGATCTGTCATGACACAGTCCATCACAAGGTAACTGCAATGCATCATCAGTATGATTTTTCAACGCTGAACAAAGCAATTTGAGCCTTACAGATCCTCAGATGGGGAGATGAAGATATCGCGCATGTTGATCAACTACTTCGCATTAGTTTCCGCCGCTGAGACGTTGTGCAGCTAGCAGGTTCGACATACGTTATCATGCCGCAGGTTACTGATCAAGTGAACCTCACGATACGTGCGCCTGGCCACAGCAGTAGATGCAAACGGCCTGGCTATCTTTTTAATGGCGACCGTTTGGTTAGTAATGCAGTCTTTGGCCGAGCTTTTAACCGTCAGCAACTACTCAATGCCGTTGTGCGATGGTTGGTATATACCAGATAACACCAGAGACGCCAACTCCTCGAGCGTCTAGGTCCGAGTATCGATTTGTAGTTTCTAGGGTCGTACCCATGATTTCTCTTTTTATAAATGTAGCCATGATTGAGAGTCAATACAGTCCATGAATTGGGAATGGAATAGCGGAGAAGAGAAGAATGTGCGATTCCGATCTTATATCATAGACCGAGAGCTCCAAGGTCAGTTACATCATAGCCGACTACAACAACAGATCATTTCGGACCGGTTTGCCACCCACTATCACGATGTCTGATTGGCTTACAGCGTGGCAGAGTCCCCGCTTTTCTATCACCCCATATATCCAGTCTTGTCTGGAGAGCCCTGCGACAGTCGGAATCCGTACCCAACCCAATCACAAAATGACATTATTGGATCCCATCCACTGTGGACCTGAACGCGTTCAAGGCTGATAACTGCACCCCATGGCAAATGAGCTCCGTCAATTATACCCACGGGATATAACCAGTTTTGAGCCAAACTCTACGTAGGAGTTGTTTTACTGATGTTCCATGTTCCCTGTTCAAGGAAGACAGTACATGTACTCCGTACATAATGTCATAGATGTACGTATGTGGGCGGTTTATCTCCCTGGTGAATGCTTTTGTGGTTTCGAGCGTGTCGATCTAGAAGCCCTGGTGGTTCCAAGGATCTGTGAGCTTCTAAATATAACTTGACACGGGCGTGTTATTAAGGTGATGCCTTAAAGCAAATCCTCGTCCCTTGGGGACTGCAGATGTCTTGGCGCTGGCTCATTTACCACTCTATGGGGAATTAGAACTGCTAATTAGAGCGCACTGGGGCCAATATTATTTTTGAAGCTCTTCTTTCTCTTTGTCTCGTTTTAATCTTTTTATCAACAGATCCGCGCCCAAAATGATTCAAGAGAACTTGCTATGAATATTTCCATGCCATACCCCCCCCCCCACGAAGTAATGCCCCACCATCGCGCGCCCGGGCCAGCATCATCATATACTAGCATCGACAAGCGCAGTTCGTTCTCTCCCTGGTAGGATCAAATTTTGGGCAGTGGGCCAACTCAAAAACACCGTTGCTAGCGGCTCCATTTGAGAAACGTATCTGTGCGAGCTGTATGGTCACTACTCCATGCTAGCCAACCTCTTTCTCGATTCAATCATGAGACAAATCCGACCGATAGCCATAAAACTCCCCAGTTTCCTCCAAAATTAACGGAATCTCATCCTCAGCCAACGAAATGAATGTGTTCTTCTCCAAAGGCCGCCAACCCAGTTTCCGAAGTCGATTCGCGCGATTTCTGGCGTTCGATCCCGCGATTGCAACGGTGGACTCCCCAAAGAGATCATTGTAGTTTTCGAATGGGACTGTTTGAGGCTCAGGGCCATCAATCCGTCCTTCTATCGCTAAGAGTCGACCAATCTCGGCTGCGCAGTCTCCCCAGGAGAGCTCTTCGCCATTCTCACAGAAGAAGTATGGATTCTCCAGGACCTCATCGGTAGAGGAACGCTCCATCCAGTGCAACAATGTCATATAGCCTCTCGCTAGATCCTTCACATGGATATATCCCCAGACTGAAAGTCCGCTTCCGACCTGACCTACGTACCCGTGTTTCAGGGAGTATCGAATGTGCGTGGGCAATTGAATCGACAGACGCTTTTCCCGAGTGCTAACACCATAGATAACAGGAGGAATCATAATGGCAATCTTAGCAAACTTCGCCAGAGCCTGACGCGCGCCAACAATTTCCAGATCAATCTGCCGATGCGGCGCATCCAATCTCAACGTATCGATCTGAGAAGGTCGTTCATCGTCATAAATGACATTATCCATATATCTTCCCGCAGCTTTATCAGCCAAAAGTGAAGCACCACTGGTGTGGATGTAATATGTCATGAGCCCTTGTTCAGCCCGTGTCCTAATACCATCAAGAACCGACTGGACGGATAATAAGTGATCTGAACTTGCGGTGTGGAAGACAATATCACTAGCAGCAACCTGGCCCCTGATCAATCGCCCGTCGTCCAAGGTTCCAATGACGGCTTTGACGCCTAGCTTGGTAAATTCCGCGACCGCGCTATGGCGACGGACGAGAGCGGTGACTGCATAGTTCTCCTCGAGGAGGTGGTCGAGGAGCTCTCCACCGATGAAGCCCGGGCCGATTAGGAAGACGGAGAATGGCATATCAAGAGAGTGACTTGGATGGACTTTCGGGGGTTCTGGAACTCATGTTATGTTGTAAGGCTTGGTGACCGCAGATTGACGTATCGGCAAGTCAAACCAGTGGAATGCCCAGAGACCCCATGCTGTGCAATGCTGGTACTTAATAACAGTAAACGAACAATAGTGAGGCACTTCTTAAGCCCAAAGAATAAAGAAGACCTCACTATTTGTATACAGTTGTGTTATACTTCAGGGCCGAGTTCCTGCCGATCCCTGACGTCATCAAGGGCTATACACCGAACTTCCGCCCGCATCCGTCAGTTCCGTTTGTACCTTTTTTGCCTTGGGGGAAACTCCTTGGAAAATTACGTCCCCCCATGCTGTCCTCTGTATTTGCCGCATTTCAGTCTCCGACACCCGAGGGAGTACAACAGCGACCCCCGCGGTATGCCGGCGAGGACACAACCCCCACGAGCCGCCGGGAGATCCTTGGGTGGTACTCGTACGGGATTGCGGCTGAGGTGTTCGCGGTGTGTGGCGTAGGTTCGTGGAAACTTCCTCCAATGTATAAACAAATTACTGATCGGCATTAGGATCATTCCTTCCCCTCACCCTCGAACAACTGGCCCGGGAACGCGGCGTCCTACAGACGAGTCGCGAATCCTGTGTTGGAGCATCATCCGGAAATAGCACGCAGGATGCAAGTGGCCAGTGTGTGGTACCTATCTTGGGCCTGGAGATCAATACGGCCAGCTTTGCCATGTATACTTTCTCTTTGGCAGTGCTCATCCAGGCGTTGACGTTGATATCGTTCAGCGCTCTGGCGGATTATGGTATGATTGAGAGGCTGAACAGCCAACATAAATACAAACAGTGGACGTGAGAGTTAATGATATATTTCGAATAGAAAACAACCGCAAGACATTGCTGATGTTTTTCGGATTCGCGGGATCGATAGCTAGCATGTTATTTGTGTTCATCGCGCCGCCCGTATATATTCTGGGTGCAATCTTGGTCGTCGTCGGCGTGACCTGTCTCGGTTCCTCATTTGTCGTGCTCAATTCTTTCCTTCCGGTGCTTGTCGCAAACGACCCGTCACTCCAGGACGGTAAAGCCAACGAAGGGGCGGAACTTTCGAGCTTCGACCGCGAAGACTCGGATTGGAATGCATGGGGTGACAATGATAGCTTGGATGGACTAAATCCTTCGGGCGCGCAAGCGCAAGGCTCGCCGGAAGGTGGCGAGCACAAGGCTCCATCGTCATCTTCGCCAGAGCTGCAGCTGTCCACCAAGATCTCGTCCAAGGGAGTCGGTCTCGGGTATTGTGCAGCGGTATTCGTGCAAATAATCAGTATCGTGCTGCTCATCACACTATCCAAGACCTCGCTCGCCAAGGTATCGGCAACGCTTCCGATGCGCTTCGTATTGCTGCTAGTCGGCATCTGGTGGGCTGCATTTACCTTCGTGTCTCGCCATTTGCTGCGGGCTCGCCCGGGGCCACCCCTGGACGTCTCCACCTCTGGAGGCAAATGGCGGGCATGGATGGGACTGGTCAGATTCGCGTGGAAGTCCCTCTGGCAAACCGTCAAAGTTGCTGTCAAGCTGCGCGAGGTGCTTCTTTTCCTGGTTGCCTGGTTTTTGATCTCCGACGCGTTGGCCACCGTCTCTGGGACAGCGATCCTATTTGCACGCACCGAACTGCATTTAAGCACGCCATTAGTCGGACTCTTGTCCATCACCGCCACGCTGTCGGGGATGGCGGGCGCATTTCTGTGGCCCCACGTCTCGCGATACTTCGGACTGCAGTCGAATCACACGATTATCCTGTGCATGGCACTATTTGAACTGATTCCTTTGTATGGCTTGTTGGCTTACATCCCCTTTATACAAAAATGGGGCGTGATTGGATTACAACAGCCATGGGAGATTTTCCCCCTGGCAGTTGTTCACGGAGTTGTTGGGGGTGGCCTGGCCTCGTACTGTCGATCTTTCTTTGGACTTCTCATTCCCCCGGGGAACGAGGCTGCATTCTATGCCCTGTACGCCGCGACCGACAAGGGGAGCTCCTTTATTGGACCGGCGATTGTGGGTGTATTGGTGGATGCGACCGGGCAAGTCCGCAGCGGCTTTTTTGTCATCGCCATTTTGATTCTTATGCCAATTCCACTAGTGTGGATGGTGAATGCAGACAAAGGCCGAAATGAAGGTTTGGCTATGGCTGAGACCCTGAAGTCACATGGACAGGAAGAGGAGGCAGAGGGGCTTCTAAGGAATGAAACAGACTAACTTAGACTAACGACTGAGCCTCGACTTAGCCTGGTAAACAGCTATTTTTACGATGCAAATGTATATGATTGGCTATTTCGTCGCCAACGGGGGCTGAATGTAGAAGTGGAGTCCGAGACTATAGAGGCAATTTTTCCCAGGGTCTTTGCCCGGTGTTCAGGGTCCGTTCAGGGTCCAAGTCAGCCGTCAGCCCCCTGGACCCTGGACCTTTCAATGGCCCTTCAATGGCTCATCTCCCCCAACAATGACGAGCCTTGGGGTTCCGAAGGCGCATCATGACGTCCTACCAGGAAGAATGATCGAGTGTGCAAACTTCAACAGGTAAACGGGCCGAAAGAGTCAAACGTGGGGAAGCATAGCCTGTAAAATGTCTCAGTTAAAAGGAAGAAAAGCTCAAGTTCGATCATATTTGACCAATGTCCGTCCAGTTCCGCCCCTTAGTGGAGATTTAGAACCCTCGGCCGATCAGGGTCCCGAGGGCTTGTTTGGATCATTGCAGCCTGAAATGGATCTGTAGTTGGCTTTTTCGAGGGAATTTGGGGCCAAAAATTTAGTTCAAATTAGACGTGAGACCTGTATAACAGAATAATGACATTCTCCTCATTAAAAATTTCTTCCATCCTCCCCATTTACACAGCACAACACCATGCTTGCAGCGGCTCTTTTCTCTCTCTTCCTCGTTGCTGGCGCACAGCCGCTGGAGCAAAGGCTGACGGTTGAACCTGTCAAATACTGCTCTGAGCTCCCAGATTACAACCCACAAACGAAGATCGCCGGTCCGTGGACGATCAACGTCGATGGATGCTATAATGGCACATCATCCCACAGCTGCAGCATCGAAGGGTTTTCCACAGGCGCCGATACCACACGTCAATTTGGCGATGAAGGCTACCTCAACGGCCTGGTAAGTTCCATCATTCCCTCATCTCAACCAACCACAACCACAGCATCAGAACTAACAGCCACACAGGTCACAATAACAAGCCAAAAAGAAAACATAAAAACCCAACTCCGCTGCAACGGCAACGAAGAAACAACTCAAATCGAAGCACATGTCCCCTACGGCTCCGGTGATCTAGCCTGGCAGCCCGTCGGCATCAACCACCACCCAGCCACAGGCCGACTCGTCTGGGGTCGTGAGTTTGAGCCCGTGCAGGTCTACCGGCACTCGATGCAGGGTGCACCGCTCAAGGGACTCTTCCTCGGCTCGAATGGTCAGACGCAGTGGGTTGTCCATTCGTCGGGCCGGGATGTTAGCTTTGTTGATTTCAAGCCGTATTGGATTCCTAGGCTTGTTATTCCTGATATGGTTAGGAATGCGGAAGAATATACGACTTTTATGAGGATTGATGGCAGCTGAGTTGGGGTGATTGTCACTTGTATTTTATTGATTTCCTTCCTTCTTCTCTTAGCCGGTCTTTTCATCTCTTCTTATACCCCAATCTATGCGTCGCGAACGGCGCTTCGTGCTCTTTCCTATTTTGAACATCTCTCCCGCTCCCTTTCTTGGAAACAGTATACTTCAGAGGTTGGAAGGATGAAGTCACTTTAGTCATAACTAGGTAAAGTATTTTTATCACGTCAGACTTCCGTCTCCTGGTTCTCCTCTCACCGTTGATCAAACCACGCTAAAATCTACCTTCTCTTCAAGACAGCCGCTACCACCAATCGGATCACCCCTTCCTCGACGCTACTCGATGCGATCAAGCACGGACTCGCATTATGGGAGACGTACTAACTGCGAAAGATCTACTAGCTGCAGGCGTGCAGCGCGATCATGAGAGTTAATGCTGCAACGTCTATGTGGCTCACACATCGCCTGGAGCTCTAGTCCAAGCCACTACGACCCATTTCTTCACTCTGTTCCTGCTGAATTCTTCAGTTCATTCAGCCCGGTCCCGTCTCCCTCTTCGCATATTGAGCACGGCACAGATAGGCTTCCACAAGTCATACTACAGCCATATTTGGGTTATGGAAACTGAACACCAAGAGCCACATGATTGAGCGGCCCCTTGAAGCACGCACGCGATAACAAGTGTCTACATCAGAGCGCACAAACCACGAAACCAGAGATGCTGGGCATGTTGTCTTCTGCAAGACGGCCATCGGTGCATGGCTCACTCACCCAGTTGTACCAAGTACCACTGGGTTTCGACATACTAGAATGTCAACGAGACCTTAACGGGAATCCGCTGAAGCCCTGAGGCTTCTATTCCTCGATTAATTCGGAGATTGGGGAGCAGATGGCTTCATTGCCTCAATTTCGCGCTTCTCCATCACTCAGTCGATCTGAAGATCATAGTTCACACCTCTTGAAGCAAGTGATGTATTGGAGAAGGGTCAGTAATTGAATGCCAATGTCTATAATCTGGAATGAGAAATTAAACTTGGACAGGGGTCTTGGTTCCATTTATCATTCTTGGAGTCAAGGGATTGCAGAGTGGGATTGCAGAGTGCGACATGAATCCCTGCCAAACCAGACTCAAATTGTCTGGAACGTCAATAATATTGACTGATCATCCCACCGGCTAAATAGAAATAAGCTCGTGCGTTTGACGCTAATATCGCATGGGCCGAGCAAGCACAGTCACAATCTCCATCAGACAAGGTCAATAGCCCGGACCGAAAATGCCGCGCAGAAAGTAGACACCTGACACTATCAATTGATCCTGAGAATATGAAATTGGCCCTTACGTCTTATTGTGCCACTGAACTGACCCTCGGCAGGTGTCCCGTTTCAAGAAGGGAATAGCTTCATTTTCCGTCCGGGGCCGTTGCCGCCATCCAATTAGGGCCCAATCACAACGCCCCCTCGCATTCCCCAACCTCGCTTCCCCAGACACTAACTGAATGAGCGGTTGAATTCTACCATGAATCCCTCTGACTTGGCTCTTGTTCCATGATAGGTGCAAAAATAATACAACCCCAAAGCCTACATTCCAGTCTAGGTCTAGACGCAACGGCGAACATGTTGGACGACGAATCTGCTTCCCTCTCCTCAACCTCGATGGCCATATTAGCCTGAAAGCCCCGAAATGGGCTGACTTTAGTCTCACGCAACTTGAACAACCTTTTCTCCACAATCCCCTCGGAGCGAACTACTGCACGGGGATCTTGCGCCAGTCGCAACGCGCAGCGACATATATAGACGATGATCCCCGGTCCAGGGGCCTAGCTACAGCTACGGGATAATAGTTCACGCACTTAGTCCTCTGTCTCTGCCATGGCGACCATTACTGATACCGAGATTGCGTTGGAGAAGTCAGCCGCCCACCATGTCGAGGATACATTGGGCGCCGGCGCCATCATCGAGGCCAAACAGGCGAGTGACGATGAACACAACCAGACATTGATGCAGTCCCTGCGGGAGAATCGCAAGGCTGTCATGTGGTCGGTTCTCATCTCCATGTCCATCATCATGGAGGGATACGATACCATCCTCATGGGTAACTTCTTCGGCTACCCCGAGTTTCAGAAGAAGTATGGACAATACTATGGCAGTGATATTAAATGGCAGGTTTCTGCGCCTTGGCAGACAGGTCTGAGCATGGCCAGTACTGTTGGCTGTATCTTTGGTTAGTCCTCTTACTGTTCAGTCAGCGACAAGACTGACATGCACAGGCGGTATCCTCAATGGATGGTGCGCATCCCGGTACGGCTACCGAATCGTAATGGTGGTTGCCCTGTTCTTCCTCACGGCATTCATCTTCATCACCGTCTTCGCCAACTCCGCAGCAGTCCTCCTAGTCGGACAGATCTTCTGTGGGTTCTCCTGGGGTGTATTCGCAACCATCGGACCCGCGTACGCATCAGAAGTCTGCCCAACCAACTTGCGCGGATACCTAACCACCTATGTGAACATGTGCTGGGCCATCGGCCAGCTCATCGCCTCAGGCGTGCTATACGGACTCGTCGGCCGAGCAGACCAATGGTCCTACCGAATCCCCTTCGCCCTGCAATGGATCTGGCCCGTTCCACTGATGGCCATCTGCTGGATCGCACCCGAGAGCCCCTGGTGGCTGGTTCGACAAGACCGATTGGAAGACGCAAAGCGCAGTATCCGCCGACTGGGCGGTAGCAAGACCGAAGATCAGATCAACGGCCAACTAGCGATGATGGTGCACACGATCAAAATCGAAGCCGAAATCGAAGCCGGTACCACCTACGCAGACTGTTTCAAGGGCGTCGACCTGCGCCGCACAGAGATCTGCTGCCTCACCTTCGTCGGACAAATCCTCTCCGGTAGCACGTTCGCCTACTCGCCCACATACTTCTTCCAGCAAGCCGGCATGCCCACCAGCCGCTCCTTCCAATTGGGCGTCGGGTGCACAGGCGTCGCCTTCGTGGGAACCTTCCTGTCCTGGTGGCTAATCTCCTGGTTCGGACGACGAACCCTATACGTCTGGGGCCAAGGAATCCTCTGCACAATCCTCTTCCTAATCGGCATCGTCAACGCCGCATCGCACACCAACGGCGCAATGTGGGCCCAAGCGGCCTTCTGCTTCCTCTGGCTCTTCACCTACTCCCTAACCGTCGGCCCAATCGCCTACGCCATCGTCTCAGAGACGTCCTCCGTGCGCCTGCGTCCGCTGACAGTCTGTCTAGCCCGAACAGCCTACCAAATCATCAACGTCGTCTCCCAAGTCCTCGAACCGTACTTTATGAACCCGACCGCATGGAACGCATCCGGCAAAACAGGGTTCTTCTGGGGCGCGACAGCGCTGGCTATATTCCTGTGGGCGTTCTTCAGGCTGCCCGAACCAAAAGACCGGACCTATGCCGAGCTGGACATTCTCTTCGCCACCAAGGTCCCCGCGCGCAAGTTTGCGCAGACGAAGGTTGACGCTTATGCGGTTGGGTCATCCTCGTCGCAGGAGGGCCTTGTACGAGCGGAGACGGAGGAGCCCAAACAGTGAAATTGGAAGAATGAAATGAAGTGAAATGAAATGAAACGACGGCGAGACTGGCGCTGCATTAATGGGTTGATTAGCTCGTTTCATATGACTTTGCTGAGCCAAATACAGTTTACAGTTTAATATTTACTATTTCCATTTGCGGAATAGCGTAGCTCTGGGGCGTTGGAAGGATGTGCGATGTGCGGCTCTTAGATCTGTATTCAATATTACAATGGCTATGTACTGTATCAAAGAATGAGACTATTGTCTCGAAAACAGGACATTGTCGCGCGGTTGGTCGGCAATTTCAGGCGAGGCTATGATCGACTTTCATGTGCAAGGCTGAGCTAGTCAATAATGAGACTTCGTTAGTTCATAGTATTGGGTTGCCTACCTATTAAGTTATTGGATTTGAAGATCATTTTGCGACCATGTTGATCAAGTGACCATATCAGGCCAATACAAAAGTCCCAGATGTACAGGCAAACCTGATTGCTGTGCATTCGCTTAATCCCCACTCGATGATCGTTCCCATAAAAAGTGGTTCCCCTGGACGGCTTTCAGTAGTGTTGGGGTATTAACATCGTATTTTGTCGTAATTATACATATAATATTAAATAAATAAAATATCATGAATCGCGCACAGAGACTCTAACAGATCTCTCCACCTTCCACGGCGAAGGATTGAGATCTTCCTCACTACTGCTGGGCGCAGCCCGCCTCGAACCCATGATAGTCGTAGTCACGCCATGGTCATCATGTTCGCTCCCCGTCCAGAGCTGATTGGCATCATGCTGGGAGGCGAGTTTCGAGTGCGAACGGGACGAGCGATGAAAACCGGCGACATTACCGGAAAGGGGAAAGGACCGAGGCGTTCGGCTGTGGCTCGAGGAGCCGTCGCGAAGAAAGCGGACGAGGGGTCTGAGGGTTGTAAGACAACCCGCAGTGATGCCGAGGCCTGCTTCGACGTTGGACCAGATGGAGATTTGGTAAGTGTTGTCTGATCTCGTTAGTCAATGTCAATCATCCGGATATAGTGGGACATACACAGGAATTCCTGATCCTTGTAATGATGAACAAATGGAATGCGAACAATAACCGCAGCACTCGCACTAGAACAAATTAGCGAAATGAACCTGGAAATTGGAATAGCCGAAACGAACATGCAACCGATACCCAAAATCCCAGCAATAGCGCCCTTCGTGCGGCGATTCATGCGCAAATTCCAAATCAACGCCACGGGCAGTAGACCAATCGTCAAATCAGTGACCGCCGCGCCGACACTGTACAAGTACGCAATGCCAATAAGGGTATCTTTATTAACGCACGAGCCCTCAGCCCCGGGCTGCATCTGATTCCAGAAGAAGTCGACGGGCGAGCATTGGAACATGGTGAAGAAGAAGAAAACGAGGCCAACGGCAGTGGCGAGAACCATGGCGGCGTAGAGAATGTAGGCGTGGATACGATCGACGGTGATGCGGAGGAGGGCGATGATGATGGAGATCTTTGCGACAACGCAAGTCAAGACGTAGAAGATTTGGCCGAGCCACCAGCACTGATGTAATGTGAGTCGGTATTTCGTTGGGGTCCGATGAGGGTATAGTCATACCAGTAATGCGCGATGCAAATAGTCCGGATGAAGCATGAAAAAGGCCAATGGCCTACCGATTCCATATTTACTTCCTATGATACCACAGATGGCGAAGATGAGGTTGAGGCCCTATGCGAATAGTATGCGATTAGCATGGTCACAATCGAGGTAACGGAGGAGGGATACTCACCATGGCCAACACCATAATACTATCATCCCACCCAAAAGCACGAACAATGCGCGTGCGAACAAAGATGCGGAGTGCAACACTAACAAGGGAAATACCCAGGAAGACAGAAGTCACAACCAGGATAGCCCTGCTGCGGCTTGCATCGATAGTTGCGACATCCATAGTCAAGCAGAGGGTATGGGGAATCCCATCCGCAGGTTGAAGGAGAGAAGGGAGAGGTGCATTGGTGAAGATCAGACGGCTCCAAATCCCCGTGGTAGACCATGAGAAGTGGGGGAATCTATAGGGTCGAGTCTATTCGATGGGATCCGCAATTTTTGGGCCGTATTGTATTGTAGCCGGTTTGGTCTAGTCCCTAGTCCAGGAGTCTGCATATGCCTATGTTTCGGTCTAGTACATGTGGATAAGATGAGCGTTCTCCTGTTTCGCCTTCAGTCTCTTACAGTACGTGTATTCTGCTCTCCTTTTCCTGTGCTTCAGGCGAACGGGATAGGCGCAGCCTCCCGGACCATGGAAAAGTCTAAGCGATGCCGATCGGTGATTGGCGAGGCAGTGAGCTCCGGGCTTTGTCGGGCGGATCTGGTTTGGTGGAGTCGAAACCTGTCGCTTACACTCTTCTTTTTTGGTTTCTGCACGGGTGTAGCTCCAAATACAGTTGCAAACTTAGTTCTGCCAAATTTATACTTCGCGCCAAACTGCCTGACAGTATTAACCTCGGAGACCATCCGCTAATTATATCATCTCATTTTGCCAACCTTCCCCATTGGGCCTAGTGTCGCTGGGAACCATAGATCTGATCCCATCGAACCGTGCGCGTCTATTCCGCTGACTATACGATGTAGCCGCCACTCACTCATGTTGGAACGGGTTATTGCATTTCAATGCAGATCATACATACTATAAAGCAGGAGAGTTCATGGAAGTTAAAATAAAATAGAGCCATTGAGAATATCTTCACACTATTTCTCGCCGTATGTACAGTACACCGCTGATGAAACCGGGTCATCCGGAACGGGTCAAATCCCCGCGGGAGCAACCCCGACTCACCCGGGAACCTTAGAACAATCGAGGAGACTTCCTATTTTGTCTCAAGCTCAAGCAGAAGCGCTAGGTGAAGCAGTAGGCGGGCCACCGATAGACATCGACATAGAACCACTGGGAGCACCACCACCGCCACTGCCGCCACCGAACGAACTATCAGAGTTCTCATGACCACCATTAGCATCGTGGTATGCGGCAATGGAGTAGTACGAGTTATCCGTATAATCATCAGTAGCGTTAATACCAATCTGAATCCAAGCAAACAACCCATCATCCAGATCATCACCGAGGTAGATATACTCCGGGAAGGGATCATAAGCACTATCAGCCTGCTCAATACTCCACATGTCCTCAGCGTTGGTGGTGATGCTTTGCGTGTTGGTGTTGTAGGGATAAGTATCCTCGACGGCGGAGCGGAGGACCTCGTTCCAGAAGAGCTGGCCGATGTGGGCGACGCTGCCGGTGCCGACTTCGAGAGTCTTGTTTGGGAGGAGGGTTGCGTTCAGGTGGGTGAGGAGGTGGGTGTGGGTTGCTCGGCCTTCATAGTGGCCTGGGAAGATGCTTTCGAAGGTGGCTACGCCGTCGCGGTCTGTTTGTTGGATGCCGCGTAGGTAGGTCGAGTCCCAGCCATCTGCGGCGTAGTTGCCTGACTCTGAGATTCCACTGATATATTTGTTAGTCGGGTTTCTTGTAAGGTACGGATGGGGAATGATGCGTACCTGTATACACCAGTGGCATTGGCTTGCCAGATGTCAACCAGCGCACCCTGCACCGGTCTGCAGGTATTGATATCAATGTACTGCACCTCAAGGAAAACATCGACACCATCGGAGTACAAGTCCTCCTTGACATTCTGGCGCACAACCTCACCCCAGACATAGTACGGGCCGTCGGTGACGGTAGGAGACAGAATGCAGCTAGTATTAGCAGCAAAGACCATAGACTCAGGAGTCGCGGGGCTATAATCCAAAATGCCAGTGCGGTTATGGTCAATAGCCTCCCACTTCTCCAGAGCAGCAAGGTTACGGCGCCACTTCTGAGGAGCTGCAACGGGTAAGCATGCATCCCGAAGTAAACGCAATCAAAGGCACACTTACTGGCAGTGATGCCGCGCTTCTTGCGCAGGTTCTGGACGGTGTGCGAGCGACGAGCAATGCTCCGCTTGTTCAATTCGCGGGCGTGCAGGGTGCTTTCGCAAGCACCGAGAGAGCGCTTGGCATGGGCAGCCATGGCGTCGCGAGCGTGGACCTCACGCTTCACGTGGTGAGGGTCATGCTTCTCGCCTGGGTGAGCGATGGCGGGAGCTGCCAAGCATGCAGCAGCTACGGCGAGGAATTTGCAAAGCTGGACCATGATTGAGAGCGGATTATCCAAGATGATTATGTTGATAGCTCTTCACATCTAGCACAGCGAGAGTCTGGATTTATACCCTTCTCTCCCTGCCATCCTCGACTCCTGACGCGTGTCCGTTCGGCAGATTAACAGCATCGTGAAAGCACCGACGTTCTGCACGTCCAATGCCTTAGACCTGACTGGCAGTGATTCTGGGCGTATCCGGGATAGAAGCTGCTTGGCGCCGCGTCAACCCCTTGAGAAAGGCGGGAGTTGGGTGTTTTTGCCCCACGAGGTTAATCAATTCAAGCAGGGATCGCCGGGGCAGGACGAATCATCGTTGTTTGATTCGAAAGAATGTCGTTTAGGGCGGGCTTTGAAGGTTGACGTTTGATGTCTCGACTTTTGGCTGGGGATTGCGACGCGTGGCTGATTCAGCGGAGCATGGCCACCTCAGCCACGAGCATTGAGGATTCGTGGACTTCTCCAGGGTCGTTTGACCTGCTCGGGGGCTTATTCAGCGGAGAATTTGCTCCGAGGCATCAAATATGACGACGTTTGTGTTGCAGCCTTCCAAGGCCGCTAATTGATTGTAGTTTGGTTGCGTTACATGGTTGAAAAGTGATAATTGCGTTGTGCGTTGCGTTGGACGGGAAGAGCCATATATGCATCATCACCATTTGATAGATGGTTGCCTATGCTTGCTGCAGGTACGAGACCAGAGGACTCAATCCTCTTCGGATGTCAATCTAAAAGTGGTTGGTCTCCGATATCCACTTGATCTCTGCGTGTTTCGAGTTAGGGGCGGCAGTGCAGTGCCAAATTTAACCAAATCACAAATGAATTATATTTTATTGGAGGAGTTGAGATTCATGGCTTCTCTAGGCATCTCCAGGCATGAAATGCCTGCTTCGCCAAGCATGAACCTAGTGATCAGCATTGAACCTACCATATAGAGTATAGTTCGGGAGAAATACTCTCGATTAAATAGGATCTCTCTTTCATGGAGAAGAGGTCAGACCTAAACAACCTCGTTGGCCTGGACATACATGCTTCCGTAGCGTCATTCATCGTATACAGTTTTAACACAGAAGAGGACTGATAACATGGTCTTATTTGCTTGCTTTAGCTTAGAAACTGATGATCTTTGGTATACATTTTTGTATTCCTTCTTCGACATGCATTGGCATTACTGGCCTCACGTTGACGTGCACATTCGAAGCCTCGAATCTTATACATCCATAGCACTCATGATACCTTTATTCAAGTTGCCCTTTAGTGCTTCTTGGTGTTTCAGGGATCAAACGCAAGGATTTGCTTGTTATTATTGGGCCCTGCACCTAGTCAAATCCTCGTTGCGACATGTACATGTAGTACAAGCCGACCGCAAAAATATGACCTGATAGACATAATAAAACAAGGTGAATGATGATAAAGACTAGCTTTGAGGTCTGGTTGGCACGATTCGGTACTAGGTTGATTAATATACTGTCCGAGCATTGCAGCCTGTCCCTCCACACTGCCCTCCTACCAGACCGACGAGTTTTCCATGGACCCCAGGGTCGTTCAATCTAACAGGGAGTCTGTGTCTCCGTGTGCCTCGTAATACTTCATTGGGTAGAATATATAACTCAGGTACTAGTTCCGCATTTTAGTTCTTGTAAAAGTATATATATCTCTGGTGGACCTGCGCACCCCTATCTCAGCAATTATCGTGGAACAAATTCATTCAAATTAACTGACAATAATGCGCTACACTCTTTTCATTCTACTTATGAGTTTGTGTGCTCCTCCCACACTCGCCCTTTGGAGGGACGACTTAACGGTATGATGCCCAGCCTGCGCCTGACACTCTTTGTAAACTCCAGATGGAATAGAAGAAGTGCTGCGAGACCCATCCAGGATGCCAACTTGAGAAGTGACATCTAGAGTGAAGGATCGATCAGAGCCTCCAATAATCATGAAGGAGAGGGAAAAGGTGTTTGTGCAGGTTAATTTGAAATATCACATCTTATCTATAATTATGCTGCTGCTTTTCCGAAACGCCAAGTGTAGAAAAAACACCACCAAACACCTCTTTCTCCAATAATATGTACTCTACATGCTCGTCAGTAGATGATTAAATGCTCTCTGTTTTATCGTTTGCGAAGAGAGACAAAAATGATAAACAGGAACTCATCGCACATCCGTCTTCTCCGACTGTTGATCCTTCTCCGACTCGTCTTCACCCGGTTCAAACATAGCCTCACGCATGAATGGGCTGCTTCGACGAATAGCCGGACCCTTGATCACTAGTACCACTGGGACGACCGAGAGAGCAATACCAACAAACCCGAGCAAAGAGCCAGCCCAACCATAGCCCAATGTATCGAACAGCTGGAACGATGCGAGAGGCAGGAATGCACCGAAGCTATTACGGCCCAGCGAAGCAGCCGACAAAGCCGAAGCTGCGTACTTCTCATAAGCATCAGTCAAATAATTGACCACAGCCATGTAAATAGAGTAGATCCCGACACCAGTACAACCAATTCCAAGCGTCGGCACAATCCAATGGATAGAACCATTCCCAGTACTAGCCCAACCATACCAGAACAGCCCAGCGGCAAACAAAAGACTGCCAGGAATAGAAGTATACAACCGCGCTTCAGGAATCGGCCTCCCAGGACGTTCACGATTCCTACCTGCAGAATTGAGATAGATCCAGTCTTGAATCGGGTTAAATACCGTGCCAATCACAGCGCCTCCCGAGATAGCCAGCTGAACGAGACCGGTTTGGAATGTGCCCCAGCCATAATTTGCACTAAAAGTTTGCGCGACACTGGAGAAGAAGAGGAAGAGAATTCCCCACGCGAAACTAACCCACAACGTGAAGAAAGTCACGACAGGCTCGGTGATGAGCATTCGTGTCGGACGCTCGAATGATATTTGGAGGAGCTTCCAGACACCCGTACTGTTTAGATCAGCTTCGGCGTAAATAGCCCGACCTGTCTCTTTGCGTAGCTTTTTGGCACGTTTCTTCAAGATCACGTCTGCGCGAGTCTCTCGGAGAATCAACCAGAAAACTGGGATCAACGCTGCGTTATAGATGATCTGAATATAAAAGATCCTGTTTATAATCAGCAGGGTTCAGACAGAATATCCGAGGATATAAGATCTTACCATCTCCACGGATCGTTCTTATGTATCTCTTGAATAGCGGAACCAATGAACGGCCCCAAAGCAATACCAATCACACTCGTGAATCCAAAAAGCGACATAGGCAAGCTTCGAGCTTTGTTACCATACCAAACATCACTGATACTTCCACCGACAATATTAATCGACACAGAAGAAGCGCCACCCCCAAAGAATCTAGTAACGACCAGTGTAGCAAAGTTCTGCGCGAAAGCCGAGGGGAAAAGAGACACGACGAGAATGAAGTATGCAATAAAATAACCAGGCATACGACCCGACGACTCAGTCAATGGTACGAAGATCAGAGGCCAGAATGCAGCACCCATATTCCAAGACGTTGTCGCCCATGCTAGATTGGGAAATGGCTCATTCTGAACGTGGAAGCGTTCGGCCATGTAATTGTTTCCAGCGCCGTATGATCCCGCGGGGAGACCGGTCAAGATGGAACTGTGCAATTGTTAGCTTTGTTTCAGTTGGATGGGTGGTGGGACTGACATGAAACAGACTGTCAAGGTGAGAACCCATTTGTAGGTCTTGCTCCAATTGAATCTGGGATTGTTAGTTACTACTGTTTGGCTTGGTTCCTCCAGCCTTACGGGTTATCTGGGTCATCTGGACCACTCCAGGTATGGATCTCGATATCCTGGCTTCCGCGTAGAGGGTGACGGCCCACGTGACCGATGTGAGTATCTTTACGGAAAAAGGATCTGACTCTAGTAGGATCTTAGCAGAGGTACGTGCACCCTAAAGAAGTCAAAGCTCCCACCTTGAAAGAAAGGAGTCGTCAAAATTGTTATGATGCAGGGTACTCGCTGTAGATGATCGGTGTACGAGTGGGCCTATGCCGTCTAGCCCGGGCTGAGTTGAGGGAATTCCCCCCGTTTCACTTTCCATGACGAGAAAACGGCAGAGAAGTCACTGCAAATTGTATTTTCTGGCAGCTCTCAAGTGGCTGAGTAACCAATTTTGTTCTTTATACACCGCTGAGTCAACGACTTCCATTCCATTGTCGTTTTCGTCATTCAACCCTCTCTCTAGATCTCCCCGCGGGTCCCCACTAGATCCCGATAGACTACCATGGTCTGACATGGCTCAATTGGGGCAATCCCCGTAGGCGAGATGCATGAGCAGTCGTGTGTTGGTCGAAGTATACTCGGCCTTGGCACTTACTTGGAAGTGGGGTAAAGCTCGACTGCCCGCCTTTTGGTGTTCCTGACCGGGCAACAGCTTTCCGAGTATATTACAGAGAACATTCCAGAATTGCAGTGAATTGAAGCTTGAAGCTCATATGATATCAGTTTCGGTGAACGTGAAGGGAATTGAATGGAAGGCTCGACAGTTGCAAGTCATGATGTCACAGTCCCACCCTCATGCATCTCCACCGTCGAACTTGAAGTCATTGGATGCGTGGAACCGAGTTAGAGACAACCTGATTGAGCCAGGCGCAGGCCCCTGCCCAGAACAGCGTCTGATGTCAGCGCTAAGAGATAGCCAGACCATGAAGTCATTGGACGAATCGACGTATTTAAACCAGCTCTGAACCAGGGAAAGTTAGATCTGTAGCTTCAATTTCTCAATCCTCTCTTCTCTATACCTCTCCTCTATACCTCTTGTCCTTCAAACCTTTTAAACCCAAACCGCCATTATGCCTATCCCCGTCCCCAAGGCCAACCGCCTCCTCGACCTTTTGAGCCTCAAGGGCAAGGTGGTTGTCGTCACTGGCGCCTCCGGAGCCCGCGGCATGGGTATCGAAGCCGCCCGCGGCTGCGCCGAGATGGGCGCTGACCTCGCCATCACATACTCTTCCCGTCCCCAGGGTGGTGAGAAGAACGCCAAGGAGCTCGCCGAAGAGTACGGAGTCAAGGTCAAGGCCTACAAGTGCGACGTCGGCTCCTGGGAGAGCGTGGACAACTTTGTCAAGGAAGTGATCAAGGACTTCGGCAAGATCGACGCCTTCATCGCCAACGCCGGTAAGACCGCTGACGCCGGCGTCCTCGAGGGCTCAGTCCAGGACTGGGAAGAAGTCATCCAGACCGATCTGACCGGCACCTTCCACTGCGCCAAGGCGGTCGGCGCACACTTTAAGCAGCGCGGCACCGGCAGCTTCGTCATTACCTCCTCAATGTCTGGACACATCGCCAATTTCCCCCAGGAACAGACCTCCTACAATGTCGCCAAGGCTGGCTGTATTCACATGGCCCGGTCGCTCGCCAACGAGTGGCGCGACTTTGCTCGTGTAAACAGCATTTCTCCTGGTTACATCGACACTGGTCTGTCCGACTTTGTTGCTAAGGATATCCAGGACCTGTGGATGTCTATGATCCCCATGGGCCGCAATGGTGACGCTAAGGAGCTGAAGGGTGCTTATGTCTACCTGGTCAGCGATGCCAGCACCTACATGACTGGCAATGATTTGCTCATTGACGGTGGTTACTGCTGCCGGTAAACGAATGTACGATAAAACGACTTTGATTTAGCTTATGATTTAATGGGATACATCCACTTTACCTCCACGTTCCACTTTTCTTTGCTTTATTTCCAAGTCAACCTATTGTATGACTTCATACTTTCAACCTGTTTTAGCATTTTGTTTGGTTTGTCCATTTCTGTTATGTTTGTTCGTGTTTGCTCATCTGTTTGTCTGTGTTTGCATGTTTACTTCGGTCCCGCAACATCCGCCGTAATCGGAGCTTTCTCCACGAAGATACCGGACCAGAACCAGTCCTCCGCAGCCGAGTCCGAACCCCCGTTGTCAAGCCGCAACTCGCCGATATGCCAATCCGCCGAGTTAGTCGAGGTCGAGGCACTAACACCCGAAACGACCTGCGTCAGGGGGCTAGACCCATTCGACGCCCAGAGCCCGACCGTCTGCGCATCGAAGTCGATGTCATAGGCGAAGTTATACCAGTTCCCTGCTTCGAGCTGTGTCGTCCAGTGTGAAGTACCGCCCACACACCAGCGCAGGGTATTGTCCGAGCTGGCGGAATCGCCGCTCATGAGGCCGTATTTCAGCTCGGTGAAGTGGCTCTGTGGGGATACGTGTTAGTCCATGTCTCATATCTCAGGTCCTACTAGCACTGGGTGGTTACAAACCTCGAAGAAAGCAATCTGATGCTCGAACTTGGGATTCGGTGCATTCGTCTCATTCGTCTTCAATGAAAAATGGTAGAACAAATGTCCATTTCCCAGATCGGCTTTCGTCTGAGGGATGAGCTCGGATCGTTCCATCGTCTGGCCATTCCAGAAGGATGTGCCGTCGATTGTGATTCGGATGCCCTGTGCTTCACTGGTATCGGCTGGGTTCTTGTGATCTGGCGAGAGTCCTAGGTACTTGTCTGTGGATGCGGTGCCGTGGATATACCACTGCCAAGCGCCGACTTGGTTGGACCAGGACCCTTTCATAGGTCAGCATATGTGTTCATGCTAATAGTACAGTAATGCGGTGCCAACTTACATTTGTCGAAGTCGGCAACGGTTGCAGAGGCGTCGAATAGTCCGCTCCATAGAACTTCACCAGCCTCTGCCACCATGGGCAGGGAGATTAACCATGCAAATGACTTCATTTCGTTTAATCGTTCGAGTCTGAAATTGTAATGTGATAGTTCGATTATTGTATACGGTGTTGGACTACTCTCGTATATCTTATAGTACCAGTTCTATGGGAGTCGCCGGATATGAACGGACATCATGAAACCGGAGAAATGTCAGGTGTTTGATATAGACAAGACCCTGTGCAATAATACCCTGAGCATTACTATACTTGGACGTTGCTCCGTGTTGAGGCGCTGGGTGGGTTCAGGGTCTTGCTATATCTGCTTCACTGCTAAACTTCATGTACATGTACTACAGTGCCCACAATTAGAGCCCCTGTCCAGGATCGACGATTGTTGCTCCAAATAAGGCACGGGTCTAAGATGCCTTGGGCCAGATGAAACTTTGCAGCATAGGCTGAAACAATGCCAAGTAGACGGTCGCACTTTCGGACCGACATGCCATTTGATTTACATACTCTACAAAAAGGGAAGATACCAAGACATATTACATTAGAAAGGCTGAAGCCAAAGGAAATAGATGTCAATTTGGCAACTCAAGGAAAATAACCGGTCCTATGACACGGTCGGGAATCTGGTCATATTTACAAGTCCCGGTATAGCTAATTCATCACGACATTCTGATCCAAAATATACCCATCCATCCCGTGTAGGACTGGACAGTTCAAGGTCAGTTCAGTTCTCTCACGCCTTGACTTCCTCCTTGAGGACATCATCATTGGAGCCAGTATTCTCAGCATCAGAATTCGACTCGCCGACATGCACAGTCCGCTTCTGCATAGCCCGAGCCACACGCGGCGGGTCGAAAATATTCTTGGACTGCGCGAAGATCTCATCAATCTCCTCCAGGGTGCGACCCTTGGTCTCGGGGAAGAAGAAGTAAACGCTAGGCACGATGGCTGCATTGACAACAGCGAAGACGATGTAGTATCTGCTTCCGATTGTGGAGAAACCGACGGGAGTCACCTGAGCCAGCAGGAAGTTGAATGCCCAAACGGTGGCGGTGGAAACGGCGCTGACAGCGGCACGGACCTGGAGAGGTGCCATTTCCGCGGCGTAGAGGAACGTCAGACCGGAGTAGCCGACTGTGAAGATAAACTGGAAGCAGTATAGGAAGACAACCGCCATGGCCAGGGCGCCTGTGTTGTTGGCTGCGACGTCGGAGGTTGTACCTGCTAGACCGGCCATGCAGATTGACATGGCTCCCGCACTCCAGAGCATTAATGGCCGGCGGCCGAGACGGTCGATTGTGTAGTAGGCAAGGTAGCCGCCGAAGGGCTGCATCAGACCCATTGCGGCGGCGAGGATACGGGCCCTCACGGCGTCCATTCCGAGGTATTGTTCGAAGATGGTGGTTGCGTAGTAGGTGATCAGGTTGACACCGCACATTTGCTGGAACATCTGACCGGTGGCGGCTAGGTAGGCACGGTGGAAGAGGCGCTGTTCGCCGTTCTTGAACATATCGGTCCATGATCCGGATCCGCAATATGCGAGGGAAGCCTCGATATCACGGATGTTGTTGTTGATAGTAGCGGAATGTTCATCGGCATCGAGCAGAGCGGCGAGAACCTTGCGTCCTTCTTCAACCTTACCGGTCTTGATCAACCAGCGAGGCGACTCGGGAAGCATGGTTATGAAGATCATTGCAGTGACCGACATCACGACCTGGAAAGCGAGAGGGAACCGCCAAGAGACGGAGTTATCTTTAACGAAGAAGAAACCCAAGTCGATCCACAAGGCAAGAGTCACACCGAGTCCGACAAAGATTCCATCTGTTACGACGTTGGATCCTCGCTTGTGTGAAGGTGAGATCTCGGATTGCCAGACCGGTACTGTCGCCACATAACCACCAATGCCTAAACCGAGAACCAGCCTCGCGACGATGAATTGAGCAAATTGGAAGGATGTTGCCATGAGAATGGCCCCGATGATAGTGACAAAATTGGTGATGAAGATGACCTTGCGTCGGCCCCAGAGATCACCGAGGTAGACGCATGATAGGGCACCGAAGATACCTCCGACGGTGTAGAGGGCAATAACAGTGCCTGTTGGAGGGTATAGATTAGCAAAGAACATCCATATAAGTATTACCATGCACCGACCTTGAATCTGGGAATTTTGTTGCTGTAGAGTTCCCTCGGTGTGAATTGTGTCCATTCTTGGGAATTGAGAATTGAAAGCATCGAGCGTTAATAGGCCACCGGCCACACTCATGTTGTATCCATAGCAAGTAAAGGTAGGGCACACGACCAGCATGACCGCAGCGCGGAGGAGGGCATTCCCTCGAAGGCCAAGATACGGCGCCATGGTATATTTTAAAGTGTCAAGTATGTATGAAGATAGATCTAGAGCTTGGAGATCATGCCACACCAATTGCCCCGCCAAAAGCAGTATGAGGCTGGAGGCAAGTTCATATATACACGCAGCGAGGTTTGAACGGCCATCGCCGTCTGCCGGACGATCGTGAGTCTGGAGGGCCCCAGTTGTGTGTGGGCCAAAGAGCACCCCGGTCCGAAAATCGCAACTCCCATTGGCGAGGAGTGGCCAAGCCGTGGGAAATGTGGAGAATGAAGTGCTCGAGAGTCACCACGGCAGATAATATTAGCTAAAAGTCTTGGTTTCCCCGGATTTCTCGCTTGCGGCACGCTGTGCTGGGGGTTTCGTGCTGCCCTGCTACCCCATGAAGCTTAGTTCTCCCCCGGTAATCCCTTTTCAGATTCCGGGGTACGGCTTGTAGATGCATCAACTCAGTGGATTGGTCAAGCAAGTGCATAGCGAAACCTCTCTCGCGTACAGGTCTGCTCCACATCGGACCCGGCCGATGGAGCCCAGCAAGTCCAGTTGTGCCTCGGGCCACGATAACATGAACCGCGTGTCATGCATATTTGTCGTTTATCATCTTTGAAGTAACTCACTTCTCCATAAGTTCGTCACAGTTACATAGGAATATAAGTCAACAAATTGAATTGATATTCGAGTGTGGTCTGCATGCCAAGCCTTGAGTCAGCAAATCGAACCCCGTGATAGCCAACCATTTCACGTCCTCTGGCCGATAATCACTTCATTTACTGTAAATATCAAGATCAAAAAAACAAGACTTGCGGTTCCACTTGGTGATCTGAATCACCCTACGTCGGAAGTGCCGGCATTCGGAACTGCAGTCTTCACGTGGAAGTGCCGGAATGGAATCACTAAGCCGGATGAGAGTATAGCCTACTGACAGGGCTTCCTTCTAGATCTACCATCAGTGAAGAACCCATCTAGTCCCTGATTACTCTTGGTTACTCCCCCTTCGCGCTGAATTTACTCCATGATCGGATCTTTCGTCCATAGATGAAAACGCAATGGGGACAGGGAAGAGCGCAGCGGTGAGACATCCCAACAAAGTCATGGCCCAAGGCACGCCCAGATTTCTGAACTAATATTATGCAGTCAGCTTTGTTCGTGACTTGCCCGCGGAATACTCATACCATACGCAGGGCAAATATGGGAAACCCAGCCCCTAGCCATGACCGAAAAAAGGAATTGGCTGCAATCGCCGAATTGGCGTACGTAGAATACACATCAATAATATAGTTGAGTCCCTGTCGATCACAGTTAGGGGTTTACTAGTCTTGATATTCAATTGGCCTTGTTTCAGATGACATGTCAGGATCAGGAATATACATACCTGCAAGAAGATCAGCAACACCCCGGCCCCCAAGAAGCCTCCGGAGATGACCTGTGAAATCCAAGAGATGTGAGGATTTGATGTCCAAGCAAACCAAAACATTCCGATGGGCGCCAGGACACCACCAATGATCGTTAGGATTAACCGTTCCTCGGTATCGACTCATCCAGTGCGGCAAAAGATACTTCGATACCGTGTCAAGGAAAAGATCACGATGATCAGACACGCCACAGCAACGCCACAAATGATAGCCACGAAAGCCAATGCCGCAACTCCTTCCTGCCAGCCGCGATCATACTGGAACGAGATTGGATAGGCTTCGAAGCAGATATACAGAAATACATAGATGAACCCAACATGCAGCGTGAGCAGAAGAAGAATTGGCTCCTGGAAGAGCATCTGAAAAGGCTGGAATAGATAGCGGACCCCAATATCTCGCGCACTAACAACGCTCTCCTCCGCTTGGCATGGAAAGCCCAGTTCTTGGTCTTTGTGCGCTGGCACTTGGCGCGCTGCGTGAGAAAAGTCACCTTAAATGTCTCCGGAATGGTTAGGAAGCCAATGATCGAGAACGCAAACGCCCAGGTCGCGGTGATATACTCCGTCCAGCGCCACCCCGATAACAGTGTGATGAAACTACCAGTGATTGGACCAGCAACAGGCCCGACAAAGGAGCTAGCGGCGAAGATGGAAATGGCAATGCCGCGTTCTACTGGCTCAAATATGTCGGTCACAATACCCGACACCTACCCCAGACCACGCTAGTAAGTAACAGCATTCTCAACGGGATGCCAAAAGAGGAAGACACACAATGGCAAGAGGCGGCGCACTGGCAAGTACCCCACCCAGAAAGCGAAATATGAAGATTGCCTGGAGGTTCCGGGCTACTGCGACGGGGACATGGAAGATTGCAAAGACAAACATGCCCAGGAACATCGGTCGCTTCCGCCCGTATAATTCGGAAAGTGGACCGAAGATTATTGGTCCAAAGGCGAAGCCTAGCATGAATAGGCCGGTTACTAGGATCATTACTTCCTCTGAGACACGGAGTTTTTCGCTACTAGTGGTTGCTATGCTGAAGGTCACGCAGATTGGTCCGAGCATTATGCATTATGGTGATGAACCATTTCCTCCAGCTGGGGAAGTTGGCAGGTTTCTCCTATTGCTGTGTTAGTAATTGAGAGTCATGTAGGATCCATGCATCCCTGTGGATGGTGAACGAGTCTTTCACCGGATCGTCAGGATCATCCCGTCCCACAATTGTTGGATCTTTCTCATCCGTGGATTTTTGTCTTCTGAATAACCCTCATTCAACTCCAAACCAGTGCTTGAGGCGTAACGGTCTTCGTTAGTCAGTGTCTTTTACCTAGCCGAGTCACGGAAGGGCATTCCGATCTGCGCTCTTTGTCAGGCATTCAACAATATATTCGACCCGGCACGGCGTGTTCGTGAGAAAATGGTTTGGTGCCCTGGCACAGTGGGAGCTTGAGATGTTGCTGAGCAATATCCAACTTGAGTATGGCCAGTTGTGTGATCTGTTAGATACCCATACTAATATTTTATTGTTTACCGTAGTCTTCGAATGAGCTGACTCATGTGCGATTGAGTCGACGACATTGTTACGTACGGTCATAGACCGTAAGTCCTTCATATAATCTACATGATTAACCCATCATTTTAAAGAAATACAACCCGGGGTACTGGAAAATGGACAAAAAGAGGTGAAAAGAGAGGCTAAAGTAGGGCGAAACCAAGGCATGAAACGGTATAGTCGCTTCGAGGCTTTCATGTACGGCCGACATACACCATGCCATCATTCTCTGTTGGATCCAGCATATGCCCAACCGCGTCGGTATCAACACCAGCCATTCCGTCTTCGCAGAAAATGATCGCAAGCCACACTGAACCCTTGGTTGGCGTCATAGGCCTACCTTCACTTGACGTGAGGTCTTCCCAGCGACTGCATCATGGAGTTGTCGCAGATAAACACTTACAACAAGATGCTAAGGTCATACTCAAATCTACACAAAGGAAACCTAAGACGAACCAGTGGCTTTTAGTCTGGGAAATGTCGAGATCAACTCGAAAGCTGGTTGAGGACGAAGCGACACTTGGTGGAATTATGTACCTCCCAAACGCAGTGGGACAATACCTCCGCACTAATCAAAATCACATCTCAAAAATGAGCAACGTATATTTGATTTCCATATACACGAGATATCTTTTCTAAGCTAGCCGTTACTCGTGAGAGCACGTGAAGCTCGAGCTATTGTTACTATCATGGATTGCCTTCCCAGAGACCCAGAGACCCATTCCGCACTATATGGAGAGTAAGCTATGGGTAAAAGAATTGCTGAAAGGGAAGCGGAACTCACTAAGCAAGCGCCAATTCCAACGATAATCAAGTTGATACCAGTAAGGACCATTTTCTTCCAGTTGGAACCGTATCGACCCCAATTGAGGAACAGCCAGAAGATACCGCTTAGTCCGTCTGAGAAATATGTTAGCTCTGCCAATGTTCATAGTACAAGTACATTCGCATACAGGTAAACCAGCTGGCGAAAAGTGAAGTCTGCGGAGCGAGACAAGATTAGCATCTGTAACATGAGCGGAGGTCAAAGACTTACGATTAAGCTTAGTAGTGTGTTGAACACTGGGATCGCTTCAGAAATGATCCAAGCAACCACCCAAAGTATGACAGTTATCCCCACCCAGGATCCAATGGACAGCAAGGTTCTTTTCTGCATCTGATTGGTGCCTCGGAAGATCCGTACATATATGTATTTTGCTGCGACGTGTCCGTTGATCACACCAGCGATGACAATCTGGGTACTGTGTCAGGTATTGTATGGATTGAATTCGCGGGTACCTACCGTAGGAATCGCAACTCCGTATGCAACTTTTGCTGTCACAGGACTCGTCGAGCTCAATGCTGGAGACTTCACATCTCTTCCACCGTATACGTAAATGACCACGGCAGCAACCACATACATGCTCGTATCAGTCGCTTGAAGCAGATATAAAGTCTTAGTATATTCTGTTGGTACGCGCATCTCAGATATGAAGCCGAAGAAGGCGACATGGCCAGCTACAAAAATCAGTAAGAGCCTGTTAGCTGCGCAAATGGGTGATATTTACCATAAGCAAAAACAATATTTGTTACGGACAAGAATGCTTTGTCCAAACTGACTGTTGTAGTCGCGTCTATCTTTCCGTGTCCCGGACGCTGGATGGAAATGGCAATCATGGTGACCAGCAATGCAGCAATGATACTCAGGAACGCTGCCCGGTAATAGTCAGTATCAGGATAATCACGAATAGGGATGCCACATACAAGCGCATGCCAGCCACGAAACCTTGCGCAGAGTCCGGGGCAGTGCACATATAACAGAGATGATCAGACCAACAATCCCGAAAATAATAGAACATGCGCCGTTGTCTGTCACGGTATTCATCATGGTGGTGAAAGTCAAAATATGACTACCCATAATGAACACAAGAAAGAGAAGCTGGCCCGTTCCCAGAAATTCTCTGCCGAAGCGCGGCAGTCCAATTCTACCAAACAGTACTTCTCCTGCATCTGCCATGCTGTGCACTTGGGGATATCGCAATTTGAACTGGCCTATCACATACCCGGTATAGGTCGCCGTGATACCGAGACCGACAATAAGGATCACCGCACTAGATACATTTTAGCCTCTGTTCAGCTGTGAAGAATATGACTTACCAGACAAGACCCAAGACTGCGACGGCCGAGGGAAGCGATAAAATCCCAAGAGATATAGTTTCCGCAATCATAACTATGAAGCGAATGCATCAGATATTGTTCGTCCATCAGATCCAAAAGTGCAGTCGACGTACTCATGCTACATTGCCACCACTTCAAAGTTCGATACTTTGTCTCTCCCTCCAGCTCATCTCCGAACGGATTCTCATCGTGAGATGGTCTTTGACCCGATTCTTGCTTCTCTTCGGTATCCAGCGAGGTATTCCGTCTGTCCCTGTTGGGACTTGGCGGTGTGTCATGGTTCTGTTGCGCCATTTCAGCGTGCAGTGGTATTGTTCGTGGGGTTCGCTGTTTGAGATGTCTAAATCGAGACCCCTATCGAGGTAGGATGCCTAGTGCTATAAGTGACCGTGCAGTAGCAGGTAAGGACGGAGCGATGGTAACTCCGAGAGTGTTGTCAACCTTGCGCACGTCCAGCAAAATCCTTTCAGTCGCAGGATCGCAGCAACGCGATGTCACGTTGGGGAAGTAGCGGACTTGGATCTGAGATGGGGCGACGTCTAACCAATTCGAACATACGGATTGTTTAGAAAGGATCTGCTATCATGTAAAACAGCGGGTCTGTCTGTTTAAAATAACGGTTGAAATCCTAGAGTTCATCGGATACTAAGTGCGTCGGAAGAACGGCATGGCTTGTACTAGGGAACGCCAAAGGGACATGGAACTTTGGCGCAAAGGCTTGATTGCGCCTCAAAACCTGATGGGGGAAGCCTTCGATGTCATTGACCGAGGATATTATAGCATGGCTGATTTGTGCAAATGCGATTCGCTTCCAGCATAAAACCCCTGCTCGTGCCAAGGTGATGCGTCATGACCTGAAAGCATCCGGCTACCGGCGGATATTGTCACTGAAGTATACGGTGGATATGTTACCCCAACTCCAAATCTGGGGAATGTGGGTATCGGCGATCTACGTGAAATCTCAGACAGAAAAAGCGTCTATATTTCCGAAATTTCCCAAGGTGGAGGTTATTATTGGTATTTAAGACTGGTTTGCCCAGCGCACCGGATGTCACCGGCTTCAGTGTCTCTCCGAAAACTTCACTGCCTTCCGATCGACCGATATCTCGATGCTTTTCATAATGCGATAACGATCAGCTTTCTTACTCGTTTCCGGCGGTAGGCGGCATGCGGATGAGTTGCAGCGGGTCAGTGTCGTTAATCCATGTGTTTCGTTTGATGGTGCTTGGGGAATTGCGCCGGGGAGGTTTATTACCCATATGTTGCTTACGAGGCATCTTGGGTATGAGCTTTCGATGTCGGAGTTTGAGGAATTGGAGCATCCACCTCCTTATTTGGTTTCTACGGATACTGATCCATAGGTGCCGGGGAGAAGTATATCCAGGGAGCAATTGAAAATATGATACAAGATTGAAATTTATAATACCAGTAAAGCGCTCCCTTGGCTTGTAACAAAGCTTTGAACACATAGCAAGCCCTAAAAACTTCCTCGCTTGTTGTAGAAGTTATGTGTAGGAAATAGCATCTGGGCCCCCCTCCTCCAAAGCTTTCTCGAATAAGAGAATGGAAAGTAGTGCCGCTGGCTTTGCCTTTAAACATTTGTTTCACGCTGTGGCCATGATTCCAAGGTCGTCTCTGATCCCAACAGCTCCAAGGTTGCCGTACTCTGTGTGGGCACGTCAATCAGGATTTTGTAAACTCCCGGGAAGAGCACCCGGTCTCCACGCTCGGTCACACGTGCCATGTCACCAAGAGAAAGATTAAGTAGAGCAGAGCGAGTTTCGTTGGGTGAGATAGCCTTCACACGGGTATAAGCACCGAGCTTCTTGATGGGGTGCGGTGGCGGGCCGAGCTTGTTAGCAATAAATCCAAGGACAACAAAGTCGGACCTCCGGTTACCTGTATTCGTCACAGCAACCGCTACAGGCGGCAGTGGACAAAGATCCAAATGCTGAGAGCCACAGTCTGCTATCAACTCATTAATATGGTATGCACCTAGATGCAAAGTGTCCTCTTGAGTAGACGATGACTGCCTGGTCGATCTAGGACCCTGGATCAAAGCTGTGAAGTTTGTATAATGCAATCCATATCCGAAAGGCAATACATCATCCTCATAGTACCAGTATGTACGTCCTGGACGGTCATCCTGCGGCTGGAGCCCCATGTCCGTCATCGGAATTTGGTCCACATAGCTAGTGGGATATTGGGTGACTGGCAATCGACCGGCTGGAGGAATAGAGCCAGTCAAAACATCAAAAATGGCTGGCCCTCCATCCTGTCCGGGATAGGACGCCCAAAGGATAGCGGAAACGTTTGAGTTATTGAGCAGAGCTGTATCGTCGAGTTGATCGCCTAGCTGAACGACCACACAGGGCTTGCCGAGAGCGCATACCTCTTTGATGAGACTCAGCTGAGAGGCGGGCCAGGAGACGGACGAACGATCGTTGAGTTCACTTGAGGTTGAGACATCGATGCCGCCAAAGTAAATCACAACGTCGGCATTCTTGGCTGCTTCGATTTGTGCCGTCCAGTTACCGGTTGCATTCTGTGAGGTCGATGGACCGGATGCATAGACAGCCTTCAAGCCTCTCTGTTGTGCGGCGTAGAGAGGGCTATGATAATAGGGAGGGACGCCAAAGTAGCTACCTAGCATTTCCCAGGTGGCATTGGCATAGACTCCAATGAGCGCTACCCTGGGGTGGGTCATGAATGGTATCGGCAGAGTTCCGTTGTTCTTGAGCAAAACCATACTTTGTGCTGCCGTTCTGCGTGCCAAAGCTTGGCTGCGTGGCGTATTCACTGCGGACCAATCCAATGATACATATGGATCTGTCCAGTTGGGCCCGAAGTACCCGACATGCACCAAGGCTTCGTACTGACGGCGCAAAGAGGCATCAATTGTCTTTTCTGGGAGCAAGGACTTCATGTATGCCTCCGAAATAGCAGCTGGGGAGCCTCCAGTACAGACGAGATCGATACCCGTCTCGAACATCAACGCGCTGAATTCAGCAAGACTTGAAGTGTAATGCGTGCGCATGACGGTTTCATTCACGACACCGCAGTCAGTGACAATGTACTGAGAGGAAGCTGTCCAGTTCCAATGCTGCCTCAGGACACGATTGATGAGGTAAGAATTAGTACAAGCTGGGGTGTTGTTTACCATGTTGTATGAACACATGATTGAATCGACTTTGGAGTCCCGCGCACACTGCTGGAACGGAGGCAAGTAATATTCAACAAGATCTTGCATGGTGATGTTGGCCTTGAATCCGTAGCGGCTATATCCACCCCATGTCTCCAGATCATATCCGGCGTAATGCTTGCAGTTTGTCAATGTCTTTTTTGTAGAGTTCTGGTCTCCTCCGAGACCACGAAGAAAGTGAGCGGCATATCCCTTGATTCGCCGTGGGTCTTCTCCGGGAGTTTCAGAGCCTCGGCCCCAGCGTGGATCGCGGTACGGGTTGACGTTCGGGGTCCAGTAGTCGAGACCTGCATGACCGGCGTTGCTGAAGGCGCGGGCCTCGGTACTAATAGTGTCCGCGACCTGGTAAATCATTTCATCGTCAAATGCAGCAGCGAGTAGCAGGGGTGTGGCAAAGGATGTGGCATACGAGAATTCTCCGATGGGGTTCTCCGTGACGATAGAAAAGTTCACGCCGAAATCAACCCCATCAGAAAATCCTACTCCATGCAACGCTTCGTTCCACCAGTTGTATGGTGGCAGACCCAGGCGGGAAGACCCGGTACTTGCTTCGATGAGATTGCCGAGTTTCTCGGTGATGTTCATGCTAGCCACCAAGGCTGCGGCGCGATCAGAAGAGGATGACTGTGGGCAGCAAACATCATTTTCTGTTAGGAGAGATGGACCGCGGATACAGTCAGGAAATTGCATGCCACAACTGCCCTCGAGGTGCATGAAAAACACTACGACCAGGGAAGCGTATAAAGCCATGGTGAAGAGAAAGAGATACTGGCATGTAACGAGAATCCACGAGGGGATGTTGAGATATCAAATATCAAAGTAAAGCCGTCAGTCCAAGTAGCCCCATGTCTCCTGAATACATCATCTTCAGGGGATACACGGCTCGGAGAATCATGGATCTGGTCATGTTTGGGCTCAAGTGGGTTCCAAGGTTGGAATGATCTGCATTAATTAGAGGATTCGTATCCGTATCAAATGAAAATTGCCTAATATGGATCTCTCTTTTGATTCTATATTTTGGATGCCTTCCATTCCTTGTCCTGACTGACTCTCAGTGCAATCTCTAGATGCGTTGGTAGTTATTTTCTCTCGACCCTCCTGCTTGGTCGGACTGCCGTCGCGTGCTTCCATCTGCATTATGAGATGCCGTCCATCGCTCCCACTTGGTCTTCCGAAAACAGTCCAGTCTATTGGTCTCTATGGAATATCCCTAATCGTGTTCTCCAGCTCACGTTAGTACTAATGTATACAGGTTTCCTGCGGTTCGGCATCAAGTAATAATAATAATGGCATACAAATTTCGTTATTTTTCTCGTAACTTTGAATTGGTTAAATGCAATACTTCTTCAATTTCCTGAATGTGTCAAATGTCTGGCAACGGATCAAAACCTAGCTCATCTCAATAATGACTGCCTCTGACGCTTGGAGCACTACAATTCCACACGTTGCTCGTTCGAGAACCAATGCACCCACGACTTTTCCCATGTTATCAACCTCCTGTCCAGACCAGGTAACGCCGTCTTTAGCACTGGAGCTCTTTGAGGTAAGGCGCCTGACATTACATTTACTGCCGAAGAGGGGCGACACATCCAGATACCTCACTGGCCGGAGCGGTTGTTGTATCAGTGTAAAGATGTGTATTGAGAATCACCACCTTTACCAACTGATTCTTTTCGTAAATAGCGTAATGGGCTAATTAATACGTGTCAAGGTGCTTGATCCGATAGACATGCGGAAACATCATCTCAGATATCAGGTCGGCGAGGAAGAGCATACTGTAGTATCTGGGCAAAGTTCAGCTAGCTGTCTTTGCTTTATATGAAAGACACGGCATGCACTGGGCTTCATTGCAATGTAAGGCCATCTATGTCCCCGATCCAGGAAATAATGGTACACTTACGTCGGGTTTATGTGTGCCAGGGAAGATGAATTGACAGCCACAGGCTCCCACATTGAGTAATAGAAATCTCCCACGCCATTGTGGAAGAATATTCGATCCACTCCTACAGTGGCAGCATACAAGGCATAGTCAATCTCCCACAAGAGAGCAGCCATCGTATTTGAAACTCCATCTTTGCCATGGCAGGCAGCGCTGCCTGCCACGCCAATGTGGAAGTCTGCTCCCACTGATTTTCCAGCGGCGATTTCACTTTCCCAAGCGGAAAAGAACTGGATGGTATTCAGGTGATTCAGATAGTAATCTAGCGTGACTAATGCCGCAGCAGGTTCTAAGTAGAGAAATTCAGTTAGTAGAGTATTTTATATCTGTCCTTAGCAGCTCGTGAGTAATAAAATACCGTAGATATTGAGATATATACTCACCTGAGCATACATTCTGAGGATAAGCATGTGAAGAAAATGACTTAACTGCCCCCATTGCTTGTGGAACATTCATCTTTGTGAGCTGAACAAGTGCTGAGTGGGGGGTCGGTATAGTGGACCAAACTGATAGCTAGAAACTCTATCATGTGTGGTATTTGGCGTCAGACTGGGCAGCCACTGAAGAGTATCCGCTGCATAGGATAAGACAGTCCAGTTATTATCTCGATGACCAGTGTACTGATAAATGTTGACTTCATTGCCGAGTTCATAGGAGTAGAAATAGGACTGGTCAAGGCATTTGGTTGATGCTTCGATTTCGGCTTGAGCAACGGAGAGCTTATCTGGACAACGCGTTATACCTGAATCCTCAAGGATTTATAAGTACTATCATGTAGAAGCATACCTGCACCGAAATTCAAACCAAATATAAACTGCTGTGTCCCTAACGTATTCTTCGAGGACTTCAAAGAGCCTTTGATTGTAAGTAGTTTTAACAGCTTCCGTATTTTCAGCGCCGTAGACATTGACAAGTGTTTCGTTGCAGTCACGACAGAAATAACTGCTGTCCGCCGTGTTACCGCCGATGCGGATAATTGGGGCTACACCAGCCCTGTCTTCAATGTTTCGGAGAAGCTGCTTTGAGAACAAATTGAGGTTTCCAACATCACCAAGGAAGTCAACAATAAAACAAAATCTGAGTGCGGTATAATAATTAGTAAGGGCTGTTTCGTAGACAATTCGCTTGAAATCTTGGCATTCAAGGGTTTCGTACTCAATTGATAAATTGATTAATTGCCGATTCAGTGGTTGCGAGTACTTTGCTCCTTCGCGCACATCAAAAGAGACAGTCTCGTTATCCAGGGACAGCACAGCATGATGTGTTGTCTCGGATAAGGTGGAAGGTAGTCCATCGACAAACGAAGAGGCGATTGTTAGGGAGAAGGCAAAAATAGCTTGGAAGATGTTCATCCTTTCTATGATATCGCAGTTTTCGTCCCAAACAGGGAATTGTCTTACCAATCTTGGATCTTCCACCTTTCTGTTGCTTTATATGCTACAACACGCAGCGGGGTAGTCGACAAGGACAACAACCGTTATTTCAATTGCCAATTCCTATTCCGTTGCCGAAATTATGATGCCATTCGTGGAATAAAGACAATATCCATAAATAGTTTGGAAATTAGGCTTTTGCATCGCAGTAGCGGATCAATTAACTCAGTAGTATTACACTGGAAGTTCGAGGCTCCAATTGCCATTGATCACACTCTTCTATTTTGCATTCGTGGGGCCGCCGACGGCTCTCTGTCCTAAAGTTACCAAACGAATACGACATAATTGTCTTTACAGGAAAAAGCACAGACGGCAAGGTACTGCATAACAAATAGTTTTCAACATTTTTTTGCTAAGCCGAGATACGCTGTAGTCTTCATGACGAACCGATCGGAGGTCTTTTACCGCTAAGTACAGGGTAATTCAGCGTCTGCACACTCTTGCATATATTTTTGCTGTTTTGATATGTTTTTGTGTGGTAAAATTTAGTGACCTGGTGGGGACTGCAAACTTCTTGTCAGGCTTGGTATCTGGCCGTCTGCATAGTTAGAAAATTGCCTGCGCATAGTTAATTTTGCAATTCAGAGCTGTCTCCATTTCATAGACTCTAGAGTACTCAATATACGATATTCTCTTTATTTCTGATAGAATAGCAAGCGTAGCGGGGCGGAGGTGTTCGGAAACTTTTGGCGGACCCAATGTACATTTCCTTATATTCCGTTTATCAAGGAAAGCAAAGTAGGCAAGCCGAAAAAGTGTCAGTTAGATCCTCATGAGAAACGAGCTGGCAAACGATTCACTGCATATGAAAAGAAAACTACCATTCTTCATAATCAATTCCTCCCAGTCGGGATGTCGGATCGTGGGATGTTCATACGCAATTGTACTGAGGGAAATAGATGATTGATTGATTGAATAATTATCTAGGGGACCGCTGTTGAGAGGGATCACATAGCCGGAGGGGCTAATGCATGTTACGACACAGGTATTTCGAATAGACCCGATTTACAACTAGAATGTGAGGGTCTGTGAAATTGACGCCGAAAATCATAGCCTATGACACCAGTACTCCTCAGTACACCGTTTGTGCATCAAAGTTTGTCATTGTCCGGCTGATGATACCCATCTCATCATACTCCAACTGTTCCCTACTTGCAGAGCCTGGGGAGATAACTATCGACACCCTAGATAGATTCGCATCACAGACTAGGCAAACGCCGACACTCCGGCCCTTGACATTCAGGCTGACACCTTCAAACACAGACCGGGGTAAATCCCGGTGGAGCATGTCGATCGGCGGGGAAATGGTTGCACTAACCCCGGACGCTGCAGTCGACACGAAAACGAGCCCGCGCCGATGATAGACCGAGCACTTCGGCCAAGTCGACAGTCTCAGTGAAGATTCCGTTAATTATATCCGGCTTTCCCCAGATCCAATAGCCACAAATGTGCTTATTTTCATTGGATATGAAGCGTCGCCATGTTGCGATACCATCTGCCGATGATATACCGAGCCTGTTTCCTAGTTGGACAAGACCCGATACTCCTGAGATGTAGCTCAATGTTCCCGCTGCGTATTTCTAGATCGCCATAGTACTCGGTAAAATGGGAGGCAGGTATATAACCAGAACCCCGCTCAGCCAATGTCGCCCTGGCATACGTCTCAAGATTTCAAAAACCGCAGTCTTCATCAGCCACTTGGTTGGTTTTTGCTAGATTTGAAAAATTCAAACCACGAGGTTCAATGTCTCAGTGATGAAGGCTGGCTATCTCCTACGGACCGCTGAAATTTCCGGTAGTACGTTGAAACTCACAGGCTACATCAACTCCACCACTGATATCGAGATCGTTGCAGCTCCCAGCGCCGTATCATCCCTACATTTCAATGAGAAGATGGTTACTATCAAAATGCTTAACGGGCGTCTCCAAGGCCGCGTCAATTATATGCTCCACCTCGAGCTTCCAGTTTTAAAAACCCAGAAATGGTATTTCGTGGACTCTCTTCCTGAGGTACAGCCGGGGTATAACTTAATGATAGTCAGTGGATATTGTGCAACCATACTCACTCCAATAACCCACGTAATCTCACCACACCTACCTCGCTTACTCGAGCGACTACGGGTTTAGCGCAGGCTCCCTGCTGTACCGGGGTGAATCCACGGCAAATGGGTCAGAGACCACCTTCTATCTCCTCACGGAAGGAGGATTCGCCTATGGACACTCGATCTGGCTGAACTCAACCTTCCTCGCATCCTGGGCAGGCAGCGGGGCAGATATGTTCTACAACCAGACATTGTCCATGAGTCAACTGAAAGCGGGCGTGACATACACAATCACAGTCGTGATCGATCATTGGGCAATGACGAGAGCATCCCAGCGAACGCTGAGCTTTCCAGAGACCCTCGGGGTCTTATCGACTACAGCCTGAACGGGCGCGACAAAGAGGCCATTTCGTGGGAAGATCACAGGTAATCTCGGCGGAGAATAGTACCAGGATCACAGTAGAGGCCCCTTCAATGAGGGCGGACTTTATGCTGAACGCCAGGGCTATTATCTTCCTGGTGCCCCTGTCAGTCAGTGGGAGCCCCAGTCACCCTTTACCGAGATCACTCGGCCTGGTGTTGGTTTCTGGGCCACTTCATTCGATCTTAATGTTGCGATGGACTATGATATTCCGCTAAGTGTGCAGTTTACCAACAGCACCGCGAAGGATTCTTCCGTTGCCAAATTTCGCTCAGAGCCGTTTGTGAACGGCTGGCAACTTGCGAAATATGGGATTTTTCTCCTTATACCTTGCTATTGTTTCCCCCTTATAATCATTGTTTGTTGATTAAGGAAAGAGCTAATAATCCAACCATAGTGAACAATATAGGCCCACAAATACGATTTCCAGAGGGCAATTGTCAACTACAATGGCCCCAATTGTTTCGCTCTAACGATCTGGTCAATGGCTCAAAGCCGTTCCAGCTGGCTGATCTTCAGCTGCAGGTGTATGCAGTGATTCAGAGCGGATATAAAAAGCCTGATCTGGTCCGGGGACACTACATCTAGCTTTCTTATATGCGAATCATTGATGAACCAAATTGACCCAAGCAGTCTACCAGTCTTGAACTTCGCCGTTGTAGAGGACGACCTTGCCACCATACTGCTCCTTGGTTCCACTGGTAATCACATCAACCATACCGCTCGTAGACTTTTCAACGGTGTCCGGTGCTGATTCCATACCCCACCCTTTCGCAGCCCCGTTTCCCATATCGGTCTGTACCCAGCCGGGATCCAATACAAAGGTGTTAAGCCACTCATCTTCGGAGTTGATTCGAACACCGTACCACGGGAGGATGGACTTGGAAGCACCGTATGCTGCACTTGGAACGGGAGGCTGACGGCTAGAGAGTAAATTAGGAATTATATATAAGCCCTGAGAGAGGGAACGATGGCAGTTATAAAGGAAAACGAAATGATAACCATATAGGGGAATACGAGAAGGGATGTCTTACCCTAAAGCTCCGGCTCCAGATCCCATGATAGCATAGACAGGTTTGGTAATTGACTTTTCAAGTAGAGGACGAGTGGCTTGGTAGAGAGAGACAACGCTAAAGACGTTCACCTCAATATGCTCTAGGACGTCGGCACGTTTGACATCTTTAACGAGGGGATACACTTTTGCGATGCCGGCATTGGCAACAACGTAATCAATATGATCAACGCCCTTGTCGCTGGCTTCTTTGACAGCCTCATAGGCGGATTGCTCAATACCAGCGTCATACTTCACTACGATAATGCTGCTGCCTTCGCCCGTGGACAGCTGAGATAGTTCCTTAGCGGTTGGGTGTGCGGGATCACGGACCGCAGCAACGACAACCTGCGAGTGGCTCGATCAGCTCCTGGCGTATGTCGTTTGAAAGAGATAACTTACGTAGTTCGAGATGGCCACGAAATGCTTCACCAGCCCGAAGCCCAATCCGCGGTTAGCACCAGTAACGAAGGCAACAGTGGGAGCCATGATGGCGTAATATAATCGGTATAGGTCAAAAATGTAGAGGATCGAAACAAATTGAATCAGTGCGTTGGTAGGAACTAGTAAACAAATTGATACAAAAGCTACCTTCAAATATACTTCTACCACGCTGTCAACTGCCTAGGGGGAATGTTGATTATCAATCTCAGTAAAGTATTTCGATTACAAATGCAAGAAGTGGCGCAAGGGAGGCGCTTAAAGAAGAAAATACCCTGTTACTGATTCCTTCGGTCGCTCCGACCGGTCTAAGGCCATGATGTGACCGGTGGAGAATGATAAGCACTTGACAGATGGTGGGTGGTCTGGACGTAAATTGTGTCGGAACTACTAGAGAAATAGGATAACAAGGATCTCCACCGGTATAATCATGCGCTTAGGCCGAGGAACCTCCGGAGCCAATGATATGTGACACGCTATACTAAGGTTCTAATGCGAGATAAACGTTTAGTAGTCATCTCGCATGCGAAGCGGTTTACTTAGGTAACTCTACTGATGGTCAGCTTTGGATGCGATGGCCTAAAATAATGATTTTAGGAGAGAAAAGAGCTTTTTCTACTCCTCGATTGGCGCTGGTAGTCAAAGCCCAATCTATTGTACATGAATGGGCGCGTAAGCGTCATCAAAATTTGTGAGATACATAGTACTGTACGAAAACATAGGGGAAACAGTGGCTTCAATCGACAATTTTTCCTACTTTCGATACAATTCATACTTGGAAGCAACTATGTGGAGCCAGTAAGAGATATCGCATAGCTTGTGTCGCTAATTTAGCGGGGTGTTATGGTCGATGTGGGAATTGCCAGTACTTGAGCAAGACTTGCACGCTCTTTCAGGGGATCATGATCGTGATGAAAGCTGTAGGGACATCGGGGAGCCGGAGGAACAATGCCAGTACTTGCGAAAGATCTCAAACAGGTAACTCGGTTAGTGAAATACCTACTTTCCCTTTGACTTTCTCCGAGGTCTCGAACATGTGAACATCAACGAGCTAGCCGCAGATGCCGATGACAAGGAATGAATAAGAACTAGGTAGCCGACCCATTCACTCATTTCGCGCTGAGCGACAACTAACTTCAGAATCTCACAAACAAGAAGCGAAAGCGAGTTGGGAAGTATGACAATACATACTACGAGTCACCTCTGGACCGCTCTGGGACGTAGGAGGATAAGAATTTTCCGGAGAAGCGCAAGGCACTTGACTCAATTTACACGGTCTATGAATTTGTGATCCAAGGTATAGATCGCCCTTTCCAGTCTCTTGGAGATGCAGACGAGCTGGACACTTCTGAACTCCGTGAAAACGAGGAGGAAGAGCAGGACATTGATTGTCGAGATGAGGCTGAGATTGGCAGCCATGCCAATGAGCAGGGATCTGTCTTAGCTTCCAAGAGCACTAGGGGTGAAACAAGCTCTCTTAAGGAGCAGCAGAAACAGGAGCCCTTCCATGGAAGTTGATGTCAAACTGGAGAATCCATCAAAGGAAGAGGACAAACTCACGTTTTTCCAGATTACGCCGGGCAAGCGAAGCTCTTTTACGAACAATGATTTCGGTCGGAATAGACGAAGTCCCGAAGTGGAATAAGCAGAAGGAGATCAAGCACGAGTTATCGCGCAGAGTCAAATTTGTTCCCCGGATGTCATTGCTGAAAATTTGAGGGATATCCTCCTATGTTGACAGAATCTGGTGCCCGCGTTGTGATTTCTTTTTGCTAAATCGAACCAACACCTTTGTTTCCTTGGTGGTTTTGTTATTTCTGTTCTTATCACTTTTCATACTACCATCAAATTGTCGTTTATGTCTACTAGCTATAACCATCATCTCCATAGCCACCTATCTTCACATCAATATTACCAACAATATTTGTGTAAATCCAGGGATAGCCACATAGGCTAAACCTGTATATTTCCTGGTTACGGGAGGGATAACGAAGACAATTGCCGATGACAGCCCAAACTGCACCCCAATATCTTCGGCTTCGGGCGAGTCCGAGCCCCCTTGCGTAAAGGACCCCTCTCCAAGACCCCAACTGAAGTACTCCAAATTAACCTCTACCGAAGGGGGCCGAGCACATATCCTGAAATAATCTCACCCCGCATAATCACTTCACATGGAACGATATGTTTTCCGGGCTGCTGGTCTAATCAATGCCCGTCTCATCCAACATCACATGCCTGGCTTCAATTTCGTGCAGAGGCTTTTGGATTTTCCAGTAGGGAAGTGTCAAGTCTAGCATAGTTCTTGTAACATGTATTCGGTAGACAAAGACATTTGTATTCCTTGGGGGTCAATATGTTCTCCAAATATAGTACCGATTTTCTCGACTGAGCACAGCCACGCCTGGCACTAGGTCTCCTCATCCTTGCCCTTCCACGCTAACCATGCAATAACAATAAACCCTTTCAAGATAGCAGCAGTCCACAACGCCCCCATAAGCCCCACCGAGCTATGAGCCCAGAGACCACCCAAAATCACACCAAACAACAGGCATAACACAGCGCCCAGACGCCGCATCTCCTCCGCATGGCCAATCACCTTGGGAGACAAAAGGTCCGGGTGCGAAAACAAATCACAGTAGATACTGGTAAGAACAACACTAGTCAAGCCACTGAACTGCAAGACCCGACTAGTAACCGCCTGCCCACTACTCTGAAAAGCGACCAAAGCAAGCGGAACGAGAACAAGCCAGCTCAAGGGCGCTTCGCGCGAAGGTCGATAAACCGTAACAACGATAGCAGCAAGGGTGACACACAACGTTTGAGTAAGGAATGACGCACAGAGAACCCATCGCTGCCTGGCTGGGAAGAGACGATGGAAGGTAGCGAAGCATAGCGAGCCAAGACAGAAACTAGCTATGGACACTCCAGACTTGATCCAGCGATCGTCATCTGTGCCGACGAGTCCGAGGCCAAAGTAAACGGTGTTGCCTGTTTGCATGCTCACGAACGAACCCCATATAAACACTGCGGAGCTGTCCAGGAGGCCGGTGATGACGTAGCAGAAAAGTAGTAGGAGGTCGCCATGCGCTGGATCGATTTCGCGGCGCAAGTACTTGGAGAGGCGGCTTGGGCCCGTAGGCCTGGTGCCGCCTAGTAGGGGGTCGCTTTCTTGAGGCATGATGGATTGAACAGGGGGAGACGCGACCCTTATGAATGTAGGGAGCTCCAGACGTTCCAACTGGAAATATGTCTCCGCACGGGAAAATGATGCGTCATCGCTCCACTAAGTGGAGACGAAGTAAAGTACATGGAACGCGAAGAGAGGAAGAGAGGAAGAAAAGAAGGAAAGGTTAAGCTTTGACGATTGGAGATTGGAGATGTCGGAGTTCGTCGGAAGTGCGGAGAGAAACATTTGTACTTATAACCTCACTTCATCCTGGCTTTGTACTTAAACCTTGCCAAGCATTCCCATCATGCAGTTGATACTTGGAATCACATCTCTATCCTTGTTCGTACTGGGAATCTCCGCTATCCCAGCCCCAGATTATGGACTGCAGCAGCTTCTCCAGGTCCGACCGGGTCATCCAGAGCTATTCGGCCAACAGCCCATCGCCGACCATCCACCGTTCTCACCAGGCCATCGCGATCCATATGATCACAAAGTAGACTCGGTAGGTGATGAGATACAGCCACTCCCCTTCCGGAATGGAGATGGCACCAGCGTGATGGGACCGCGCAACAAAGATCGTGAACGTCAGAACCCCGATCTGGTGCGCCCGCCGAGTACCGACCACGGAAGTATGCCCAATATGCGATGGAGTTTTGCCGATTCCCACATCCGCATTGAGGTATGATGATATTCATGCTGGAGATGATCAATTGAACTAATCGAAATTTAGGAGGGCGGATGGACTCGGCAAACCACCATCCGTGAACTCCCCACAAGCCGTGAACTGGCTGGGGTGAATATGCGCCTAGACGAGGGAGTCATTCGCGAACTGCACTGGCACACCGAGGCAGAGTGGGCTTACGTTCTTGCTGGGAAAGTACGAGTGACTGCACTCGACACAGAAGGAGGCAGTTTTATGGATGACCTCGAGGAGGGTGATCTCTGGTATTTCCCTGCTGGACATCCTCACTCTCTGCAGGGTCTAGGACCAAACGGCACTGAGTTCCTCTTGATCTTCGATAATGGCCACTTCTCAGAAGAGTCTACATTCCTTTTGACGGACTGGATGGGTGAGCACGCTACTGATCAACGTTACACTATATACTAATCCATCCTCCAGCTCATACCCCCAAAGCTGTTCTCGCCGAGAACTTCCGCGTCAAGCCCCAGCAGTTCGACAATATTCCAACATCCGAGAAGTACATCTTCCAAGGCTCAAAGCCCGGCAGCATCGAGGACGAAAAGCCACGCGGATTCAAGAAGTCCAAGATCAACTTCACCCATCACATGCTTGCTCAAACTCCCGTTGAGGGTACCGGTGGCCGCGTTCGCATCACAGACTCAACGAACTTCCCCATTTCAAAGACAGTGGCAGCAGCCCACTTGGAAGTTGCACCTGGAGCTTTGCGCGAAATGCACTGGCATCCCAACGCTGATGAGTGGACGTTCTTTAAGAAGGGTCGTGCCCGTGTGACTATTTTCGCTGCCGAGGGAAATGCCCGGACATTCAACTACATGGCTGGTGACGTAGGCATCGTTCCGAGAAACATGGGACACTTCGTGGAGAACCTGAGTGACGATGAACCAATTGAACTTTTGGAAATCTTCCGCGCCGATAAATTCCAGGACTTTTCTCTGTTCCAATGGATGGGAGAGACACCTCAGAGACAGGTTGCGGAAACCATTTTTGGAGCTGATTCGAAGGCTGCTAAGGAGTTCTTGAAGAATATTGAAGGGGCTGAGAAGGATCCTATTAGGAATACCATCTAGATCCGGATAAAAGGTCAAGAGATGGGTTTGATTTCGGATATTGTTGCTATCTTTCTGTTGCTTAAATCTCCTGTCGGCTTATAGGTCCAATTCACATAGTCCTACAAATCCAGTCTATTGATGTACACAATGGAGTGGATCATATCCTTCCTGAAGCTTGAAGCACCCCAGATCCAGGTCCCCCACAGAAACTTTAGGCGTATATGAGTCTCGTCAAACGTAAGATCGAGTGTATTCGCAAGACCTCATAATATTTCTCAATAATCGCAACTATTCACAGGCTATAAACAGCGGAATCACCCCCATTCCAAAAGATTCACCTAGCCCCCAAGATCAATAGTCGGAAGATCAGACATATGCAACTTGGAACTCCCGTACGGCCGCAGCGTCGCAACAAAGCTGTCTCCAAGACACACCCTATCCTCCTTAGCAGGCGGCGAAGCAGGAACAGACCCTTTGAATAAAGGCCAATCAATCAGACAAGCCTGTGCAGTGACATACATAGGCAACTTCCCATCATCAAAAGTAGGCGAAGGCAAAGGCCCAGACCCAGAATGGAAAGTCAGCGTCGACGGGTCAATAGCCACGTTCCACTCAGTCCCATTTGCCATCGAATGATCTTGCATCTGGGGAGGATATGTCCCTTCTGGCCATTCTTGCTGTGTGCCATAATAGTGGGGTGGACCGCTTGTGGTTATTGGGTCGATGTATAGACTGTATAGAATTGGACCGCGGTAAACGGCGATTGTATCATTGGCTCTGGATTTGGTTTGGATATCCATGCCAATATCGTAGTTGAGGGTTGTCTTTCCAGATCGAATTCGGACTTTTGTTAGGCCTGTCCTTGAGTTGATTGGGGAGGGTTGCTGGTTTATTTTGATTCCTGTTGACCATTGTGGAACGCGGAGGTAGAACTCGAAGGGCGTCTCGCTGTTGATTGTGTATGATAGGCTCGTGTTGAATGGGTAGTCGGTTTGGCAGTCTATTGTTACTTCCTTGTCGTTTATTTTGGTGTTCACTTTGCCTGGGCTGAGGAGGGCGTGGACTAGTCCGTTATTGCCGTTCTTGAGGAAGCTGTACATTGTGAATTTGGGCAGCCCCTGTGAAGGTATTTTAGCAAGCAATCATTGTCTAATTATTAAGATGGGTTGGCATCATACCTGAGGATGGTTGACAGTACAACATGGATAATTCGGCTCAACACCAAAGGTCTGCCCAACAGTATTGACATTCCAGAAAGGCGACGCTGAAAGATTCTTGGAAAATGGCTGGTTTGACTCAGTCATATATTGATGCGATGTCCAGTCGGGCCACATCGCTGCTGGTAAAGCATTGAAAGCTGCCAGTTCCGTACGGTCTGCGTAGTCTGGGTCACCAATTGCGAAGTAGTTGTATGCAAGTGAGTAGATTGCTTCAACTTCGGTGCAGAGCTCGGATCCATAGAATGGATTCAACCCAGCGAGACGCTATCTTGCGTCAGCGTTATCCACTTAATTTTGAGTATTGGACGTTCACTCACCTCGTCAGCTAGGATTGAGCCAGAGGCTGAGCCGTGATATTTGAATGTCCAGTCGACCTGCAGGGAAATTAGCGATAGCCCCAGGGAGAGTTGAAGTTTGAGAGCCGTGTGAGCATACCCCATTTTTCGCAGTAGTGATCAGACTATCATTGTGAGTAGAGCGCCTGAACACGGCAGCATACTTCAAAGCTGCAACATCGCATATTAGCTTCAACGTTCTCTCAACCACGCATAAAATCATACCTTCAGCAACAGTAACGCCATGCAAAAACGGCCACTCCCGATCCGCAACCTCCTGAGACACAGAATTAAGATCCTCCCGTATATAACTCCCCTCCGTATACCACCCCTCCTACTTAAACGAATACTCATGAATCAGCCGAATATTCTCCCTCAAAACCTCACTCCTATCCCCCGGATAATAATCAAGCATCCACTGCAACGAAACAACCATATCCTGCGACCTAGACCGGAACCAAGTGAAATCACCCGCACTAGCCTTGTCACCATCATGATAGATCATCCCCGTACCATTATTCTTCAGCATCGAATTCATCAACTCATTGAACCGAAACAGGGCATTGATAATAGGTTCCTCATAGGACTCCGGATCGGCATCGACGAGGTTCGTGAATCCTAGAAAGACAAGCGTTCGAGCCCAGATGAGACGGTTCCCCGCTTCGAGAGTCTCAGGTCCAATCCAGCCATCTGGTTGGATGAGGTCGAGGATTTTGCTGACAACTGTTTTGATATCAGCTTTTAGACGGTCGTCTTGGAGTGTGTAGGATAGTGGGACTATGGCGTTTAACCAGTATGGGAGGGCTTCGTTAAGTCCGCTGTATTCTTGGTCGCCACCTATCCAGGAGGAGTTTGCGACGTAGCGGTAAAAGTCGTATAGATGGCTATTATTAGTTAGTGGGTTGCCTTTGGAGGTTAATGGACTTTATCTGGATGTTTGCCTACCCTCCTAGACCTGCTGCGGAGGCTTCGAGCTCTGTTCTGAGCCATCCGTTTGGTGTTATACTTCCAAGTGGTAGGGGTTCATATGCGAATGGGACGACTGAATCTCCGCGTTATTTCGTGATATTATAATGAATGGAAATTGTTACATCACTCACGTTCATCAGTATCCCTTGCCTTTATTGCGATTGGCAACAAACAAAGTATAGCGTTGAGCAACCTCATAGTGATTAATTTGTCATAATCCTTAGAATTATACAACAGAAACTTCACTCCTTTCGGTTCATTGCCGTTTTAAGTAAATACATAGCCGACAACCGACTGCCAGACGGTGAAATTGCAAGCGAGCCGGTGCAACATGGTCCGAACCTTGAATATTTGTTTATGAAATGAGGGGAAATGTAACATTCCAAAAGACCGTGCGGAGCGTGTCGATCTATAGCCTCCCGGATCCAAGGCAATTGGGCTTGGTGACGAGCGTGGATACGATCTCCGTTCGGGTTTTGCCTTATGAAGGAAATAGATTTACAAATGACATTTCTAAATACATACAACAGTTCTTTGACGTGTCTCAGAGTCTGGCTTCGGATTTTTATACATCGAGGGTATGAATGATGTTCGTGAGCACATCGTGGTTATTAAGGACGAATCACAGTGCTGTTCTCCTTGCGGACAAATTGCAGGAACTCATCCAAGTCGGGGTTCTTGGGGTTGTTGACAAGGAAGACAGCAGGCTTTCCGTAGGGTGCGGATACCCGTGCGGTCTGGCCACCGTGGTACTTCTTGCCAGACCAGACGTGGGCGAAGGTCTGGTTCTTGCCAGGGAAGTAGACGCTAACGCTGGTGTGACCGGGGTCCAGGACAGGCGCAACGTACAGATCGGCACCCAGGTAGAAGCTCTCGTAGCTGATTGCCTTGGCCTTTACATCGTTGGGGTGGTAGACAACGGGCATGCGGAGCAAGGGCCAGCCCAGTTTCTTGCTTTCAGTGTCCAAAATGCGGCGACGGTAGGCGGCAAGACTGGTGAACATGCGCGCGTTGTAGCTGAACCAGGAGTAGGTCGAGGAGTTGGAGTAGAACTGGGCGTTGACCTGAGGGACGTTACCCTCGTGGGTACGGAAGACTGTGCTGGCAACGGCAGAGAGTTCTCCCCAGCGACCGAGCAGCTCGGCGGAGCGGTTGACAACGCCGTTGCTGTCCCAAGTAGTGGTGTAGCCACCGATCTCGGTGTGGCCGTGGGCGTAACCGGACAGACCCATGTGACCCATGACAGTGACGGAAGACTTAATTCCATCGTTGACACCCCAGTTGGTGTCCTGGTCACCAGCCCAGTAGAGGTTCATATAGCGGTTGGCAGCCATGGCGCATGAGCGGTGGAAGAGGATAGCATCCTTGAAGCTGGGAACACTCTTTCCGATCCAGTGGTGAAGGGCGGCCCACTCACGAGGGTAAGTGTTGTGGTAGACCAAGGGATCGATGCTCTTGTTGGCGAAGCGGGTGTCGGGGTAGATAGGAGTGTATTCGCCGAAGTCGGTCATGAAACCAGAGATGTTGGCGTTCCAGACTTGAGACAGTAGGACGTTCTTGAACCAGGATCGGCCAGCGGGGTTTGTGAGATCAAGGATTCCGGCGTCAAGGCCAGGACCACTGGAAATAACGGAGGTATCATTGATTGTGGAGTTTTGGATCATGTATCCTCCCTTGGTAGCCTCCTCGTAGAGGTTGGAGCTGTATCCATCAGGCTTGGTGCTGACGTTCGCCAAGAATGGATTGATATATGAGAGAGTGCGGACGTTGTGGTCATCACGTAGACTCTGCACAAACTCATTCCAAGTTGGGTAGAGCTTGGAATCAGACTCCCAGTTCCACCAGAGTCGGGAAACGTTGAGAGACATGTAGGAAACACTCTGCGAGTGGGTGCCAGACCAATCCTGAAGCCAGACAGCGGCAATGGGACATGTCTGGTTGAGTCCCTGATCGACAATGCGGTTGACCTTTGCCTGCCCACCCTGGATACCGAGTACAGCACCGGTGTCTACCCACTTGGGCAGTTCGGGCATGCGGCCGGTGTACTCGGTCAGCATGGTAATACCGTTCAGCATGTTCTCAGCTTGCATGAAGTATCCATCAACATCCAGGCCACTGTATCTAACAGTGACGGCACGGGCATCTGTAAAGTTGAAGGTGGCGTAGGCAGAGCTCTCTTGTGTCAGGTGGAACACCCGGGCATTGGAGCTGATATACTGAGGGACAGCGGAGTAGGTGGTGAAGCGATCTCCACCGGCAAAAAAGCTGTCCTCAGACTCAAGGTCAGTCGTTGGTTGATCGCCACGGCCGACTCCCTGCTCACGGGAGAAGATGGGAACCGTCTGGTTCTTCAATGACGCGAAAGAGGCCTGGCCGCCAAGACCGTAGAAATCCTCAGCAGGGGAAGAACGGTAGCTCAGAAATAGCTTCGTGACATCCGAAGAGTCCGAGCTGACATTGGCGCGGAAGGCAATGCGATCGGGGAACTTAGATGGCACCCAGAAGGCGACGGTGAAAGCAGCAGTGGCATCGCCACAGCCAGTGAGATGACCTTCAACAACAGCAGCATGGTCATTGGCGCTGCCGTGGCATTGACGCAGATCGATCTTGGTGATCTGCTGACCGGTGCACTTGTTCTGGTCCACTTCATTGATCTTGAAGTTACCGTTGGCAGCGATGATCTCGTCGTTTCCAGCGCTGGCACTGAGGAATCCCTGTCCTGGCACAGTGTCCCAAATGGGGCGACCATCTTGAGTGATCGAGAGATGATTTGCTTTCCCATTGGCAGCGAGCTTGAAGCCATTGCCCAGGCTCAATGGGGCATAGACCGCGAGGGACGGCGCCGCGGAGACAACAATAGAGGCCCAAAGCCAGGTCCTGGGAGAGCGCATGTTGGAATGAGACTTGGAACAGAACGAGGAATGTCCCTGTGGCGCTTTTATCTTTTAAAGCTTTGCCGATAGTGTCCCTGGATTCTGCAGAATCTTCGATGACATCTGAGGACCTTTCCCGTCCCACTCGGTTTGACCATGGCGCATAGTTAGCGGAGGTTTATGGTCCTGGGCCAATGAAACGAGACCCATGCCGTTATTTTTTGATGAAGATCAGCTCATTCCATGATTCCAATCAGCCACGGCCAACGCTAATGGAGAAATTGACTCCACAGCCGACGGTCCCGACGGGTCGTCGCGTGTGGCTGTTCGGGGGTAACCGATTCCTGGTAAACGCATAGCCGCGAATCCGGGGAGCGACTGTCTCCATTTATCACATGCACATGAATGATAGATGAAATGTTAGAAGTCCTGACGAGGGCGATGTCGAGACTATATGTCTCGGCTCATCGGGTATAACGACATTGGCTGGGCTGATGGTGTGAGGGAAAGAACGTCGGGGGAAGTGTGGAGACTCCGCACTTGCATCGGCAACTGTTCCTTCCTCAGCCGACCGAAATGACGTGGTTACGGCTAAAATGGCACACTCTATCCCGGGGATCGATACTCTATACTGCGTGATATAAACACCTGTACTTCTATATATCACTATCACTTCAGCTATCTTTCTTCACTCTGACCAACCTATGAGCCGTCGCACCATCATCCAACTTAAGAACTGTCTGCTCCCACTTAAACCCTTGAAGTCTAGGAAGAAGCTTGATCCAAACATAATAGTAAACCCCACAGAGCGCAATGCTATAACGATTTGACCGGTTAGTAATTTTATATCTTCTCCACCGTATGGCAGTGTAAAAACTCACATTCCAACAGCAACCGCGCAGTATGTCGCATACCAGAAGCTCACATCTCCGCCAGTAGCCCCAGTGCTAGGCGGGTACCATGGCATGACGACCATGTATAAATTAGAGAGGATTGCAAACCCAACAGTAACGTGCCAAGCTTGGTAGTCCGGGGCACCGAGATTTAGGCGTTTACGTCGCTGCCGACTGATCACTAGTCCGATGGCCAGGATCAAGGCAAATATGGAGCCCGGGTATGTTCCCATATCCACAACTGTCAATAAGGTTAGCCGGCATTTCATCGGTAACCAAAGGTGGCAGACACTGAATATCTTCAACATCGGGGAACTTACTGAAATTGAATGCATCACCAGCTGGCGGTGCCAGAATCATCAGCATTGTAAAGCCCCATTTCACCAAGTATGGACCAAGGGGTGTGCCGAAGGGTCTGGTTGAAGTCCAAAATGAGGTCCATGGTAGAACGCCTTGCCTGTAAGGGAAAAGATGATTAGCGATCACTGATGTGAAAAGAATAGCCAAAAGCTCGGCATGAGATGCAGTTTACTTACCTCCCACATTCCCTCAACATACGAGACTGTCCAATAAGGACAGCAAGTAGATTCCCAAATGCAGAAAGGCAAATAAGGAAGTTCAATGCCGTCGCCGCACCACTATTTCCAAACACCTTCTCGAAGAACAAGCCAGCAGCAACAACCTTCGACTCAAGGATCTCTTCCTTGGATGCAGCACTGAAGTAAGCGATGTTGGCCAAAATGTACAAAGTCGCTGTAAGCCCGAGCGACAACGGAGCACTCCATCGCAAGGTTTTAGTAGGATTCTACTGGTAAGTTAGCAACGAGACCATAATAATGACCGATGTGTCAACACGTACCCGAACTTCGTTGACTACGTTGAATGCATTCTCATAGCCTGCATACGAGAACATGACTTTGACCAATGCATTCGTTGTTCCATATACCGAAGCTGCACCACTGCCATCGAATGCGTTTCGGAAGTTTGCTTTGGGTTCTTTCACCGACGTGTGGCCTCCAAGGACGACCAATCCGCTGATTCCGATACTGCTATTTGTTAGCATTTTGCTACTGGGATTTGCGCTGTGCTGCTTCGTACAATATCAGTGTGACCAATTTCACAACGCCGATGGCATTTGCGATTCGGAGAGACCATCTCGTATTGAATGCAAGGACTGTGTCAGATGTACACCTCTCATTAGCAACAATGTCCTTATTATGAGCGGTATCAAGCCAGCATATACTAACCTAGTACAGCGACAGTATAAGAAGCCGCAGCAACACCCTTTGATTGCCAAGCAGTAGGCTCAGCATCCGCAAGTTTGAAAAGATATCGCGCCAGAACTAAACAAAAGGTTAGCGTTATCCCCATCATGTCACTAAGCCAAAAACATACCAACAGCATTACTGCTACTAAACGAAAACAGAACAGTCTGCATCGCAAAAACAGTAGGAAAGAAATACTTCGGTCTTGGATACGATTGTTCAAGGTAAACGACCTCAGAACCCGACCGACTCGGAAAGCAAGACGCAAACTCCATATAAACAGAGAGCGAGCTCGACGCCATCAAGTATCCGATAACCCAGTATATCAACGACAGGCCAACGGAGCCGGCACCTTTGAGAACATTTGATGCTATAGGCACAGGTTAACTTAGCACCCCGACAGGAGAGTAGATATACACACGTGTCGAAAAAACACCCGTCCCAATCATCTTACTCAAATTGAGAAAGATTACAGTCACCGGTCCGACTGAATACCCCAGCGGGGAGTTAACCTCGACTGGAGCACCCGATGCCTCCTGGTATGTGGCCCTCGTGGTATTCCCACCTACCTCGGTGGTATATTGTAAGCTGTCACTATCGCTGCTGTCATATTGAGGTGATGCCGGTGTGGCAGATTCTTTGAAGGTGCCTTTCTCCATACTGGCAGGAGGTGGGAAGATATGAGAAGGAGGAGCAATATTTTGTGCAACATACTCGGAATGTCCGACTTTATATACATCGCTGCATTCTCACAAGATCCCGCGTTCGAGGCAATTAATTACTTGGCTAAGCTCAGGCGTCATGGGCCATCTGGAAGATTGATGGCGTGATGAGCCGGGGTGTATTTCGCTCCTTCGTGTAATCTAGTTTGCAGGTACTCTTTCGTATCTTGTGAAGCCTTGCATAAGAGATTGTTCGGGTGATTTGCTGAGTGGTACAAGAGATAGTTCAACATTACACATCTAAACTGGACCTTCACAACGAAACGAGAGAGCATGAAATTTTGAAATGAAAATCGCAATTTATGCAGATCTAGTCAAAAGTCCGATCTACTAAGTTGACAAAGCCTTATCTATGATGGTGCAATGATTTGCCAAAGAGCAAAGGAATGATGTGATTCTACATCCATGTGGGGGGACACCAATCAACTTCTCAGGGTAACAAAAACACCAAATTAACAAGAGAATGGGGCTTGCTGTGCATGCCAAGGGGTAAAACTTCGTGGCGGAACAATAATCGCACGAGCTACCCTGTCCACTATTGATAATCCTTGGCGTTGGCTATTTCTACCCCTGTTGGGACTTTGTCGATTTAGCGCCATCTCTGACATATAATCTCACCATAGTGGCAGATTCCCCCAGGATGTTGGAGTCGCACTCATCTCAAACTCAATCTTTCTGGCGTGCACGATCTGGCCATGTTTCAAGACTGGAGAGGTAACGGCCTTTCCGTCGACCTTCAGGCTCCGAATATACGGCATAGTAGATGCGCCCGGGGCGACAATCTCCAGCATTTGCTCTTTGCCATTCACAACCTGTCCGCCAGTGCTCGCGCCACTGGGAAGGCGAATGGACACATGTTCGAAAAGTGGAGTACCAACAATATACTCGTCACTGGCGGGATTGACAGGATAGAAACCCAGAGCCGAGAAAACATACCAGGCACTCATCTGACCCAGATCTTCATTGCCTCCCAGTCCACCACTGGTGGTATTATAGTTCGACCAGGCAATATCCCGAATAGTCTCCGCTGCCTGGTTGGGGTATCCAACGACGGAATACAGGTAAGGCACATGGTGGCTCGGCTCATTGGTATGATCATTATGGCCACCCTTGAAATGGGCATCCAGCTTGTCTCGCAGAGCTTCACGTCCACCGAACAGCCTAGCTAGGCCTTTCACGTCGTGCATCACGTCGAAGGTGTATACCCAATCATCACCCTCCGTCCAACCCCAGGTACTATCCGCCCAACTCCCGTTCGCATTGCGAGCTTGCATGAACTGAGTCTCGTTGTTCCAGATATAAGCGTAGTTCCCACTTCGCTCGCGCAGTGCGCCCACAGTGGCATTGTCCGCTCCGGCATGCGCAGCAACAATGGAACAGGCATAGTCATCGAAAGCGTAATCCAACGTCCGACTACCCGCTTCGGACCATCCATCGTTCGATACCCATCCCTGCTTCATATATGCTGTGAGACCAGCGCGAGCCTCATACGACGTTCCCGGCTCGCGGTCATAGTAGAGCAGCTCGGTGTCATGGTCAGGCGGGGTATATGCATCCTTCTTGACGGCTTTCCAAGCCTTGGCAATATCAAATCCCCTGAATCCGCGCTCCAATGCATTGGCCAGGACTACATCTGCATTTGTCGCGATCATGATGTTCGTCTCGACGAGGTTTGCCCACATCGGCAACCAGCCAGTCCAATCAAAGATGCGGAGCAACGAGCGCATCATGCTGTTGATACGTTCCGGGGCGAAGAGGGTTAGAAGTGAGTGCTCGGCTCTGTACGTATCCCAGATTGACCAGGACTGGTAGTATGAGTCGTTCTCCGTGTGGATGCTATCAGTATAGCCGGAGTAGAAGGTTCGTGGGGCGCCATCCTTCTTTGATGTAGGTTCGGAGAAGTCGTTAGGGTATTGGAGGGCGTGAAAGAGGCCGGTATACCAGATAGTGCGAGGGTCATGATCTGGATCAGTATGATTGACGCCTTTGATGGACACCCGACCCAGCTTCTCAAGCCAGGCGGACTTCACTTTGTCGACGGTGTCTTCGAATGAGTGTCCATCCGGAGTCTGAATTTCGAGATTCTTCCGAGCCTGGGCGGTACTGACATATGAAACGCCCGTCCGCACTTCTACGCGCGATGTCTTGCTGCTGAATTTGACATATGCGCCAGTAAAGTTTCCATGTCGCTGGCTCTCATTCTCCATTAAAGAACCGCCGTTCGTGACGCCATACTCGATAAAAGGCTCGGAGAATCGGGACACGAAGTATCCCTTAAATGAAGGTGCTTTGTCTGGCCCGAGAAGGTAATCCTGGCGCTCGGTGTTGTAGCCATAGATCTCTTTATTCTTCGCGTCAATGTGGACTTCACCAGTCCAGTTCCGACGGGAAGCTTGAATGAACACCCAAGGATCCTGAGCTTCGCCATCGGCGCTTTGGAAATCGAAGCGAAGGTGGCCAACGTGAGCATCTGCCGACATGGCAATCTAAAAGAAAACATCAGAAATCATCCACAGCAACAAATCATAATTTGGAATAGTTACCTGAATAGATCGCTCATACTCCTCATCAGACTGAGTGCAAAGAGTCGATTCCACTTCACGTTTTCGTGTCCGTCCATTAGCGCCCTCCTTGACCTGATCAGGAACGGCTCCAGCACCCCCGGGAACCACCCCGTCACCAACAGCCTCGGCCGTGGCATTCCAATCACGATCCATAAGCTGGGTGGCGTTCACCAAAACCTCATAGACGTACGGCGTACTCCGTTCATCCTTTTTCCGAAACTCCAACCCGCGATTCTCAAACAATGGTTGAACATCACCCATACCTGGCGTCAAGACCACCTGACCAGATTCGCCCATCCAGATAGCAGGTTGGTGAGTAGCCTGGAATCCATGAATAAGACGGTCACTGTCGCCATAGGGAACCTGAGAAATGAAATTCTCGCGAGTCTGGGGTGTCCACCGCGTCATTCCGAATGGGGGACAGACAGAGGGGATCATACCGCCATTTCCATTTGGGGTTGTTCCATAAGTGCCGATAAGGGGATTGACGAAGTTGAGAACACCTGCATTTTCATGGTAATCTGTGCTGCGATGTTTTGTTCCCTTTGGCTGGGCGCATGTACATCCTGCGAGTCCTGCGACCAAGACTGGTAGAACACCCAGCATGTTGACTGTGGCTTTGGGTTTGGAAAGGTCAAGGATGGCAAGAGTTCATGGTAGGTGCAAATTTATTGGGAAAATACCTGGGAACGGACTGAAGAATTGGCATTCTTGTTAACTTACTTTCCGTTAGCTTGCAATAGTATCGGTTAAACGGCTCAATCTTTGTTGATCCCAATTTCCATCCCCGCATTTGCGGGGTGTGGTAGCACCTGCAGGTCGCAGTGAAATCCGAGGCCTCAATATATTTGGGCCAAGAGATGGAAAGGAGTAAAGGGAAAGGCCCTTGCTCTCACGTGCCATGAGAGTAGCAACCTTGGAGTTGTCGAGAATAATGTCTTTGGCACTAACCACATACGGCTTAGAGCCTGTAAAGCAAGAGGATTGAGCCACTTTCGGTGAATGTTTTATCTATGTTTATATAGATCAGCTTTCTATACAAAATATCATACATGCCTTTTCGCGTCGAGCCTCCGTACGATATTTACTCAAGTTGTGGCAATTCAGCCCTATGGTTCAGGGGAGTGAAACAAAGCCAAGAAGCTAAAAATAGCGCCACACCAGCCACACAAACATGCGCGTCCATCCCTACAACGCGCGGATCTCATTTTTGTCAACTCTCATAAACTCTCATAAATAGGTTTTAAGTGAACTACACTTCCTTGCTGATTTCTTTCACATTTCCCCTCGACTTATTATCCACCATGCCAGCCCTATATGCAGCGCTAGCCCGAAGCGTGGAAACGGCCCCGCATCAACTCGCCAGTCGTGGCTTGACGGTCAACCATACTCAAGCCATCACTCTGGGGGTGATGGCCGTCTATGTCGTGGTCATCGCACTACTATGGAATTTGCCATATGTTCGCTGGTCACTATGGCCCTTCAAAGTAACCAACCCTTTCTCACCTCCCCTCTCCTGTGTTGCGACTAACATGTGACAGATGTTGGTGATTGCGTTCCATGAGTTCGGCCATGCGATCACTGCCTGCTGCACCGGTGGAAAGGTCAAATCCATCTCCCTCGATCCACATGAAGGCGGTGTCACCCACATGCAGGGTGGTGTCAGTGCGATCACCTTGCCCGCTGGGTATCTCGGCTCATCCATCATTGGCGCACTCTTGATTTTTGCCGGCTTTGATATTGTGGCTAGCAAGGTTGCCAGTATTATACTGGGTGTTTGCTTCTTGCTTACACTTTGGTGGGCGCGGCGGGACTGGTTGACTATCCTGACTATTCTCCTTGCGGTTGGTTTGTTGGTGGCATGCTGGTTCATTGCCCATGGTGAAGCCTTGCGCTGGGTTGTGGTAAGCCACATATACTTCCTCTGTACTCGTCAATTATGCTAATCCCTTGTTGCTTAGCTCTTCATCGGTGTCATGTCCGCTTTGTACAGTGTCTGGGATATCGTAAGTCTCAAACAAGACCTCTTCACTGACCCCGCTAACAGTCTGTCTCAGTGTGACGATCTCATCCTACGCAAAGTCAACACATCCGACGCCAGCGTCTTCGCCAAGAAGTATGGTGGCTCCTCCCAGTGCTGGGGTGTCATCTGGTCCTTGATCTCTCTCTGCTTCATGGCTATTGGTATCATCGGTGGTATCGCAGCATTCCCCGAATCGTTCAGCCAGCAACAGTCCGACTCCAAGCATTTCATCCCAACTCGTTAAACGAGCGCGAGCGAATTATGTCACGACGAATTCAGACCATATCCATTTTCATGCATTATGACACTTTATGTATTCCTAACATTTCCTAAATATATAGATTGTTACACATAATATCAGAGGAAATCTGTTATGAAGCTAGATCGCATCGCTGATACAGTAGGATTCGAAAACAGATTCCCCCACATACACTCACGGATTGTGTCCCGAACCATACCTTGAAACATCCTAATCAGGATTTGGTTACATACTCTCTTAACAACCCCTGCTTGGTTGTATCATATCGACTGTCGGTCTCAAATGATATCTCTGTAAAATACTCCAAGGCCAAAATTCTCAGTCCCGAATCCATCGTAATTGCACCGCCTTAGCATCCCGAACCTGCAAGGTCAACTTAGAAACAGAGTCGTTCATCAAGTGCTGCAGTCTCCGCTGAAGGTCCTCTGGATTATGTAACCCAAGAGTCGGGATAGGCTCGCACCGTGCAGATCGGAATAGCGTCGCCATTGCCGCCACAAATTCCACTTGTGAGAACTTCATCCCCGGGCAGACCCTCGGTCCGTCCGACCACGGCAGGAATGTGCCTTTTGGTGGCGTGATAATCTCACCGGCGTCATTGAACCAACGCGATGGCTTGAAGTCCTCGGCATCCGGACCCCAGATTGTAGTATCCATGTGGATGCTCACGTGGCTGACAAAGAAATTCATCGGAGGCGCGAGGTGGTGAATACCATCGGCGCCAACGAGCTGCTGCGGTGAGAGTACGGCGCGAGTGGAATGAAGAACTGGTGGGAAGTGGCGGAGGGTTTCCAACTGTGGGAAGCAAGTCAGCTACCTTTTTATAATGGTGGCAAGGAGAAACGGAGAATTACCAACACCGCTCGTGTACGTCGGCATTTGGGGTACACCTCCTCATAAGTCCATGTCGACACGTCCGCGTCCAGACCGCAAAGCTCCTCACGGATCCAGTCCTGCCATTCCGGGTGCGCAGCCAGCAGGGTAACCGCATAGCCCATGGTATTAGCGGTCGTTTCAAAACCCGCACTGCTGAAGATGAACAGATTCCCAGTAATCTCCTCATCTGTCAGTGAAAACTCTGACTGTCCGCGGCGTTTCTCTTCATCCGAGAGCTGCAACAGCATGCTCAAAAAGTTATGGCGAGGGACTGACCCGATCATGGCAGCCTGTCTCTCTTCCTCGAGCACTTCCTTGGTGTATTGGGGGATTCTCTCCAGGTGCTTGCCCATGCTTCGAAGCGCCGGTGGCATTAACGGCAATCTCATCAGCTTTGTCGGGAGCGTCGCCGCTTCGAGGAACATACTTGTCACCATCGAGAGCGTCATAAAGTATGCCGTTCTCTCATTGTTTGCCTCCACGGTGAACTCCCGCGAATTAGGAGACCATGACCGCTTCTGGCTGTACCCAGATTGACCGATCACATTGATCGCAATACTGCGCAGACCATCTAATGTCTCGCCACCCGGGTGGTCTACCACGTAGTCGAGCATACTTTGAGCCTGCTGACAGCTTTCAATCCAAACCGTTCTGCTGATTCGCTCGTCCAGATTGACGGCAAACAACCTGCGGTGCCGCTTCCTGAGACAGCTCATGTTTAGCAAGAGGGCAGACTCAAACATGGGCAAGGGTTGAGGGAAGCCACCGACCATTCATCACCATTAACCTGGATTTACTAGGTCAGTAAAAGAATCTCTGGTCCTCTTCTGGCAGGAATTTCACACACCGTAAACACATTGGGACCCAAGAATCCTAAAAGCTTAGCCGTAATAGGTGCTAGGAGGAAGTCATGCCTTCTCTGTAGGATGGCATTGCCGACGGCCGAATCGGCCACGCTGGATTGTATCAGAAACAGAAACGTCGCTTCCAAGGGATGACCACTAATTTGAACTCACAAAACCGCACATTCATCAGGAGTGACGATGGCAAATATGCTGCCCAATCGGTCATGGATCTCTCTTTTTCTACGGAACTCCCAGCCATGAATCAACAAATCTAGTCGTTCATAGATCCATCCCGGAAGATATTTCTCGAGCTGAGGCTGGAAGGCTGGCGCGAGCACAAGCCACGGAATGCTTTTGGACAAAACAGGTGACAGGTACACTGGAAAGCCGGCACGGCGGGCATGGATATAAAATCGGAGGAACGATATCGATTTATAAAAGAAGTAGACGAAAAGCAGTGTCGCGACGGTTGAAAAAATGGTGAACCCCATCGTTGCGGTATGGTAGACAGAAGGGACGGGCAATTACAGGTAATATATTGTCAGGTAAAAAGCCCTCCATCCATTCTTGGAAAATGGAGAGAGCTACGGCTAAACTATCATTGGGCTCCGCTTGGAACACTCGTATCTTGGCCGTGCATAGCCACCACGTCAGATGCAGCCACGAAGAATAGTAGGTTTAACTGGCCCAATTCGCAGATAAGCACCAAGCTTACTGCAAGATGGCGAAAGCTGTCTTGCCAAAGCAGTCCGCGGACACTTTCTTAGCAAGAGACTGCGCTGCTAGCAGTTTCACAACGTAAAGATACCCGCCAGCTGCGGTGCACCAGTGTGATGTTCTCTCCGCATCATCAAACCCCTTTTTTTTTTTTACAAAAAACCTAATTTCCAAAATGAAGCTCGCGGTCTGTTTTCTCGTATCTTTGAGTATACAGGCGCGCAGAGATGCTATATTTCACCGGAGGATACCACTGGGCTTACTTGGTCAAAGAATAAGCGGAACAAATACAAAAAAAAAAAAAACCCCGTACACTGGTCGAGGCCAACAAATTATAAGGGCGGGGAAGCGAAAAAGTAAGATCTGGGCAATCATTTCTGGGGGCTGGTAATTGAAGAAAGCTATCGGGGAACTGCCCCAACAAAGAGATTGCTCCTTGTTGCGCTCGTATACCAACATCCATCAGATTCAAATCACTATATTACCATAGAAGCAACAAGCATAACAAGCCCACCAAGCCCATCCATTCCTTCGCACCACTCTTCCCAATTTGCAGCAGTCCTTTCCGGGTTCTTGGCAGTGATAGACGTATGAACCAGCACTCCCTCACTACATTCCTCACCTAGTCTGACAAGCTCTCCACTGCCAGCCAGACCAAATTTAGTCTGAACTCCACCTTGAATCTCACTTTCCAACTTCCACACCAGCTCATTACTCGCTTCCCAAAGCTGTTTATTCCCTGGTAGCGGTGCAAGAATTAGATCCGCTGGCAGATTGCACATCGCTGCTGGCTCAAAGTAGAACAACATATTGACAACTCGGTAAACCACGGATAGTCTTGGATTCGATCAGTATCTTCACGGCCAATCCAGTGCAAGTGAGTAGGTAGATAACAAACCTTCGTCTTGATTCCTCGAAGAGCCAATCTTGCCATGTTCCATGCAGACTGTAGTTGCAAGGAATGCCACTATCCATGAGCCGCTGAGCTATGACCTATTCTTTTCATTAGAATCAAGTTAGTAGGGCGTAAATCGGGCCAGACTCACAATCACTGTCGCGAATAAAAGTGAATCAAAGCTATTGTAGTCCGTCTCGCCTTCATCCAGTCGGATAATAATATAAATAGAAAGGGCTTGCATAGCAGCAAGGAGTTCCCATTTCGTCAATTTCAAACGCTGAAAATATTCATTAGCTTCTTGTGTGCCAAATCCCCGAATAATTACCAACACCTCGCACCTCAGCACACAGTCGTTCGCACTCCATCCGCACATTTCTCCAGAACAGCTTTCGACCCCCTTTCATCTCGCCGCTGATCATATGGACCAAATTGATGCAGTTATCAAGTGGCTCCATGTCAAGTTCAGCGGATACCAAATATGGATGGATAAACGGTGGAAGTGAATTGTGACGCAACATTTTCAAGACATATGACTTTAGCATATGCCGGATGAGAGTGGCGCTTCTTTCCGTTCCAGCCTTCGTATTTGATCTTTGGATAAATGAACGAGGATTGAAAGTCGGTACTGCTGGTATTGACCGGCTGGAAGGAGGAATGGGCTGCCTTATTTGAACTTCCTGGTTGACCGGAGGTGTCGAGCGAGAGATTAGAGATCCCCCTGACCCTCCTGTTGAGGGATAATGGTCGATTTCGTCTGACTGAAGATTCAGAAAGTCCCCGAACTCGTTATCTGGTAACATAATATCTGGTATATCCCAGCTGAAATATTCACCTCCAAAGTCTGCGAGCTCTTGGTTTAAAATACCGAGCTCACTATCGCAAATTGTATCTCTATCGTGTTCTGGTTCTTGGTAGTTCGGAATACTCAGATAATTGCTGTTCTGAACGCTTGGTCTTCTGGCTTTGGGCGACTTTGAGATATACTGGCATTCAATGCCCTTAGCTTTGCACCTCGAGCATTCGGGCTGCTTCTTATCGCAACGCGTCTTCGTTCTTGCACAATAAAGACAAGATCGAGATCGAGGAATTTTTTCAACTCCTCGAGACCGACAATAGTACCCATGTCGCTTCAGCGTAGACTCTAAAATTTAGTCAATGTTAGTAAAAATTCGTGGCCATGAAGTTGTTAGTGGAAGTGGAACTTACCCCGATCAAACGGTTTGTTACATTGCCCGCACCGCAAAACGGATTGTACATCTTTTTCGGACATTTCAAGCTGAATTTACGCGTGTATATCCTGGGAATCATGGATAAGTGCCATATTAGAATTCCATTAGAATTCGTTGGGATCAAGGGGTTCCCCACCAGTCGATGGGCATTTGTCAGCTCGGGCGATACATTTTGTAATTGCCGAGCATGTCCAGAGATGCGTTTCAACGATTCCGGAACATTTCTCTCTGGCCACGTTAGTTAAGAGTGGTCAGCAATTCTACTATTCAAAATTTGACGGAACCTTTTGTAGTTCCGATAATTACACTAACGGATGCAAATTGCACAGTTCCGTCACCAAAATGGACCAAGAGACTGGACAACATATAAGAATACACATTGTTCTTTGAAAAGTATTCTCTTCACTGAAAAAATAATCCAATATCTCTACCTATTCATACCTCTTGCAACTATGGCAGCACCCTTTCCATCCCCAACTACAAAATGGCACACGGAAACGTACCAGTCCATATCCCCTATCCGTCCCGAGCTTTCTGCCAAAGGAAGGACAGTGGTAGTAACCGGAGGGGGTACGGGCATCGGTGCAGAAACAGCTCGCCAGTTTGCCGAAGCAGGCGCATCTCGAATCGCCCTGCTTGGCCGTAGAGAACAACCTCTTCTCGACACCAAATCCTCCATTCAGCACAAGTTCCCGGGCGTCGAGGTATTCGTGGCCGCTACAGATGTTACAAACAAGGACCAAGTGGACGCAGCTTTCGCCGAATTTGCCCGCGGCGGAAAAATTGACGTTTTGGTTAGCGGTGCTGCTATAATTGGGCCCCAGGATCCAGTCGGGAATGTGGACAGCGACAAGTTCCTTGAAGCGATTACGCAAAACCTCAAAGGGTCATTGTCGGTTGCCCAAGCGTTTCTTTACTATGCGTCGTCGGATGCGGTCGCTATCGATATCAATTCGTCTGCTGCGCATGTGAATTTTGGACCTGGATTTGCTGCATACAGCATCGCCAAGTTGGCCGTATTCCGCCTTTGGGATTCTTTGGCCTTTGCGAACCCAGATTTAAGCGTGTTTCATATCCAGCCTGGTATCGTGGATACCGCAATGAACAAAGAAGCCGGAGGTGTCAAAGCCACTGGCATCGAGGATCACGGCAAGTGAAATGTCGGTTCCCTGTACAGGAGATCATGAAGCTGACTTTTATTTAGTTTCTCTACCGGCGAGCTTCAGCGTTTGGCTTGCAAGCCCCGAAGCTCGTTTTTTGAAGGGAAAGTTTTTGTGGGCAAACTGGGATGTTGATGAGCTCAAGGCTAAGGCCAAGGAAATCGAAGAGAGTACTCAGCTTAGCATTGGGCTTGGCGGGTGGCCTTTTCAGGATGCAGGCTGGAAGTCAATGTGGAAATCTTAGCCCTTGAGAATTGGTCGGCATTGGGGGCTATATTCACTAGATAAATCGTCGACTCACGCGCACGTCGGTTTTCAGTATGTAATCAATGAAGTAGCTGTGAGCTCAGTGTCAGATAAAGCTATTGGGCAAACTGAATTGATTTAGTTAATGTTGATTTCAAAATATCTCTATAGAATTGTTTCCTTACCGCAAATGAAGTGTTCCATCGCCCCGTGAGCCTTTCGACTGCGTCGTGTAGCGCCGGTCTCGTTTTCACCTCCTTCCATAGACCTATCTATTTGTCGAAGTACTCTGTCGCCGGTCTTGTCCCAGTACGCGCAGTTGTAGGCCTTCCTCGCCTTGAGGATGGGCTTACACTAGTTGTAAGGCTCCATTCTGAGTACGTTGCGCGGTGATCCGACCCGTAGTCTTCGTGGTAAAGTTGACACTTCACTAGCAGGTCCGGTCAGTGTTTTACGGTTTGGTCAATAGTGGAATTCCTCCCCGGGTCGCTCTGAGCCCAAAAGGTCGCCGTCCCCCAGAGAAGGCAGCCGTGTAGGCCATAGGGTTGCAAGAAGTCGATCAGTTCCCTTGCATCCTCTATAAACCTAGGTTGGATGTGATTGCCGCCGTATGTTGGATGGTGGCGATTGAAGTCTCCCGAGAGTACGACGCTTGTTGACCTTCGATCGTCCTGGAGAACGGTCGTCGTTGTGTTGCTCAGATCTACTCAGTTGGCAAAAAGCGGCAAGGTCTGAGCACTAAAACGGAAAGGGAACGCCAAGAAGTGGCAGAGGAAATCAAGTACGTAGGTGGAACTAAATAATCGGCATAAATATCTTTGATTACATATTCAACAGATGCGATAACAGCGCAGGGAAAATGATCAGCCATAGATAGCGCCAGGGCTTACTTCTAAAGCACCCTCAACCTCTCCCACTTCTCGAGCGCTTTGGTATACCGAGACTGCAGCCTCTCGAGCCTGGTTCGCATTCTCACATCGGATTGATCTTCTCCGGCTATAGCATCCAGCTCTTCGTCATCTAACCTAGCAAAGGTCTCGACGGACAGGGAGAGCATTGGACATCTTGGTCCCAGTATATGTCGCTCCACCACCTGCATCGCTACATTGTCAATAAAGCGATGCAACGCAATCCCATAGTACGACTCCAGCCTAGCACGGACAAATAACACTTGGCTGAGAATCGTGGAGATAAAGCGAGGACGGTCGTCATTAGCCTTGAGGTTGCCCTTGACATCGCCATTCTGATCATGGTCTGTAGATGATCCTTTGGACGACCTTTTCCCGAGAAGAATTTCGCCACGATTCTGATCCGCAATGTTCGTGTCTGCCTGCAACCGCGGGTTACGAGTTACTAACGGTCTGGCTTGATTATCCTCCAATAGCTCGGAAAGAGCTGTGTCTGCATGCTTGTGCCACTCTTCCAGTGTCTTGCCCATTATGCGACTGACCTCCAATCGCACTTTACTGTTGGGGATGGCAATGCGGATTAGAACATCATGGCAGTTCTTAACCAGATCTTTCACGTCATCGACAAACCGGCGGGCAATGCCTTCCCAATGGACAGACTGCTTGCGGAAGATTTTCTCCTCCACGTCTGGGTGCACAGTGCCGGGAAGACTACAGCCTTCGCTGATCTTGGCTTCCTTGTATATTTCAGAGTATAGACCGGAACTATCCCTGACGACTTTGTCCCATATTCTTGGGTCTGGGCTGGTAGAGCCGAGGAATTTCAGGTCTCGCTCGTAGTCTGTGAACGGAAGCGGTATGTTTGCGGGATCCGCCATATCCTCATAGAATTGATCCAGGCGACTTTGCACTTCATATCGAAGCATGATCCTCGGATCCTGGGAAGGCACAATCTGATATTGACCTCTGAGCGTTGCCTCTGCCATGCGCTGCATCTCATTGCAAAACTGGAGGACAAAGTACCGCTGAGCTTTCGGGCTATCTCGAGCTTCACCCATGCGTTTCAGATCAGATTCGCATTCCCGAAGCTTCTGTCGAATCTCCGCCACAATGTGCGGGATACCAGACTGGATCTGCGCTCGTCGTTCTTTGTCGACATATCGCATCAGCGCTTGTATTCCGGTGCGGTCTTTCGCGACTTCTTGCCAGTCTTTCTTCATGAATTCGGCACTTTCTCGTTCGTCCCGCTCCGCATCGGTGATGTGAGCTTCGTTAGGGACTCGACTTCGCAATCCGAACCACCCGTGATCGAGGCGAGGAACAGTAGAAAGGTCGTTCTGAAGGAGCTTGACCATCTGACTTGGGACTTAGCATGACTCGTTAGGGTGGACTCTAGAGGAAGACATACCCATTCATCCGATCCCTCTTGTTTGCGATCACACTTGTTCAGCACGCCAATGCATCGCTTTTCCAGGCCTGGAATCTCCTCCATCAGTTCGAAAATCCGGAGTCGCTCCACATCCACATCATCAATGACAACCCTGTCTAGCTATCAGCCTGGGTGTAATGGAGAATGTTGTCCGGTAACATACAAGACAATGTTCCGGTCGTTCGATAGATATCTACGTGCCAGGTCCGATGCAACAGCTGCATTCATCCGCATTGAGGTATCTTCCGGCCCGTCGCCATTCGCGCCCTTCAACACATGCTCCTTTGGATTTTTCTTGTCGCCCCGTATGAGTCCCGGAAGATCGATGATGGTCCAATGCATCTCGTCTGGGCCTGACCGCTCAATGCGCAGTGTTGCATCACTCAGACTCACCCTCTTTCCCGGCTGATGCGCGCCAAAAATACATTCTGTTGCCTGGATTGCCGAGCGATGAGACTACATCCAACCATCCACGGCGCTAAACATACCTTCTCAATAATCTCTTTTATGACATCCGTCGTCAGTTCCTTCCTCTCGACTACAAAGTCCCTAATGCGAGCTATCAATGCCCCGTCATTCTCGGACTGTCGACCCGGCACGATTGTGGCCTTGACTGGCAATTCTCTCGCAGCGGAAGTCTGGCGAAAAGAGATCTGGATGGGGAACCGAGTGCAAGTCCCGTCTTTCACTGGAAAAGAGACCTCTGTGATAGCTTGGAGCACCGAGCTCTTGCCCGCGCTTTGGTCACCTACCACCACGAGCTTGTACACATTAGTATCGTGTCTACTGGTCGCAGTGATGAAAATTGACTCTGTGGACTAACCTCGGGTAGGTTGATGGTGCTACTTAGCCCGAGCGCCTGCAGCTCATCGATGAAAGCCAGCTGCTCCGAGCTCTCGACTCCGGCGAAGTGGCGCGGTCTTGTGCTCATTTTGATACTGACTTGGGATGTCTGTATTCACGGTTTCTCTGCGGGATATCGGCTCTCTTATATTTCGTTCCGCTGGGACATATCTCTAATTAGTATAGCGAGCCGCCAACCCCAACGCCCACTCAACCCCTGTTCTAGAACAGGGGGCCATCAGTCCGCCGCAGCCGTGCCGCAGCCGTGCCGCAGTCACCATGCATGCATTAGTCGCTGTTCTAAACGCCGGTGGCGATGATCCTGGTATTTTTCCGGAATGGAATACGTGCATCATCCCCGTCGCAATCCTTTAACGCTCTTGGCGTCGAACTAGCAATGGATATGCCTTATTACAGCTACTGAACGAGTCGCCTACTGTACTTTTGCCCGCAGCTCCCGTCTCGCTTGCCGCGGACGCACAAGACGTGCTCGCGAAAGCGAAACGCCTTCGCATATGTGGACAACTAACAGTGCCCACCTCTCAGCTGCGTCAGTAGGTAGGTTTGGCCCCTGGGTAGATTGGTTTCCATCCTTCTAGTATATACAAGCCTAGTAGAAGCTAATTTTATGGCTGAAGTAACCCGCATGGCAGTCGCGCAATCAATTCCCCTCTCAATGCCCCAAATGGTGGTCCACAATATGATATTGACAAAACCACTGACTACCTCACAAATTGCTAGAGCAGCCGAATGTATAAAATATCTAGGCATAAATGTAACAGTGAACCCAAATAGACCAGCTTTGATTGGAATCTATTGTACAAATATCGTAGATATACAGTGCATCTATCGTGTATGGCCTGCCTCCCGAGCTTCTTCCTGCTGTAAAGCCATTCTAGCCATGACGTCCCGCGCCGCGACCTTGGCTTTACGCTTCTCATTCATAGCGACTTCGTCCGCAGTATCCTCTGGAGCGCCCGTTCGACTTCCATTCGGCGAACCAGTGAGGCGCTTGTTTTTTTTGTTGGGTGCTTGATGGGAATCAGACGCGACATCTTGGCCATTTTCGTCATTTTCGCCGATGGATGGGTTGGGAGATGTTGGGCGCAGGCTGCGACGAGATTGCCGGCGTGTGCCTGGTTGACCAGTAGAATCGGTGTTGATTCCCTGACTGTTTAAAGGGGTAGTATTTGGAGGTTGTGGAGTGTCGGGATTGGGATTTGGGGGCGGGTTGGTTGACTTTCTGGGTCTGCCGGGTCTTCTCGGTGCAGGAGCTTGTGCTGGAGCTATTTCCGGGTTGTCGCCATGTGGCGGGTTGTGGCGCGGGCGTTTCGCTATGGATTGCTGTGCAGGCTGGGATTGGGCTCGGTTTGTGTTATTGGTTCTATTCTGAGGCGTTTGGGAAGCCTCCAACTGAAGCCCTGAGCCCGCCCCATATTCCGACTGGCCGCTGGTAATGGCACGCCGTTGTTGTTCGTTAAGCACAGCACGAGATTCACGGACAGCTGGAAATGACGGGTCCGAATCGTCAGTCATATCGTTTTCATCAAAGTAAGTGCCAAATGATTGGCCGCGATCAATGGGGAAAGCGTCGGGCCAAGTGCGCTTCCGGCCTGCCTGGAGCAAGCCCGGGCTCCGAACTTCAGGGAGTGCAGCGTTCATGTTCAATACAGACAACGAGTCTTGCTGTGGTTGTGGCGAGATCCCTCCCATGTAACGGTTTTTTAATTTCAAAGCTTCAATCTCCAACTTCAATTTCTCAATTTCGTCAGATTTGGACTTGAGCTCCTTGAGAACGGTAGCAATCATATCGAAATCATGCCCCTGGAGGGTGGATCCCTCTCCAATATGCCTGTTTGGTCCGTTCAACTCAATTCGAAGAGCGGTGAAGGAATGCTTGAGGTCTGACATTGTATCTTGTAGGTGATTCACGGAGTTCGAGATCTGATCGATGCTTCTGCCTTGACTGAGCATCTGCCTTTGTACTGACGAATCGAGGTTGGCGGGGTCAGAGACGCCCGCTGGCACAAGCGCACTGTCCTGGACAATTTCTGAGTTTCGGCGTGGTGGTTCTTTAGGGGTCGGACAAAGGAGGCGTTCGAGGGTCCCCTGCTTGAACAGAGGCTGCACGGTCCGCATGGTAACAATTTCCCTAAATGCAACCTTGTTCATTTTCCACAGGATATTCATTCTGAAAGCGGGTCAGCATGGAGGGGATGCGCTGGTATTCAGGGCAGCTTACCCATTGTCGAATGGACACAGGACTCCAATCCTTTGTTGGCATAGTTTGCAAGAGACCTCCTGAATAATACGCCCGCGCAACAGGGTCATCTCAGAACTATGGGGAATCAGTTTGCGCTCCGACAATACGGAGATGCGATGGAGGTCGACACTGAGCCATGCCGTTGGGATAGCGTAAACATTGGTCAGCTTTGCCCACTCATTCTCCAGTGCAGCCAGTGAGCTGGAACACCGTGAGCATTGGGACAATATGCCCGGCCGAGTTAAATGGGACAAGTCCATGATGTGTTGGGAGTAAGAATGTGCGGATGTTAAGAAAGCCAAGAAAGCCATGGAACGCAGCCAGACCGCTGAGTCAGCCGGTAGTGCCACAGGCCACGCTAGTCCCAATTAGGTTATCGATAAGGAACTGTAGAGTGTCGTCATCAATGGAGAGGGAACATTCACTGGTTTGCCTGAACACAAGTTGTCTCTGTTGCACCTAAACGAATAATTGCGTACTCAGTCCCCGATCAGCGTACAAAGTTGGTCTATGTTGCACCTACTCTTATCTCCCCGCATGATCACGTGCCGGGTCCCCTCTTTGCCTGTTATTTTTGAGGGACCAATGCTACGCTGACACGGAACTCATGAATCGCTTCTTACAACCAGCCCGTTGGTCATCTTCGGCACTTTGGTCGCTAACCAGATCAACAATACATCCTAAAATTGTGGTATCACATCTCTCAACCCGCGCAATGTCTACTACCTCGGTACCCGGCAGCGATAAGAAGCCCAACACCTGGCAGGGGGCTGGCGCTGCCGAGTTTGACCTCAGAAGTATGCTTCAATCAGCAATTGGAGGGCTAATGTATACTAACCTACCCCAGGTGATACAATGACGAAGCCTACCGCATCCATGCTTGAAGCCATCTGCCAAACGACTCTCCTCGACGATGTCTTCAACGAAGACACAGTCACCAATGATTTGCAAAGCTACGTCGCCCAGATAACGGGGCATGAGTCGAGTTTGTTGGTTCTTTCGGGGACAATGGGAAACCAGGTGGCCATTCGCTCTCATCTCGCGCAACCTCCTCATTCGGTGTTGTGTGATCATCGATCTCACATCATTTGTTATGAAGCTGGTGGTGTAAGCGCATGGACGGGTGCTACAATGCAAACGGTTGTACCCAAGAATGGGGTTCATTTGACCTTGGAGGACATCCAGAAGCATGCTGTGCTCGACGATAACATCCATTATTGTCCTACCAAACTGATAAGCTTGGAGAACACACTTGACGGAATGATTATGCCCTTGAGCGAGGCGCGCCGCATCGTGGAGTGGGCCCATGCTAATGACATCAAGGTTCATCTGGATGGTGCTCGGTTGTGGGAGGCCGTCGTGGCCGGTGCGGGTAGCCTGCCCGAATACGCCAGCCTGTTTGATAGTGTCAGTCTTTGCTTTTCAAAGGGCCTAGGTGCGCCCATTGGAAGTATCATTGTCGGTTCTCAAGACTTTATTAAGAAAGCCCGCTGGTTCCGCAAATCTATTGGTGGCGGTGCTCGTCAGACGGGTGTGATTGCAGCTGCCGCCCGAGTCGCCCTGGATGAAACATTTGGCACTGACCCTCAAGGCCGGACTGGAAAGCTTGCAGCAACCCATGCAAAGGCGAAGCAGGTAGCCGAGATGTGGACCAGTCGCGGAGGCAAGCTGGAGCACCCTTTGCACACCAATATGGTTTGGTTGGATCTCGAGGCGTCTGGGGTGGGGCCGAATGATATGGCACAGATTGGACAAAAACAAGGACTGAGATTGATGGGCGGCCGGGTGGTGGTTCATTACCGTAAGACTTCCAATTTGCTCCTGGGAACAATTAAACAAATCTGACTTGTCACAGAGATCTCCGACGAAGCGATCGCACGGCTTGAGCGAGTCTTCGACACTGCGCTCAAGGGAGATTACCAGCGAAATGAGGATACGAGCAAACCGTATGGGACCAAATAATCTGAAGACAGGCATATAGAGCGTAGACATGTAAATATTATGTTCAATTACCCTCAAATGTGCGGTGTTTTCTCATAGATCGAGTCCCGGTGGTTCCCTGGTTGACACTAACTGCCGATTGGCCAATCAGCGTCGCTGTTGCCTGATGAGTCAGCCTCAGGTACCATCTGCTGCCTGAGGTGTCTTCAAGTCACGATTGTTGCGGCTCGTTCATGTTCTTGTTTCTCGGACGACGACCTTCCAAGGAGTGCAATTTTGCTCCGTCCCTCCCCATCTTCATCTGTCCGATCGAATACCGCCACCTGTGGACAGAGTGATAGGGAGTACCTTAATCTGTGTGAGTTTGATTCTCTGCAATCGAGGCTAAACAAAGACCCAGGTAAGCTTCGAGATGAACTATACTAATCATTCGCTTCGCTTTTACAGAAATACCTCCTTGCTATTCCAAGGTCGCCGAAACGGTCTCCCTCCCCCTGCATCGATAGTTTTCAATACGGAAATACCGCTGGTCTGCGTTTGATTGATCAGTGCCTCGACTGCGCGGAACCCTCCCTCCATCTAATACTTTTGGCAAGGGCAGCGAACTTTTTGTTCTATCTGGAGCCAAGAGCTGGGTAAACTGCCTCTTGTTAATGACCCGCCCCATCAATCACCTTCATCCGCACGTGCTCTGAGATTACCTACAGAGGGACACCCCACTTGCAACATACCGTTCAGCTGGTGCCCAGACACCGACCTGGCCCGCTTGTATTCGCAGACCAGCCTGTTTCTGCCCACTTGCCTGCCACAGTGTGGTACATACCCTGGCAAATCTGGGAGCGATCGGCGGGGATACAGGTGAGCTAGGCTTTGCCCGGGTGCTTGGCCCTTTGGTCTCATTGTCGCATTCTTCCTGAGGTATATATACCACCTCACCCCGGCCTTACCCTCGGCTTTTCGACTCATACCTTGTCTCTAGTCCATGATATTAATGACCCTGTTATGCAAATTGCTTTCGCTGTCCTCACACCAGCACATATACCCTGCATCCTTGGATCTTTATCAGTAGCTGTTTCCTGTTCTCTTTCGTTTTCTTAGCAACTGCATTTGGTCCTAGGCTCGACTGCATCATAATGGCGGCCACACAAGAATCCACGCAACCAGTCGCCGATCCTCGTCGGATGGGAATGAATAACTCTGGCATTGAAGACCAAGATCTGTCCGACATCATATGTATCCTTCATCCCAATTCTCATGTTGCCCATGATGCCGTCGCTGCCACAGGGAAACTCGGTCCTCAACATATCCTTCAAAGAGATGCGTTGGACTATGAGTCTGAGACGGCAACAATGGATCTTGCCTTGAGGCTGTCATCCAATGTACAAAACCTGGGAATGGGTTTCTGCTTTGGTCGAAATCGAGCACGCTGTGATGTTCTCTTGACAGTCAACGATGCAGCGAAGCGAGTATCGAATGCTCACTTTCGCATATATCTGACAGGAGACGGAATCCTCATGCTTCAGGATACCTCCACAAACGGCACCGTCGTGGACAATTGTCGCCTACGGAAAAACCAAAAGGAAAACAGCAGAATGCTTCTCAATGGGTCCATCATCCAGGTTGTCATCGGCGACCACGCCTCCGACGAGGTGCGTTTTGTGGTTCGTATTCCGTCACGAGAGGGATTCGCTGTCCAATACGAGAGGAACTTGCTCTGTTACTTTGAACGAGTTCTGGCAGCAATCCCTGCGCACAAAGATCGGACAGGCCCACAACCTTCTGTTTTGACATGGTCATCCTCAAAACCATACGGCATGCATTGGACAGGTGGTTCAGTATACAACGTGACCGGGCAAATCGGCAAAGGTGCATTCGCTACCGTCTACAAGATTGCGACCAAGCAACATGGCGCCATATTTGCTGCAAAGGAGCTTGACAAGCGCCGCTTCATGAAAAATGGCATTCTGGACCAAAAGGTTGATAACGAGATGAAGATTATGAAGGACCTCACACATGTAAGTGTCAATTTTCATCGTGTCTCTCGGGTTAAACTCACTAACCTAATTTAGCCCAACATCGTTCAGTACGTGGACTATCATGAGCATGACCGGTGGATTTACATCATCATGGAATACGTCCCAGGAGGCGAGTTGTCCACTTACCTTCAGACGCAAGGCAGAATCGCCGAGGAGATGGTAAGGACTATCGCGCGGCAAGTGCTACGAGCCCTCCATTATTTGCATAAACGGAAAATCACCCATCGCGATATCAAGCCAGATAATATCTTGATCTCTTCCTTGGATCCACTCAAAATCAAGCTATCAGACTTTGGTTTATCCAAGGTGGTTGAGCAGGAAACCTTCCTGAAAACGTTCTGCGGCACCCTCTTGTACTGTGCGCCAGAGGTGTATCCAGATTATGAACAATATCGACGCGGCGAGTTCCGAAAGAGACGTCGTGTTGGAGACCCGTAAGTAAATATATTCCGCGGTTTGATGGACTTTTGCTGATCTTTAGACCCCCCAAAACGTCCCCATACAACCAGTCTGTCGATATGTGGTCTCTTGGTGCGGTCCTTTTCCACATTCTATCTGGTGTTCCGCCATATTCAGGCCGAGCAGAAGACAGAGGCGTCCAAATGCTCCGCACCATCATGACGAGTGATGCCGATTTTGATGTTCTGCGTCAGGCAGGTATCTCCGAAGATGGCATCGACTTTGTCGCTCAACTTCTCAACAGGGATCCAGTTGGTCGTCCAACTGAAAAAGAATGCTTCCAGCATCCTTGGATTGCGACCGTCCCTGATGTGGATGACTATGAGGATGATGACGATCTGCTCTCTGACCGTAACGATGGGCTTTCGATCATTGGTGAAGATGCTGAGGACGAGCTAGACGCTTCGCAGTTGTCTATCGCCGATGGTCCAGGTTACGCCCATGAAGCCGCCGACGAAGATCACAACAGCAGTGAAGCTCTTGCCAAAAGGCCTCGCATTGAATACATCCCGACGGATGTGCACTATCCAAGTCTCCCAAAAATTGAGAGTTTCCAGGATGGGCAGGCCATTGTGGACAAACAAGCCAAACGCCTGTTTGGCGAAGTCTCCTCTTCAGCATTGCAAAGCTCTCACGCATTGGGAAATTTTGGCGCATACGATTTCGACCACATCCAAATCGAAGAATATGTCTCTTCTGGTGAGTCGATGACGAGTGATACCCCCAGCGACTCGATCATCTCCCTCCCGGAAAACCCCTTCGGCGGCACCGCCCCCAGCCTGATGGGCGCGGAGAAGCTCGTTGGACAACTGAACATGAATTCCTTGCATTCCATCATGCATTTCAAGGCCGGCGCCGTTAACGAGTCATCAACGCGGCAGACCACTCCTGGAGACGCCAGGGAGCCCATAAGCGCTCGTAGTCCCAGTACCCGAAACCAGGATTCAGTTCCCCCGACTTCTAGCCCCCAGGAAACACCGAAAGCCAAATTCACTCGTCGAATTGATCTTGCGGTTCCCGACACAGCCAGCGAGGCTTCCAGCGATAGTAGTCCGCAGAACAGCCAGGAGGCTTCCGCCCCTGAGACTTCAGTCAAGCTTCGCGAATCAGTATATGATCCTGAGCTCGCCACAACTCTTGATGCTCAGACCGGCGAGGCCGTCTTGGAACAGTTTCGTGAAGAATCAGACCCATCTGAGCCAATTGTTCATCAGCCCTCGATAAATCCAGACTGCTTCACCAAACCGCCAAAGCGATTCGGCAAATTGAGAAGTCTTCCTGGTTCGATATTCGACCTGACAGTATACCTGGAAAACCGACTCACTTCATGGGGTCGTGGCCCATTGGCGAGCGTCCAGCATACAGACATCACGGACACAAGGATCCCCGCCTACGCCTTGGAGCTTACATTCTGGGCACCGGGCATCGAGCCGAGGATTGCAACTGGTGAAAATTGGGAAAATATCCCTGGGGTCATGGCCATAATCTCCACGAAAGCCCGCATGGGCATATATGTCAACGACACTCTACTTCATCGGGGCCCACCAGGCGAAGGCGGACCGAACCAGTATCCATTTGGGAAACTCTACAATGGTGACATAATCACCGTGTACCAACACAAAAGGAAATTCCTCAAGCTTCAGTGCGAATTCTCCTTCGGCGATAGTGCCCGGCCCCGGCCCGCACACGAACCCTTTACGGTGCGGCAGGTCTTGATGACCAAGGCCGGAGCCACGAACCGGATGCCGACTCGGCCGGCACCGAAAGATCTGGATCGGGATTGATTGCGAGAATTGGGAGGATAACATCTTCGGCGTTACTTATCTCTCTGCTTTGGACATAGATTGATAGCAATTGCATCGTTGCGTGGTAGTGTACCTCTTCTGCTCTATGGCTATTGTTCCGCATGCGGCTTTGTAGGGTCGATCTCCCGATATCTTGCATAAATCCTCGATGTATGTTCATGATGCCTGTCATTATGACAGAGGTACTAACCATGGATGAGAACAGAGCCTCGATACAAGGTTTGGGGCTATTCTATGCGATATATCCCAGCCAATCGAACTATCAGTTGTGCTTTGCAATTGATCAAGTACCTGAGTATTATACAGTTGTAGGAACATATGACGATGGTAGTATCACATCCTGGCCGCATCCGTCAAGCTCGGCCAGATCTACTTGCCAGGCAGATAACCAACTGTCGACTAGCAGTGTAAAACTCGAGTAAATCCAACCCATCCTAATTGTTCATTGTACCTTTCTCCCTTCCTCTCTACCTCCTTGCATACGTCTGTGGTCACACTGACCTCACTCACCACGAGTCCCCATTCCAACCCCTTCCTTCCAAGCCTCCCTCCACTAAATATCACGAAAAGCTCACACCATCCAACAATTCTTGCCGTCACGCGCATATCATCTCCATGTCCCTGTCGCGATCACCCTCTCCCCACGCGGGCGGAGGGTGGTCCAGCCCGGGCCTCGTTCCGAGTAGCGGCACTTCTCCGCCTCGACCAGGCACATTGTCACCCGGCAGTGGCATCTCATGGGCAGCGGCCAGGGCCAAGAGCGACGAGGTGCGCGGGTACCCTTCTTTCTCGACGCGAAATAGTGGCTTCTTCTCTCGTCAGAAGCATAAGCTCACTACTCGCTTGCCCATTCTCAGGCGACTTTCTTCCCGCGAATATGTCGATAAGGATTCATATGGGAAAGAGTGGAAGCCTAGAAATGGAGGTGAGCGATCATTCGGGATATCAATGCGAAGAGGCCGGTTCAGGGTGCTGCTTGCCTTGCTGTTGGTTTGGATCGGATATCTACTTTGTTGGCCGAGTAAGTACTCAAATTTCTGTCTCGGTTCTTTTACTAGTTGCTGACACAAACCAAAGCAATCGTCCAAACATACCGTCGATCGCCGATGGGCGGTGGCAAGAAGTTCGTCTTGATCCTAGGATCCAACGTCGAAGGAGGCGTTATGGAGTTGAAAGGCGCACGCGAATGGGCAATCGAGCGCAACAGCATATGGAACAAGCAGAAGTACGCAAAGAAGTGGGGCTACGAACTGGAGCTAGCCAACCTGCTAGCCAAGAAACGTTATTCGCATGAATGGCGCGAAAGCTGGGAGAAAGGCGATGTGATCCGCGAAGCGATGCGCAAGTATCCCGACGCAGAATGGTTCTGGTGGCTTGACCTGAACACCTGGATCATGGAATATGAAACATCACTACAGAGTCATATCTTCAATCACCTTGACACCAGTGTCTACCGCGACATCAGCGCTTACAATCCTCTCAACATTACACACCCACTCCCGGAGTTCTGGCTCGACGAGCTCAGTCGATCCCCCGAAGGCGACGAGAATCCCAATTCACTGCAAATGCTCCTCTCGCAAGATTGCGCTGGTTTCAATCTGGGATCTTTCTTTGTGCGTCGTTCTGTCTGGACCGATCGCCTTCTCGATGCCTGGTGGGATCCAGTCATGTATGAGCAGATGCATATGGACTGGGAACACAAGGAACAGGATGCCCTTGAATACATCTACCAGAGTCAACCATGGGTCCGCAGTAGCGTGGGCTTCTTACCCCAACGCAGTATCAACGCCTTCCCTCCTGGTGCTTGCGGCAATACAGAGAATCCAGCTGTGCATTATCAGCAGAATGCTCGTGATTTCGTTGTTAACATGGCCGGTTGTATGTTCGGTCGTGACTGCTGGGGTGAAGTTTACTATTACCGTGAGCTCAGCAAATGGCTGAACCGAACATCTTGGATGCGTTTCAAGGATAGTCTCGGTGATGCGTATGCCAGATTCTGGGGAAAGAAAAAGAAAGATTGAAGGCGGCAGAGGTCTTAATCTTGTTTTACGATTTTCTTCTTTTTCTCCTTATTTTTCTCCCTCTGTCTTTCCTGTTCACATTAGTGATTTCTGTGACAATGGCTCGAAGTATCGGATCTGAGAAATTGTGTAACATTATTTGATATTGTACATTTCTTCGGTGGTTTGTGATTTGTATAATCCGGATCAGGCGTCATGTGGATGGCGGAGTTGAACATGGTACCAGAAAATATCATTTCCTGACCAGTAAAGACTGGAACACTTCATTCACACCCTTATCTCTATAGAACAAATATAAGATTCAACTCAAAAGGGAGCCCGTTCTCGGATTTTATAGATCTCACGTGGAATCACGTGATTTAAGAATCCGCGCACATGATTTCCTCCCAAGCCCACTGACCGCCCTACTCTCACCCAATCACAGCACAGGTAATCCAACCTTCAAGATCAACGGCAAACACCGCAAGCACCGACCTCAAGCCTCCATCCACCCTTGCTGCCATTGCCCACCGCGCCAGCAAGTAAGCGACACCTCTCCATCACACCCAACCACGAAACCACCTCTCGAACCATCCACAATGCCCACCGCCGAGTCCGCCGCCTTCCTCGCCAAGAAGCCCACCGTCCCCCCAACCTACGAGGGCGTCGACTTCGAGGACAACGTCGCCGTCCACAACGCCCGTGATGCTATCATCCGCGAGCAATGGGTACGCAGCATGATGGCCCGTCTTGTCGGCGAGGAATTGGGCAAGTGCTATGCGCGCGAGGGCGTGAACCACCTCGAGAAGTGTGGTGTATTCAGAGGTTAGTTTCGTTCGTTCCTTTCTTGCTGGGAGTTTCTCTCTCGGAACATATGGATAAATTGAAAATTCTGGCTCGTTTGGATTGGATTCGGCTTCATTTCAGACTTATTTGGACTTCGTATACTAATCTTCTTTCCTCTGCAGAGAAGTACTTCGAGCTCCTCAAGGAGCGCAAGGTTAAGGGTTACCTCGGCCAGGAGAAGAACCGTTTTGGTGGCGAGTCGGCATAAGCGTTTCTTCTTTTCTTGCTTGTTACGCTGCGCGATTATGGTTCGGGATCCGCGGGTTGATTGTCGATATCGACATATTCGGGCCTGGAAAATGGACTAGGTGGAATGGGGATAACACTACGATGATTATCTGTGAACTTGGCTCATTGCCTGGTTTCAGTCATTCCCACATTGGGTCCCGGATTGTGGAGGGATACGAAGAAATGGAGGGAGAGAGTTTGGAGACGGCTCTCTTTATTCTCTTGCCTGTTTGTACTGTACATATAGATATCAGTTTGTTTGGTCAATCTTCCTTTTTGTCTCCATCATTTGAGCTTTTGAGGGTTTCGTAATCAATCTACGTACGAGGTGTCTAGACTCGATCTGCTACCTCATACTACGAGTGTATCATTATGCACCAATGGTTCTCCAAAAGTATAATTCAGTTATATAACTACAACATATCCTCTACAGCTATATTTGGTATCAATCAATAGTAAATGCTAGAGGCAGTGGCACTGCGGTCTGGGAATCCTCCCGGAGGACCTCGGCCATCGGACGGCTGGGCTGCATCTTCGTCACTGTCCTCATCGCTTCCAAATTGCAGGTCGTCTCTCTCCTCTGGCGGAGCACGCATACGAATCAACTGGTCCTCCTCTAAGGAAGAAGGTTGGTATGGTGCCGGGGGAGAGTGAATGTCTCGACCTGATGGCAGGTTAGAGAGCAATGGAGTAGATGATGGAACGATTTGTGTGTTCATCTAATACTTGTTAGTATGGCAACAATTATTGGAAAATATCCCACTCACTGTGTCGTTCATTTTCACCCATTTTGTTTCTAGCATCGCAATCACTCGTCCCTCCTCGTCCCGACCCGCATCATCACCCGACTCCAAAGCGCCCTTCTCGTTCCGACTACCACCGGCATCTTTGGCTACTCGGCGCTCTTCACGCCTCTCCGTCCATTCGCGCTTTAAGCGGGATAGCCCACCCTTCGAGGCCCCAGAGGAAGAGGCTTCCTCTTGCGAAGACGCAGCACCTCGAATTCCAAGCGACGTCCGCGCAGCTCTCAGCCAGGCAATACCCTCGCCGACCTTGCCTGTCAGTTCAGCTTCTACGCCAAAGAACCGACAGGCACGAGCACGAGCAACACGACCTAAGACTGAAGTGTAGCGAACGACATCCTCATCAACACGCCCTGTGCGCCCTGATGCAGACCCAACAGCCCCAAGTCCAGCAGCAGCCTGGTCAGAATACTCGGCGGCACGAACGCAAAGCCGAGCAAAAAGCAAAGCGCGCACCTTTGGAATCTCAGGCGCGTGAACCATCCACTCTTTATCATTCGGATTGCGCGACTGGATACACGCAGCGATATAAGCATCATCCTTAAGAACCGCTAGCAGAGTAGCCTCAGCGAGCGCAAGCGACGAGAGCGCCGCCTGTGTTCCGGCATCCACATCTGGCACCGCCGTAGCGGAGGCCGGGGATGACGCGAGGAAGTTATGTACCGCGCTAGCCTGCAGTAGATAACGCGTCGCTGTTTGTACGGCAGCGGTGCGACCTTCCGCCGTCGGAGTCGAAGACGCATACAATGCGGCCACAACTCCTGCCCGCGCCATCCTGCTCAACACGTATCCCAGTGTTGTGAGCGTAAATGCTATTTCGAACTGGATGCCTCGGCCAGCGACCCTGCCATTACGCATGCGCAGTCCTTTCCCATTTGTATTATTGCTACCTGCTCCGATATTCAGGGCACTCGAAGATGATAATGTAGGTCTCCATGCGGACTCGATCTCGGCGTGGGGTGTAATGTCGATCTCTTCCCCCGTGCCAGGCGCGTAGGTCCTATCTTGGGCAATAAATGGTTGTGTATCTGGGTGAACTATTCTCCCGTTTAATCCGTTGGAAATGGCAAATAGGTATGGGAGGTAATCGTTCAGTGCGGATAGGACTGTTGGGAGATGGGCATCCTGACGCGGGCCGCGGGGTAGGCGCTTATGGGCTTTCAGCGCAAGGCGAAGGGCATGGCGGGATGTTGACGCCGACTGGGGGAGAGAGGGGTGAGTTAGGGAAGAGATGAAAGATTGAAATGAGAGAGGCGAGGTTGTTGGGAGGGTGAATGCAAAGACCATCGTGGGAGTTGGGGAGGTGAGACTCGGGAAGGGCTGATGTCAGATCACCTGGGCACTACTTAGGGCTTCACACTTCCAATCAAGTTTATGTCTCTTTGGAATTCGCTTTGATCGGAAACTGCATAACGCTCGAGAACTTGAAAATATATCTGAGACGAGTATATAAAAGACTAAGAACAAATTCCCCTAAGGTGTTGGACCTGCTGATAGCTCTGGCGGGATACCATCTGGGTAAATGTCATTCAGATGAGGATAGTCAGCCAGAGGTGCGTAACTTGCTGGGTTGATAGGCATAGGCATCATTCTCTGGGCAACCGTTGCCCTAGGCATATCACGAACCAAGGGGCGACCTTGGTGTACCCATAGACGGTGAGAATTATCAGGGGCCGTGTAGGTATACAACCTCCGTCGCATCCACGGGCCACTCAGTCTCGCAGAGTAGGGTCCCAATCCGCCGCGTACTACGCACGGCACAGCCGTCCAATGATCCAATAGCATGCTATTCGTATTTGAATCCCGTATATTGACCTCGAGCATCCTTGAGATGGCGAAGGACTGAGTGCCGTCGGCCATAACGCTAGCAACCACACCAAGGACCGGTGGCAATGAAACGGGTATGACGCTATTAGCATGCATGCCTTGGAGAAGTCTCACATCGGCACCGTATACTGTCATTGTGCCGGCTCCGGTATCATCTACAAAGTCCAGCTCGAGCTCCTGTTGATTCATCCAGGCACCTTCCGAAGGAAATCGAATGGTAAAATCAATCTGCACAAAACATGTTAGCTTTCTATCACCTCGAGAGAGGAGTTTGGTCTCACATCAATCAGCTTGCCGAGCCTACCAGGCGTGGCGGACACATGGAGCATCTCAGGTTCTGGTACATGATTAAACTGGAAAATATTCCTTGTTAGCATGTTCCTGGTAAGCGGAACAAGAGTATACATACTCCTTCCACCCAAAATCCAGTATGGCCCTCGTATTTGACGTTGATGTGCATGAATTCATCCATTTTGAACGGCCTCGGTTGGCAAAGCTGTGCGCCCTTGGACCAGTATGTAACAAGTTCTGGATTCCAATCAAGGGTTTTGTCTTTGTATGCCTTTATAATGGCTTTCACATTGTCCACCTGCTGATATTCATCCTCCTCATCTTCTTTGACAAGCCATTCTAGGGTTTTAGCTAGGACTTCCAAGCGCTGTACGACGGGCCAGCTAAGCTTTGGGTACACGTCCATTCTTGCACTTGAGGTTACTGAATCAGTGACTGCCAGGCCAAAAACATAACCAGGAAGATGATGTCTTACTCGCGATCTTTCCACTTCTCTTTGAGCTCCTTCAGCCTGGTTTCAAAATAGATCGGCATGATGTTTTCTTCCAGTCGCTCCAGGCACCGTTCAACTTGGGCTTCATAATCACTATGTAGTTCATGTTAGTATATTTAAGATATAGCAGGCACTGCTCAACAGCCAAAACTTACTCAGGATGAAGGTCATGCTCATGACGAGTCCAGCCCGCGGGTACCTTGCTCAACTCTGTAATGGCAGGATCTTGGTGCATATATTGCGTCCGTTGTGGAGTTGGCTCTGCCTTTGCAGGACCTGTAACTCGACCAACGTAAGAGATTTTCAGATCCGGTTCAAGCCAGTTGGTATCCAAAGGCTTTGATTCCTCCTTGAGTGTCTTGGTGTTCTTAGGGGCCATCCCACCCTTGGCTTGCTTCCGTTTTCGACTACTAGGCTCATCGACAGGGTCTGCGTAAAATGACTCCTGTTTTCGCGCGCTTTCGCGAAGACCAGCGGCCCTACTAGATTCCGGACGGGATGCCATTGCGCACGATAGAAATTATCGGAACCAGAAAAAGTGATAGGGAAGATCAATTGCAATCAGTTTGAAAGTCAATGTGCATACGCAGAGAGGTCCAAGGTCGAGTAAATATATCAGAATGCAACTTTCTCCCCTAGTCTATTTTTATCTTACACCGCGTGTCAAAGAATATACCAAGACAAAGAAACATCTTCGAGATTTGGGACGCAAAGCTTTAGCAGATTTTCAAAGAATGATGATCTGGAAACTACAGGTAAACAAAGGATAGACCCAGAAGTTGAAAACGTGAAAGAGAAGCAGAACTCCAGTGAGGGGCAATACTGATTTTGTCGATTTCTCTTTCAAGCCACATGAAGTACTTGCTTTCATTTTCGGTAAACCCACGTTTCATTTCCAAGTCTATGTTGCAAGATGAAGACCTAGCCTGGTGCTAATTCTATAGCTCCAACATCTCTCACGTTTTCTTCGAACTTCTTGAGATCCTGGCGCGTTTTCAGCCCTCAAGGCGTGTTTATTTTTCAAGAGCTTTCATGGCAATGATGTTCTTCGTTTTCTCTGTTTACTTGCTTTTTCCCTAGTAATTTGCTTTTTTGCTGAGTTTGCCAACAAGTATTCAAAGGCAGACTTGGGTGGACTTTGGGGATATTAGGGAAATGACCAAAACTCACTTCCCACAGATCAATGAGATTAGAGAGTAACTTACCTGACCAAAGGGACTCGTCGAATGGAGATGAGAAATTATTCCGAAAGCTCGGAACTCGGCAATGTACTCAGAAAGACAAAGGTTGATTATGATATCGCATATATCACGCTCATAGTGTCTTTCGAGTTTCATTATCTGGCACCATTCCATTTGCCCAATCCCACATTGAGGCGCCCTAGGAATCGACCCCTGTTATTGACGTGACTTGTAGTTTTATAATTCGAATGAGAGAATGAGGCAGGATCAAAGAAGAAAAGCTAATTGATAAACGACGAGATACTAGTCTAATGTATGGACACAATCATGAAACACGATACAAGAAACCCATCCTCCAGACCCTCTCAATTTCTTTTTCCATTTTCTCGTCTCCTTTCCGCCTACCTTCTTTCTCTCCCGGTGGCTACCTGTAGGGTGGTGGTGGAATAAAAGGATCAGGCACCTGGTTCATATTCACTATAAGCCCTTGTTGAATGGCGAGTGAGGTGTCGACATTTGGAACATGGTTGCCAAACCCAGAATAGTTATCCATAACATGCATAAGGTTTTGACCATCCGGTGCTGAAGCGGTGTATAGCTTGTGTCTCAACCAGGGTCCTAACAGCCTGGGAACGTCATCCACACCCGCACCGCCAGGTCTCACAGAACATTGAATAGTGTCCCAGCTGGTCATTCGTTCCGTTACGTATTGGTAGCCCCCGTTCGGGTCACGGATGAGGTGACCTTGGTTATTCCTGGCCGGGCTTTTACAGTAGATGGTAACCTCGACTGAGACCACCAGAAAATCAGCCCAATGACCATCAGCCTGTGCAGCTTGTGCCATTCCCAGGCATAGTAATCGCCTCCCTCCTAAACGTTCAAGTAAACGCTTGTCTGCGTCGTAGATGACCATCATGTCCGATCCAGTATCGTCAATGAAAGTGATGGGATGACCAGCAATTTGTACATTCGGCACTCGAAGATGAAGGTCCATCTAAGAAGTAAAAGAGTGAGTCAAGAATGCTACTGGAATATTTCGAGAACTTACATAGTGACAGAATGAATTGCGGTTGGAACTCTGCTGTGTCTCGAAATGATTGCAAAATAGAGTATTTGTAGGCCCATGGCCGAACACCTAGAGTACACATGTTAGATTTGCCGGTGCGCAACTAGACATTTGACCAAACTGACCCCCTCTACCCAAAACCCCTCATATCCTTTGTAATGATTCCCAATCTCTTGATGTTCTTCTGCAATGAAGGTCCGCGGTTGTGAAAGCTGGGTTCCATGAGACCAGTAAGTCACAAGACCATCATACCAGTCCAATGTTTTGTTCTCGTAGGCGGTAATAATTGCCTTCACTGTGCTAATGAGCTTATACTCGTCTTTGTCGCCTTGCAGGTTTTTCAGAGTTCTTTTAAGGGTACACAGGCGTTTCAAAACGTTGATGTCAGTTATTCCTTGGGCGCCGGCTTCTTTTACCATCTCTCTAGATTCTCATTAGAAAAGTAGCCTAAAGTTTCCTCTGGGGCTCTTACTTTCTCGACTCTTGACTCCGAGTGAGTTCTTTCAGCTTCCACCTGAATATATCAGGCATGATAGCCTCAACAATCCGCTCGTTGCATCTTGTAATTTGAGCAGCCCAATCTCTGCGACACGCGGTTCAGCATTAATCCAGCGACCCATATGGAAAATAGAAGTATATTGTTTAACTGGTAGCTCATAGAGAAAAGACTCACTCGGGGTCCAGATCAGGTTCGTCGTAGTTCCAACCAGGAGGTACTTTGGCGATATCTGTTATAGGTCTTGCCCCCGCAGGCCACGCTTGCTTCGCAGGCCGGGCTGGTGGGTTAGGGGCCGTGGTGGCCGTGGCAGCCGGAACATAACTGGTGTTCAAATCAGCAAACAGTTGGGGTCCTGAAAACGGCGCCCGTTTTTGGATTCGAGACTTCGGGACCTCGCGCCCTTTGTGTTTGTACTGCGTATGCGTCTCTTCGTCCTTGGGCTTCAACTTTCCGTCCTTAAAGTCTGCTCCATTCCACTCATAAAGCCGGGGCTGGGGGCCTGAGTATGTTGGGTTTGGGTTTGGCTTTGGGGTAATTTTGATTTTCTTTCGTGGTGGCATAGTTCCAACTGTGTTTCTTTCTCTATAGAAGGGAGGGGGGAGTAGGACTTAACACGTAAGCTTGATCGTAAGGGGAACGATCTACCAGTATAAATATATATACCTCATCGTGTCTATGCCCTCAATCGCCTCTCAAAGGAGCAATATCCGAACAAAGAGACTGGAGCCATTCCGCTAAGCTAGCCCTCAGCCCGAGGAAACGAGTATGCGAGGACAAAGAAGCCTACCATATTGATGGAGCAGCCGTATTCCACCTTTTAGACTTGCTTTCAGATGCACGGTCAAAGGAGATAATTAGCGCGAAGGATTCGGTCCATTCAGTACGTACCGATGATTAGTGATTGGATTTTCGGAATACCACCTAATAATTATTCCTCTATCCAAAAGCGATGAGAAAGGATTTTATAGACCCTGAAGACCACCATAATTCCTAGCTACTGACCAAGTACTATGTCACAGAAAGAGGTCCTCAGGTTGGTGTATTGCTATATAGAGGTATACGTGCGTGTGTTTATATACATTTATTTTTCTAAATTTTTAGCCACTGTATGATGATAGTGGAATGAGAGTCAATATCCTAACACGGGCCGTAGTCAATATAAGAGCAACCAGTGTCAAATGAATGGGAATCCATCTTTTTCTGTTCAGCAAAACGGGACTGATGGCTAGTGGGACTCATTCAGAGCTTGGCCGTTTTGACTTGTGACTACGAAGCAGGGTTCAGTATTCTGGCTTTCAAGTCCAAACAGCTTTCATGATTCAATTCTGTAATCACCTCTCATTGGATATGCGAGACATCATGGAGAATCTTCAAGGACCGACGGATGCCTAACAGCCGTGTCATTTGGACGCGTGATATACTATTCCAGTGAATTGAGTTAGCGTAGATGTCAATCTGTCAAATCACCCACTGCGAAGAATCATACTTGCTGATATGTTCTAGGAGCTACAACTACTTATGAAATCATTAGAGACAGAAAACATATGTTGAAATTATAGTTATCGGACAGTCTTAAATAGAAAAAGGCAGTCTGTGTGCAAAATCTAGCAACCTAATGGAGTGATCTAAAGGCTAGTTCCACAGATCTATTTCATCAATATATTGCAGGATGTTCAATCCACGCGTTTGGTGTACCAGTTCTTGCCCTGCCAGTGCATCAGCACCATTGGAATGAAGCTAGCACCCATGATCAAAGCGGTAACAACACCAGAGCTATTAGCAATGCCAACGCTCTCAAACATAGATGTAAACCTAAAGAGACGATTAGCATTTAGTCTATGAGCTCAAACACAACAACATACCAGAAAGGCCCAATGAATCCCCAGGTCGAGCGAACGAAGTTGATAAAGACACCAACACTCCCTGCATCCTGGGGATAAGTGTCGACCGCATATGTAGTAAGAACAGTAGTAACGACCTGGTTACCAAAGGCAGCAACACCAGTTCCAATGACCGGCCTAACATCCCATTTGCCAGTCGTCGCTTGCTCAGTGCAAACCAAGAACACAACCATACCGGCAATGCTCAGCAAGAAGCCAATGTAGCTAAGCCATAATCTGAATTCAGGTGTAGGCTTGTGGCCGATCTTTCGGGCACGGGTATTCATCCACATATCAGACATGAATCCACCTAGCTGTTCACCGAGCAGAGAACCGATGATCAAACCGAGGAATTGTAAGCCGAGTTGCTGGGCATTGAGTTCGAACTTGCTTTGAAGGAGCTGGGGGACCTCTACTGAGTTAAGAACTGAGGCGAAGAGGAAGACCATGGAGTAGGCAATTGCTGCTAGGAGGACGGGGATGTTGGTGAATAATGTGAGCGGGTGCCAGAACTCTCTCATCTTCATTGGAGTCGGGTCAATTCGACGGAGGGACATGTATTCTGTCTTGAATGCGGAGGATTTCGAGTGGATGTCGGTTCCGATGTAGCGGGTTTCGGGTCCGAAAAAGATGTACAGAATTAACTCGACTGCGTTGGTCTGTATAAGGTCAGCAATGAAGACAAATCATAAGCTTGGAGAAACTTACGATTGCCAGGATCCAGTAGATCCAGCGGTATCCAACACGCTGAACAACGAATCCGAAGATGAAAGGACCGACTGGGACACCCAAGGTGACCATCAGAGTCCACACACCCATATACCGTGCTCTCTCGTGTTTGAAGAAAGTCTCGGTGACAACACCGCTACCGATTGCCATAGCAGGTGAAATGAAGAATGAAACGAGAGCTCTGCATGCCGCCATGGAAGCGTAATCCGTACTCTTCGCACAGCCGATATTACAAACGCAGCTTAGGATCAACGACAACAGGAAGACAGGGCGTCGTCCAAATCGATGGGAGAGAGGCTTCCAAAACAACGGAGCGCCTCCCAGGATTGCAATTTGCAAGGATGTCAGATAACTGACTCGCTGGATTGAGACACCCAGATCTACCGCAATGTCCTCATAAGCACAGATAATTGCAGCAGCAGTAAATGTACCCATGCAAGCGTGGAACGCAACTAGACTCAGGTTGGCAGTTTTCTGTCATATTGTCAGCGTGAGCACTCAGCAACGCCTTTGTCTCTGCTCACCTTCCACGATGGCCAGTTGTATGGATCTGCCGGATCCATACTAGGGATCGGATCGAGGTCCAACGTGCCATGTCGCTCAATCAGGTATGATTTATGCGTCTCAGACAATAGTGCAGTAGGATCGGCGAGGTTCCCACCAATATCTTTCTCCTCGATATAATCAGAGTCGTATTTTGGCTGCTCAGCACCAGTGGCATGATCGAGTGAAGCCATAGTGGAAGATATCATGCGAGAATATGACCACGTTAAAACTCCAGATCAGTGGAAAAAGTCAGATAAAAGGGGGCCAGTCGACCCCGCGTGGTCTGGGGATCCGTAATCGGCATTTCCGGGGTATGGGGCAGTTGTTGAGTCAACGGGTGGGACGGACTGGGGTCAGAATGGCCAGAGTAGAGTGCAAAATTGGCGATAGGAGACAGCAGTGGAGCTCCATTGTCCATTCGCCGTGTCTGGAATTAGGGTGGAGGCGTTCCTGGGAGTTATACCCTGAGTGATTTGCCGGAAAATACAGGAATCGGTGGTATTCAGGGCCCTCCGTGTGACGGAGGTCGAAGCCCTACTATAGCGTGTCGGCTAGTCTGATACCAGGGCTGACCCGAAAAAAACAGTCTGGCCGAGGCTTCTTCGGAATGCTGCGGCCAACTACCGATGCCATGTTCCGATCGTCGTTTTGGCGTTTCTCGGAAAGCGTTTGGACATACTTTCCAGGCCAAGTCGGCCAAGTCGGGTGGCGTTGTGAGGCGGTAGCTTAATTGATGTCGCAGATAGCAAAAGTAACTATTCAATGGAAGAGGGGGCCTGAAGTCGAATAAATCAAACGGGCAAACCCCGGAGTGTCAAATGGCAAATTGTGGGGGACTCTGGGGATTGTGCTTGATCCACTAGGAACCTCCACTCGGCAGTCTAACAGTGTGAAGTCTGCATTGGGTTTCCCCAGATCTAGAGTTCTAACTTTATGCATGTAATTCCTAAGCGTGAGCTGTACATATTCTAGACTGGATATGTGGAGGGAGAATGTTGCAAGTTAGGGTATCGCCAGGTCACGTAGTTGATGTATAAGCAGGAATTATCTACACAATATCAAAGACCAAGCTAGCATTGATATCTGATGTGAAACATCCAATTGCTATCACTCTGGAAGTAGATCGAAGACAGCTTGAGCTGTCACTACTCCCAAGGGTGTCATGCTCAACCCAGTATTGTCTCTCACGGGTTTGCATGCAATCCTGCCCCAATTATCCAAGTGCACGAACACAACAAGCAGCAGACGGTGATTGTTAATTGATCATGTCCATCGTGCATTAGCTACCCCGTCATATCTTGGCCATATTCATCCACCATGCCTCTGGGTTATGTCCAAGCAATGACTGACAACGTGCATTGCTCCCATGATCCTCCGAGCTGCGAGATAATGTTGCCGGTGATGCACCGAGTGAAGTCATTATGGTGACTTCTTCACGCAAAGATCGGAGTACGAGTAGGTTTCATTTCCTCGGGTGTCGGGTGGTCAAGCCTGACGAGAGCAGGAACCTTGGGGGCAAGATCAAGCGCCACTGGGTGTGAATCAAAGCTGAGAGAATAGTTGCTTCGGTAGGCAGTTGAGATGGGTTGCCATCTGGCGGGAAGAACCAAGATGTTGGCTAATCGTTCATTTGAGGGATGTGTATCCAGGTCGTGGGTTTGTACAGGAATCAAATAGGTGTTGAAACGCGATCACCTTCACGCGCCCACCCCTTCCTCGTCGGAAAGGTGACTCGGGGCACTGCTCACACCGGATGTGTCGCTATCCATGGGATCGGAGGTTCGTGCTCGGATCTGCGCGCCCCATTCTTTAATGCTGGGGACACCACCCTCGATGATGATCGGATGTTCTTCGGCACTCTTTCCCAGGACAGTTCCAGCATAGCGAGACTCTTCACCAGTCTTGCTGTGCTTCTTCTTCAAGGCTGTGAGGTAGTCCTCCTTTTCCATCGCGTCTCGATCAACCATGTCACCCTCGCTCGGGACGAAGCCCGCAACACGTCGAATTTCGCGGTGAGTTGGGCCAGTGATCCAGCCAAGGAAAGAGTCGAGGCCACGCATATCCTCCTCGCCCTGCCATTCTTCCTCCCATTCACGCAGTTGTGGTCGGATGGCACCTGCGTCTTGTAGAGCTTGGTAGATGTCTTCAAGGACGGGAACTGGATCTTGTGGGTGGGCGTTTGCCGCGTGCTCGGCAGCGGAGGAGGCGAGGATCATGATGTATCGGCCGGTCAGGTCCTGCAGAGACTCAAGAACGGACGGGCGCGTGGAATGGAAGCCTTGCGCGCGTAAGATTTGGATGATCGGAGGTCGGAGGAGAGCATTGTGAAGGTTTGGGCCCGACATTGTGGCGGACAATTAATGGACGAATGACCAAAGCGCCGATCGTATGATTACTGAAGATGCGATAAAAGCAATAGGATCTTGAGTCTATCGAGGTGAAAAGACGTAGAAGGTAAAGTGAGAGAAAAGCAATAGGAAGACGAAAAGACGGAGGTCACGGTCCAGGGCGGAGAATTCCAACTCCCGCGTCGTCTTCTTCCTCCTACACATCCCCGTACCCTCAACGTCTACTGCCTGGCAGTCTCCTTTCTGGGGAGATATTTCTCTTGCTGGCATCATGTCAGACGCTCCGCGGCCTACACTGAAGCTGAAGCTAGGGAAGAGGCCGGTCCCCCCAGCTGACGAGTCCGCACCTGCGCCAGCGCCAGCGCCAGAACCAACACCAACACCTGCAGCCTCCGAAACCCCCCAACCGCAGCGCAAGCTCACTCTGAAGATTGCACGCAAACCACAGCCCGAAGAAAGTGAGGAGAAACCGAAGAAGAAGAAATCGACGAAGAAACGACCCGCCGAAAATGTCGCCCAGCCTGAACCCGCCGCGACTGTCCAGCAGGGCCCGAAACGCCTCAAGCTGAACCCCAGCAAGAAGCCAGCTCTACAGTCCATCCGCATCAAGAATAAGGGCGTCGTTCCTAATCGACCGGTCGGTGTTGGCTACGACTCAGAGGCCTCAGATACTGAAGCGGACCCTGCGATTGAAGAACAGTTTATCTTACGAATGCAGCCAGGAGAGGACTGTGAAGCTCTGCGGCAGGCAATCAAGGACCGGAATGTTGAAGGAAATGGCTTCGGATTCAAACCTCTCAATCGTGAAGGCCGCCGCGCCATCTTCACTATCAAAGGCAGGCAATATGCCGCAGCGCTGGTGGACTTACCCTGTATCATTGAAGGCATGAAGAGTTGGGACAGACGTGGCTGGTACAAATCGGCGGATATCTGTCAGATGCTCTTGGTTTTGGGACGAGTCAGCAGTGAACAAGAAGCACTCGAATACCCACTTCCTCCGGACGTTCAACTCCCCGATGACAAAACCCTACAATACGCACACGGCCTCGCACCTCCGCTCCGTTGGGTTCGCAAGCGACGTTTCCGTGATCGCCTCAGTACCCGCACCATCGAGCAAGTCGAGAGGGCTGTGGAAGACCTGCTAGCTCAGGATGAACAATCGATCTTTCCCCCGAAGTTCGAGCTTGTGGACAGTACGTCACTCAACCGTGCCGAGGGAATGGTACAAGCCGACGACTACGAGGACGAATATGATGATGAGCAAGATGCATACGGCGAAGCGGATGAAGAAATCATGGATGACTTCGAAGACACCCTTGCAGCTGAGATGGAAGCTGCATTAGCTGGTGACGACGATGCAGCCGGGGAACAGGAGGAGGCACCCACTCCATCCGTGCCACAGTATCCATCCGCTGGAGGCCGGACAGACCGCGGTGACTCGTCAGGCGGCGATAGCGACTCTGATGGCAATGAAGATGAACTGGATGACGACCAGCTGGAGGAGCAGCAGCAGCTCCAGCAGCAGCGCGAGGAAGTCGCTGAATTGGAGGCACTCATCCGCACTGAAACAGCACAGTGGGAGAAGGTCCAGAATCATATTCTTCGCAACAAGAAGGGCCGGCGCATTCAGGAGTTGAAGAAGGACCTTGAACTCAAGAAGGTCTCTATGGGCATCACAGATGATCACGATGACTGATTTCTGATTTCTTTCGGGATATTACCCTTTAATAGCTCACATTTTTGGCGCTTTCGGTTACTTTATCATACCCATTCCTCGAGATCAAAGTGCATACAATGCCGATCCCATGTTCATGCTAGCTGCAAATAGCTAGTTTGCAATTATTAATGAAAGTCATGTCCAAGCAAAATGGCACTGCAACACCATCGGGCTAAAATCCAACGATCTAGCGACCTACAACAGGATCACCAGTTGCCTCCTTGACAGCCCCCTCAACATCAATGCGCTCATCCCGCTCCAACTTCTGCTGTCTAGCAGCCTCCCTCTCCACAGTCTCCCCATCCGGCTCAGCAGGACTATGACCAACCCTCTCCCCCAATACCCTCTCATGTTCAAACATCTTCTGGTCCATATTCGCCATCAAATCCCCCTGTTCCCCAAATCCAGGATGGCCAGGACCCCCCGCGCTCCCAACAGGACCAGCATGCGCACCAGCTTGTGCTCGCTGAATGCCCATACCTTTCCTCTGGACCGAATCTGCAATATATCCCTCAGACGGTTGCTCCTCAACGCCGTATTCCAAATCGACGTCCGGTGCATTCCCCAATTTCTCCTGGTCTCGTCTGTGCTGATCATCGAGACGAGCTCGAGCCTCGTCGCTAGATGGGTTTGACTTTGCAGTACGGGTTATGGCTGCGATGGAATCGCCATGGTGGCGTGTTGTGTCGGCTGGTGCTCGTTGTTCCTGTGGTTTATGCGAGACTGGGTTCGAGGCTTGTTCATATGCTGCCTCTTTTGGTGGTTGGGCGGGTTGGCTGGTTTGGGTTTTGGAGCGGGTCTGCATCGTAAAATTGATGTTTATCTAGCTGGACTGTTGTAATGAAGAGTTTCTTCCACAATTGATGTGTTATGTTGGGAGTTGTCAGAAGCAGGTTAAGCTGAAGAAAGTGACAGGCAGGATATCCACTGCGTGACGTCATTGTCTACCACCGGGACTTGCGCATGTGAACCAGGGTTTGGGTGAGCTTAATGATATCTTGGGGACTATACAATTAGGTTACTCTCGGTTTCAAACTATAGGATATACTCTGTTTGCACTACATTCTACTGTCCCACATCGGCCAAAACACTCCGCGCTCTCCCTCTGACCGAGAGGTAACGCAGACCCGCCGCACAGATCGTCGGGACGTACCAAACCCCCGGAACTGCTATAGACATCCTGCATAGTGTCAACGAACACCTCCCAGAAGTGGCGCAATACTCGGTGAAAAGGCAACTAAGGAAAGCAAAGGGCAACCCGCCAAGTCCCCATCATGTCTCCCGTCTCCAATCTCCTACTGGCCAACAGGATCCAACTAATCCCTCGGGCTATCTCGCAAAATACCCGCTTAATTAGGGGAACTTTATCCGACTCCACACAGGCCGCTCCCCGCTCGGTTGCTCGTGATACTCTTCTCCTGTTTCTGGCTCACACAATAGCACAATAATCCCGGGTATTTGTGTCTGCCATGGCGAACACTCTCCATTGTCTTCCTGCAGGCTCACGCATCCTTGTTACTGGGGCCAATGGTTTTATCGGGAGTAATGTCATTCAGTGCTTGCTTGAATTAGGTTTCAGGGTGCGCGGGGCTGTCCGCTCGCCGAAACCATGGCTCGATGAAATGTTCCGGGGGAAGTTTGGGGAGGATTCGTATGAGTCGGTGGTTCTTGCTAACTTTGAGGATGTCGAATCACTCGTTGGCGTTATGGAGGGTGTTGCTGGAGTTGCTCATGTGGTATGTTGTCCTAGATGAGGTGATTCTAGGGATCAACTGTCTGACGAGCTTCTTTTGAACTTGTAGGCTTCAGATACCTCATTCGATTCGGATCCAGCAAGGGTTATACCGTCGGTGGTGAAGGCAACTCACAATGTGTTGGAAGCTGCGTCTCGCCATAGTGAGATCCAGAGAGTGGTTTTAACTTCTTCTTCGGTGGCGGTTCTATTCCCAGAGGCAGATAAAGAGGGTGTGAGTGTTGATGAGAGTGAGTTGCTGCAACAGATAAATTGAATTGAACGGAATTGGCATAGCTTATAAGATGTTTAGATACATGGAACGAAGAGGCTGTCAGGGCAGCCTGGGACCCGAACAGCTCGCCACAGCTAAAGGGCCTCTTTTGCTATGCTGCCTCCAAGACAGAAGGTGAAAAGGCAGCGTGGAAATGGATTGAGGATAACAAACCTGGGTTTGGATTTAATACCGTTCTCCCAGAGTTTACAGTACGTCCAGTGTTGACTATTTGCTAAAGCAGGATGTACTAACTGGTAATAGCTCGGAAGAGTCTTACACCCCGAGATCCATGGCTCAACAATGGGCTGGGTTCGCAGTCTTCTCAAGGGTGGCACAAGAGTGTTCCAGACCTATGTTCCACGTAAGTACAATCTGTAATGTCGGAGTTAATATTTTTGGGCGTCAAGCTAAATGATAGTTCATCAGAATACTTCGTAGATGTCGTCGACATCGCGCGTCTTCATACAGCAGCCCTTCTCGATCCAAACACAGTCTCCCAGCGGATCTTTGGATTTGCTGCGCCTCTCAATCTGAATGAGATGATTGCCATTGTTAGAAAGCTTCGGCCTGATAACACCCAAATTCCTGACCCGCCTGCTGACGGCCATGATCTAACCAATGTCATACCTGCTCGCAAAGCCGAAAAGCTGCTCCAGGATTTCTATGGGCAGCCAAGCTGGACTAATGTGGAAGACAGCATTGCCGCGGGTCTTGAGGGCTGCTAGATATGATCTGTTTTGTTTCGTGAAATTTGATCAACCATGCAAGGGTATAATGTACAGAATTTCAATATGTTCCACTCAACAGAAAGTCGCCCCTAAACCACCTGAAGCTCCTTTAAACTCATCGTCTCTTCCTCGGCCTTTTGAAGATACCCCTTCTTCAAATAATTTCCCAACAATGGGGTATAGTCAAAGATCAAATCACGAATCTTAGCAAGAGGCCAAGGCAAAGAGTGAAACATTCTTCCTAAGAAGCGAGCAAATTCCATGTTGTGGTTGACATAGTCAACGCGCTGCTTTTCGTAAAGCTCAAAGCCGGCATTAACAGCCCGCAAATCCCGCAGGTCAACACCATCCAGCGACTTGGCGAGATAGTAACCATCTTCAATGGCCATTCCCATGCCATACGCCGCATATGGTGATACCGGGTGCACAGCATCGCCGACACATGCGACCCGGCCCTTTGACCATTTCTTCATGGAATGTCTATTGTAAATCTCCCATCGATACACCTGCGTATCGAAATTGGTAGCTTCCAGGAACCGAGGCATGGGCTCTTGCCAACCTTCCAGGATATTGCCTAGATGCTCCTTTGGATCATCAGGTAGTGGCTTTCCTTCCCACGATGGCTCAACAACCCACCATTCGAACCCAGGTTTTCCATCGTGAAGCATGGGGAAGAAGCTAGCCTGGTGTTGCCAGTCGTGAGAAATAACGCCGTGCCTTTCGGGGATACCGGGGATATGATCACACCAAGCGAGCCAGAGACGAATTCCTGTATGGAAAAGGTCAGGCTCGCCAAATGCCTGTCGTGAAACTGGCGAGCGGATTCCATCTGCGCCAATGAGGATATCGGCTGTGACCTTGGCTCCATTTTTGAACTCGACCTCAACACCATCGTCAAGCTCCGTATAACCAGTCACTTCATGGTTTGCCTGGATAATACCGCCGGGCACGAGATCCAACATTTTCTTGAAGATGGATGAGCGCAGGACTCCGTAGTGCCAGCCTTTGATTCCCATACGTCGTTCAACCTCTTTGTTGAAGGGGAGCTGAACACGTTCCACTCCTGTATTGTTTTGGAAGTGTGTGACTGTGTAGGAGCCCACGTTGTCTAGACTCATCCCGTAGGATCGCAGAATCGCCAACACCGGTGTCGACAAGAGGACGGCGCCACCGATTGCCTTGCATTCGGGCTGTCGCTCGAAGATACGCACGTCATAGCCACACTTGAGGAAGGCAAGGCCTGTCGAGATAGCTCCTGGACCTCCACCAGCGATGGCTACTCGTTTGCCAGGACGCCAATTTTGTTCGGACATAGTGAGGCGTTGAAGAGATGTCGGCTGATACGAATCAAGTGTGAATGAGAACAGATAATAAAGAGATCCGAGAGGCGAATGATCGCTGACTTAAATATACTTGAGTGGAGCTATATTATGTGGACTAACCCTGAGGTCCTAAAGTATAGCCCGTGTTTGAGTTGCCGTTCAGATGGTTTGCCACAAACCTCGGAGATATACTTGCTGTGAGTAAGCGGAGTCTTCAAGTGCAGTTCTGTGGAGTCTTGGATTATCCTAGACAAATCGAATCAAGCGTGTTTAGGCGGTTTTTATTTGATTTGAGCTTTTAGACGAGCTATGCAAAGCTAGTGTCCACTTTTCCGAGAAGCTGTATATGGTAGTTTAACTGGGCCGTTGGAGGTCCACATTCCCGAGAAGCTACCCGCTCGCTGGTTTCCACGAAATACCAGCTCTTCCCCAGGTTTGTCCACGAAATTCTTATAGCCCAGTCAATTCTCAACGTGTTTATTTTCTGTTTTCTGTTTCTCCTTTTCCCCCTTCGCTCACTTCACTGTGGTAGTTTGACGACTGCTCTTCCTGTGACGCCATCCACCCTTAGCCTATCAATTAATGTCGGCACGGATGAGAAATCAAAGACTTCAATCGCCGGGCTTATGTTGCCTGCGGCTGCTTCTTTCAGTAAATCGGTCATTTGATCCTCGGTGCCCACAGAGGACCCTATGAAGGTAAGACCTGTTTTCATAAAATGTTAGTAGATGTCTTCGAAAACAGATATATTCAACCATACCTCTCGCCGTGCAAATTGTGGCCGAAAGTGGAATTTGGATATCATTCCGCGGCAAGCCAACATTCACAATAAAACCCATATTTCTCACCAGACTCGGGGCCATCTTTAATGCATCCTCTGTTCCAGGGACAACGATTGTGGCATGCGCACCCTCTCCCGTCAGCTCCTGCACCCGAGCGACGACATCATCAGTCTTGAAGTCGAAGAATACTTCCGCGCCAGACTCAAGACTCAGTTTCCTTTTATCATCACCACTATCAACAGCAATAACTCGCAACTTCTTTATCCTAGCTGCGATCTGCACGCCAATATGCCCCAAACCACCACCAGATCCGGAGATAACGACGAAGTCACCAGCCCGCAAATCATTTTCGAGTTTCGATAAAGCGCCAACCATTGTCAGCCCAGCGCATAGCAACGGTGCCGCGACTTCATCGGCCACGCCCTCCGGAATAATAGTCAGGAACCTCGCATCCGCGATGACGTACTGCTGCAGTGTTCCGGGGACATGACGGCTCGTGTTGAGCTGTTTCGCACAATTGTGCAGGAATCCGCGTTTACAAACGGAGCAGTCGTTGCATGCACTGTACAACCATTTGATTCCGACACGTTGGCCGAGCAGAGATTGCGAGGCGTCAGGTCCTGCTTTCACCACGATGCCGACTCCTTCGTGGCCAATAATGGAGTTATAGGCACCCCAGGCTTGGACAGCTCGGAGCTCTGAGCGACTTCCCATTTATTCGAGTCACTAATAGGGATCGCAGATGTATCTGAGAGTACTTACCATAGGCCGGTACATGTTAACTTGACTAGAACTTCATTCAGGCCCGGAATTGCGACTGGTAGGTCATTTCGAAGAGTGATTTGGGCTTTTTCGCCGGGATTTACCACCACTGCGGCTTGTTGTAGACTTGGGGTTTCGGTTGCCATTCTGTTCTGAGCAAGGCTAGAAACCGGTATCAGGTATTGAGTGGAAAGGAAACTGCCGCCAAAATGTCTCTAGTCGTAGATTTAGAAAAAGCCTCGCCTTAAGCGATTATAGTCAGTAAGTTTGGCTTGAGACTTCGATAAGTGGTGTTGTTCGGGTTACCGAGGTAATCGATGTGGTCGGTGTATATTTCGGCAAGTAGGTGGCGATGACGGCCGCGGGGATACCGTTCAGCCTCATTACCCCACAAATTCGTATGCAGAATATGAGTTATCTAGCCCTGGAGATATTCATTGGCGATGAGTATATACTTAGGTAAGATTTTCTGTAGATCCTGTAGGGCTAAGGACCTTGGGGTTTTCGACGAGGCTCCGTATGTCACTAACGGTATTGATTGGCAACCACTCCAAGGTACTAGTCATACAGATATAGATTGGATGATGTTCTTTTACTTAGTAACTTATAGTCAAGTCTCACATCCTTATAAAACTTTCGGTATTAAATTAACTTCTTCCCGGGCCGTGAATTGCTTCATGTTCCACAGAGATCGGGTACAGCCCTATCATCTCTACTATCTCGTCAAACACCGAAATAAACCTACTTGACTTCAATTCAGTTAGAGAAACATGTAGTCTTGTTCCCTAATAACATCCTGACTATAATCTGTCACGTGATGATGTCATGGGCATTGGCATGTGATGCCGCGGACCTGATTAGTATTCAGACTTCACCCGAGACTCCAAATATAACATCGCCTCTCCTTGATAATTTTCCTATTCTCACAGCTGCAACCATGGCTTCTTTGTTTACTGTCCCGATCAGCTCCACTGGCGGCTCAATCGTCTGCACAAACCCCAGCGCAGACAAGGAGCATGCAAACATCTACGTTCTTACGTTTACCTCGCCCAAGGACAACCGCTTGACACCTGTTTTCATCGATGCTTTGCTTCTCGCTCTTGATATTATTGAGCATCGCTATCCTAAGGGCGTTGTGGTCACCACTAGCGGGATTGCCAAGTTCTACAGTAACGGACTTGATCTCGATATTGTCGGTAAAACCGAAGGGTTCCTGGAGAACTGGTTGTGGCGACTGTTCCGACGATTTCTGACGTAGGTATAAGCATGGAGCTTCCCTGAAGCTCGAGTCTACCTGTGATCTTGAATCAGCAACAGGCTAACATGTGATCCAGATACCCCATGCCAACCGTATGTCTCTTGAACGGCCACGCTTTCGCTGGAGGCTTCATGCTGGCTATGTACCACGACTACAGGGTCATGAACCCGGACCGTGGATTCCTATGTGTCAACGAATTGGAATTCGGTGTCCCGCTTCAGACACCCATGATGGCTATCTTCCGTGAGAAGCTGACCCCAGTCACATTCCGGAATGTGGTTCTGGAGGCCCGCCGCTGGGGTGGGCGCGATGCACTCCAGGTCGGAATTGTCGATGCAGTCGGTGGTGCTCCAGAAGCTCTCGCTTTAATTCAGGATCGCAAGCTGCAAACGAAGGCTGCCACAGGTATCTATGGTACCATGAAAGAGGAGATGTATGCTCGGACCCTCACTGGTTTGGATGATCATACTGGTAACTTGCAGTGGAGGGATAATGTGGAGGGCAAGAATCATGCTGTCCAGAAGAGAGGGCTAGAGGCTGTAGAAACATTTGAGAAAACTGGAAAGGCGAAGCTTTAAAGCTGAGTACACATAGATAGGTGCTGTATATACAATCTTGGAATACCCTGTCCTAGCTTAAGGGCTATCATCTCTTCACTTCAAATAACTCAAACTATTGACCAACAAAGCCTAATATACATACCTAGGTCCACGGGTAGGTATAGATGTCTGCACATATGCTCGGTTAAACGTCAGAAAACCCTCACTTGTGTCTTGGTTCTTCGTTAATAGGTGCCTTGTTTAGCACTAGAGTAGCCTATAAGGCTTTAATCACACTTCTAATTCTCAATCAGATAACAATGAACTTGATATGAAAGCAATTCATTACGGCTAATTGTGACAAGCAGACCCTTCTATTGTTTCTGCCTGAAGTACTCTGACAATGAATGCAATACGATTGTTTTCTACTACAAAGAAAATAAATGGCGTAAGACGATGCCTATTGACTAAATGAATAAACGAGGCTACCTAGAATCGATGCTAGCACATTTCGCAAATGTCTCTGCGGATTGGGGTCGTAGGTCGTTTAATATGAAGCCGGATTGAATGGCTTTTGCTCATATTATGGGACGTATAAAAACGGCGCGCGTCCGCAATTCGCGGCTTGTCCGACTCATATATCCAAAATGGCACGCCCTAATGCGGACGTTGATGAGGGGGGCTCTTCCTTCCTCGATATGCATTCTTTTATGCATGCTTTGCCCATCCTGCCAGAAAGCCGTCCCTCTGCTCCCGCTTTAACTGAGGCTCATTCCACTTCTCTAGCATCTACCATTGCCATGGCGCACATGACCGAAGCCCCCGGTACTAATCCCCTCCCTGCTACCAGCTGTGACCTTCAAACCATTCCTTCTAACATTATCCAGACGAGAACCCAGCCATGGAGAAACGTCGTCGTCGCCAGATGAATTTCAGGGAGATCCTGGCCAGCGGCATGGCCGATGAAGACAACCCCCAGGCATGGACTCGGGCCCTCGTTCAATACCACCGGGAGCAGGGCGAGCACGGCTCTGCCAATGTCGCCGCCTCCTCCCACGCGGAGATTCCCATGTCGGCCGTTGCTCCTGCTCAGGAGCTTATTATGCCTCCTCCAGGCATGACCAGAGTAAGTCACCTTCACAATTATAGACTCAACACGCAATGAGATCAGTGATTCTAAAAGTTTGGACAGAGAAACCTTGCTCTCCCTCCCATCAACGCCGCGGGACTCAATCATATCCTGCTCCAAACCAAGTCGCATGACCCTGTCGCCCAGGCTCTCATTAAGAAGAACACCAAGCGTCTTCAGGAGTGTGGCATCGTTGAGAAGCTGGCCTCCGAGGAGAAGAAGACTAAGCCGGATGGCAAAACTTTCTCCAAGGTCCCTGACGATGATGGCGAGACTGTCAACATGCGGGTTCGAGCTGCCCATGAGCGTCTCCAGGCGTTCATCAAGACTTTACCTGAGGATGAGCCAAATCCACAGCCTCCATTCGCTTCTCGCGATCCTCTCGCTGCATCTGATACTCTCGCTCCATTCGCTCCTCGTGCTCCTCGCCGTCGCCGCCGTGGTTCCCGTAGGTGAAGAACTGCGAACTGCGTACTGTCTGCCTCATGAGCTTCTACTTCCTACAATTCCCTTGTTCCGCGTGGGGATTGGTTGATGGGACTGCGTTATCCCAGTTGATACCCTGATAGTCATGTTGCAGCGCAAACAGGCGTTTTCCGGTTCTTGTCTTCGCTTCTTTTCTGTTCCGGTGGCACTGGTTTAGCGGGTTCGCTTGTTTTCTTCGCGTTTTCTGTTCCTGTCTGTTCCTTTTGCCGAGGTGTATGGTGAGATGCTCTCGGCTGCAAAGTTATCAGCTATGATATTCCTAATAACAACATTCGTGGATGTCAAGTCTTTCTGATGAGTCTGTAGGATGAACCCCCGACACATAAAAAGCTTCTGTTCGATCCGTACTAACGACAAGTATCAAAGGCTTGATGTCACGCTAGACTAACTTTCTTTTTATAGTTGTGTGGGGCTTAGCTCCCGCAACTTAAAAAGGCCCAAGCCACAACGGCATAATTATCAACAACCCAGAAAACGCCGACGAAACTGTCGACGGAGAAGGTCGCTTCCTAATTCCAGGTTTAATCGATGCTCATGTAAGTCTTCACCATACTGGTCATCTATAACGGCTTGCAGCTTATGGGGTAACCACAGCCTTGGACATGGCGATGTGGTACGCCGGCAAGATGAACAGTCTAAGATGGAAACCCCGTCTACCCGACTACAGAAGCGCTGGACAACCCGCCACAGCGGCAGATAGCCTCTACAGCTGCATGCTGCCCCTCCCAGAAGAAGCGTTACTCCTTGGTCCCTGAACATGCCGAAGCTTCGTCGAGAAGAGAATCGTGGAAAGATCGAACTATATCAAACTCATATCAGATGTTCCGGGTCCATCCCAGGAGCCTCTCAATGTGGTATCTGAAGCTGCACGCAAGAGACAAAAGATGGTTGTAGTGCATACTTCAGCCTATACACAATTCGACATGGCGTTGGATGCGAACACAGATATCATCACCCACGCACCGCAAGACAAACCAGTTCTACTGCTATAGCACAGCAAATGGTCCAAAAATTGCGTTGTGTCTGTGCAAACCTTGACCATGATGCAAGCCGTTTCTACAAAACCTCCTCTCAGCGCGGCGCTTGGTATGATTTTTAACCCTTCCTTGTTCATGGCTAAACAGCGATCCAAGATAAACAGCCAGCGAACACAGACTATATGAATGCAAGAGACTTGGAACATATACCGCGCCGGTATCACTATCCTCGCAGGCACACACAGGTTGTCACGACGGGCCAAATTCATTCTTCGATGTTAGGCATGGAGAATCATTTACATCGAGAATGCGAGCTACTATAGAAGCGGGATTGCCTCCTCTTGAGGTCCTCAACTTCTCTGATCGTGGTGTGATTGAGGAAGGGAATCGAGCTGTTCTAAATCGAGCTGTTCTAGTTGTTCTTCGGGAAGATCCTACTGAGGATATCAGGGCGACGCGGGGAATCGATCGGGTTTTGTGCGGTGGGGTTGAATATTATCATTATCCGTAGGATACATGCTTCGATTTGTCCTTTTCATCCTTGATGTAGTATACTAGATCCGATGGGGAAGTGCTCCGCCTCATCTTCTGGCGAATACGAGGTGGATGGTAACTCAAAGCAATGAGCCACAGATCTGCAGTTGAATGAGTCAATAGGATATCCTAGTCATTATTTAAGGAAGCAAAAAGGCTACAGGTTCCGTGGCCGTTTAAGATCAACTTCCTATCAACAACAGCTTCAACATTTCCAAAATCTCACCACATAGTCCACCAACACTTAATATCAACAAACCCTATACATCCGATCTATCCAAAATGAAACACACGAAAACCCCAAAACCATCAACAACCTACCGAGAGATCCGAGCAAAACACACACCAAAAACAATAACAGTCTACCAAGCCTACAGCCCAACAATAGCCATCCCAGCCCTGGAAGCCCAAACCCTCGTCCCACCCTTCTCCCGCTCAAGAATGACCTGGATAAAACCGTCCTTCCTATGGATGGCCTACCGATCCGGGTGGGCCAGCAAACCAAACCAAGAACACGTCCTAGCAATAGAGATCACGCGCGAAGGATTCGAATGGGCATTGCGGAATTCCTGCTTGAGCCACTACACGCCTGGGAATGATATCGAGCGTGATGAATGGCAAGCAAAGATGCGTGCGAGTCCAGTGCGCGTGCAATGGGATCCGGAGCGGGATTTAGATTTGGGATTCAGGCCTTTGAATCATCGAAGTATTCAGATTGGGTTGAGTGCAGAGGCTGTTGGGATGTATCTTGATCGGTGGATTGTTTCGATTACTGATGTTACTGGTGTTATGAAGAAGATTGAGGGGTTGCTTAAAGATGGCGACGTGGAGGGTGCGAGAGCTTGTTTACCTGAGGAAACGGTTTATCCATTATCTGAGGAGTTGCAGGAGTTGTTGAAGATGGGTAGGGTATAATTTTGATCGATGCTGTTAACAGTACTCCGTACAGATGGGCGTGAAGTAGCGCCGAGCTAGGTATGGAAACCATATGCATAATCAACATGTAAACAAAACAAGTGTCTGATCTAAAAAGTACATAACTTCGTCAAAGTCCGTAAGTCCATGGTCATCAAAGCCCTATTCACGGGGTCACGTCTTTTTGGTCTTGCTGGGACGACCAAGTCGGGAGGGCGTCTCCAAGTGATCTACCAGTGGTCGATAGGGTGAGGCGAGGACATGCTCTGGTGCACGTTCCCGTCTGGGTTCACCGGAAGTCGGTCGGTATAGTTGCTCCTGGTGCATGCGATCGAGTGGTTCACCGACAACCTGGTACTTGGCCCAATTGATCGGGGGCATGCGCACAACATTCTGGGGAACGGGAATATGACCAAATTTGGATGCGGGTGATCCATCTGCATTTGTGCGTTTTGAGTCTGCGGCCCCGTCTTCCATTGCGTCGTCTTCGGAAAATTGGATCACAGCCCCGTGGTCCTCGGTCTTCAACCGTCCGGCTGCCAACTCGCGCGCAAACCCCTCTGGATCAGCACCTGCGGTCTCTTTCATGCGATCCAGTGTCTGGATATCGCGCAGACTTTGTTGCTTCTGCATTTGCAGGATAGAGATAGCGGAACGAAGTGCGATGGCATCGGGGTTCTCACTCTCGGAAATCGGTACTGGAGGGGGTTGAGGTTTGAAGACTGGGGGATTTGCTGGATGTGGAGGAGATTCGTAGCCTGAGAATTTGCTTTGAGAATGATGGATTGGTGATGTCGGAGAGGGAGATGCTGGTGGCGGGACAATTCTTGGCTCGTTGGAGGCGACAGGTGCAAGATGGGCGAATACCGGTGTGACCGGGGAATAAGGCGGGCGAGGTGGTGTTCCTGGGGTCTCCTGGTATGAGGACTGACTCTGGTCCTGCTGCTGGTCCATGATTACAGAGAGTATGGACGAGACTCGAACGGACCAAGTGGGGG